CGGACGAACAGAACTCAGTATTCCGGTCATTCCGTTCGGCACACAGGGGTTTGGAAACAATTTCGGCTTCGTCTCAGATGAAGACGCTGTGGCACTCGTCAAGCACGCCGTGTCCATCGGTGCCAACCATTTCGATTGTGCACGCTGTTATGGCGATTCAATGCGGAAACTCGGTCTGGCGATGAAGGAGATCCCACGCGAGGATGTCATCATTACCGGAAGACTCTGTTGCCATTCCGCATCGGATTGGGGTGGCTACGGAGATGGCAGACCCAATTACTCCGCCGAACGCGCAATCGCTGACCTTGAAGACCAACTCGAACTCCTCAACATAGACTACTTCGACGGGATGCTCATCCACGACCCCGGCGAGATTGATCCGACCCTCGAAAAGGGTGGTACGCTTGATGGTCTGCTCCAGTGTAAAGCGCGCGGACTCGTACGCCACCTCGGATACGGGATGCGTCCCCACGACTTCCATCTCAAGGCGATGGCAACAGGTGATGTAGACCTCATCCTCTGCTTCAACGACTATAACCTCATCCGGCAGACCGCCGCTGACGACATCCTCCCCGCCGCCGCTGAAGCCGACATCGGTGTTATGAACGGCTGGTCAATCCTGCGCGGTATCCTCACAGGTGTTGATATCGATGCTGAGATTGAAAGAGGACGTTGGAAAAAAGAAGGCGATGTTGCAGCAGCATACCCAATTTGGGAATGGTGCATTGAAGAAGGAATAAGCTTGCTTCAACTTGCACTCCAGTTCTGTCTGAAAGAAGAACGGATTCAAGGTAATAACATTGGGAGCCTCAATGTCGAGCAGCTTGAAGCGAACATCCGCGCTGCCAGCACACCGCTACCCGATGAGGCATGGGAGAAATACGAAGCACGCTTCGGATCAAATTAGCTGTTAGACGTCGGAAACCGTCAGCTGTCAGTAGGTGCGGTTTAATGAAGATTAAGACTTTAATTTGGTAATGTGTAGTGTTAATTGTCTGAATCAGGATTTACAGGATTCAAGGATTGGCAGGATTAGAGACACTCTGTGATTGACAATTGTCTTTGATAGAATTACCGAATTATTTTTTATTCTCATGAAACCTTGCCAACCGACGGTTGACCGCCGATGGCTATTCCCCAATCAACTTCTCCAAAAACTTATGCGTTGCACGCGGGAGCGGATAATCCTGCAACGCCGCAATCTCGATCCACTTCGCATCCCGCGGACCCTTCAGAACCACCTCGCCCGCTCGATAATCGCACTGAAACACATCCACAACAATCTTGAAATGGGTGTAGGCGTGCCTGACACGCGTGAGAGACCGCACATTGGTGACAGAGAGATTGACGACATCAGCGATATGCCGAACACACGCCGCCTCAGCGGTTTCACCTTCGGCAAGCCGCCCACCCGGAAACTCCCAGAGTCCACCGAGCAAACCGTCCAATTGCCGTTGCGTGAGTAAAACCGCGTTGTCCCTATAGATAACCCCGACAGCGAGATGGTGTTCCGGGACAGGTTTCGTCTCACGCCGATACGGAAACTCATCTTGCCGTGCCGTGTGGAACGCCTCACAAAACATATTCACGGGACAGACGAGACAGGTCGGCGATTGCGGACGACACACGGTTGCCCCCAACTCCATCATCGCCTGATTGAAAAACCCCGGCGCACTCCGATCCAAAAGTTCATCCGCTCTCTGCTGAAACAACTTCGCTGACTTCGCGTCGTTAATCGGTGCCTCCATCAGAAACAGGCGCGCCAGCACACGTTTGATGTTCCCATCTACAGCGGCATACGGCACATTAAAAGCGATACTTTGCACCGCCGCCGCACTATAATCCCCGACACCCGGCAATTTCCGAAAGGTCGTATAATCCACCGGTATTTTCCCGTCCAGTTCCTCCACAATGACCTGTGCCGCTTTGTGGAGATTCCGCGCTCTCGCATAATACCCCAAGCCTTCCCAGACCTTCAGGACATCCTGTAGCGGGGCAACTGCCAAGTGCTGCACATCTGGAAACCGCTCGATGAATCTCTCATAGTAATCCACAACTTTCTTGACCTGTGTCTGCTGGAGCATCACCTCAGAGACCCAAATCCGGTAGGGATCATCCGTCCGTCGCCACGGCATATCGCGCTGATAATCCTTGAACCACGCTAACAACGCATCCCGAAAATCTTGGTAGTGTTCGTGTAAAGGTTTTTTGTGCATATTGAAACGTAGGTTGGTTGAATTGTCAGAATCAGGATTCACAGGATTAGAGGATTTTCAGGATTATAGACGCTGTCGCATCAACACGTGATTTTTGTGAATTGACTGCTGATGGCTGATGGCTGACTGCTAATTCGTCTGAATCGCGGATTACACGGATTACACAGATTTCGCGGATTACAAGAGGTTTCGCCGATGTAAATAAATTATAGATAGAAACATGTCAAATCTCTTTGCTCCGTATGAAGATTAAGAATTTAATCAGAACCCAGATCTAGCGCAAGATTAGCTAACTTAAAGGTCCATTGCCACCCGAAAACCGACACTATGAAGTCCTCGGATCGGCTCATACGCCGCACGGTTCGCACAACGCGCCGCGAAACTCCCCACGCGCAATCCACGAACCCCCGCGAATCACCTTACGCCGCCCCTCACTCGCGCCCAACGGATTCTCGGCAGGCGAGTATTTGTAAGTCTCCGCATGAAACCAGTCGTAGCACCAATCGTAGGCGTTGCCCGCCATGTCGTAGCATCCGTAAGGACTCACACCCGATGGATAACTCCCAACAGGCATCAGCCGCTTATTTTTCGACTCCGATGTGTTCGCTCGACTCGCATCCCATATATCTCCCCACGGATACTCCGGAGCATCCGTGCCACGTGCCGCTTTCTCCCACTCCGCCTCCGACGGCAAGCGATACGCCACGCCTTCAAGTCCGCTGAGCCATCGCAAAAAATTCGTCGCATCCTGCCAACTCTACACCGACGACCGGAAAATCGGGGGCGTTGAGATGCGCCTCGTTCCAGAACAGAGGTTGCGGGTTCCCTGTCTCCTCGACAAACGCACATATTGCGCATTCGTGACCTGATACATGCCGATGGCATAAGCATCGAGGAGAACGCTCCGTTGCGGTTCCTCTGGATCGGTCTTCCGCAGTCCGGTCGGAATCGTCCCCATCGTGAACGCCCCAGCGGGGATATGGATTAAAGGGTAATCGAGTGTATTGATGTGCATAGTAGGTGCGCAGATCCTCTGATACAGACTTACAATAACCTTGATAGTATAACACATCACCGACCTCTGTTTCAATTTCTTCTGTAGGAGCGACCTCCGGTCGCGATGTATCCCACAGAACCAACAGAATGCTCTCGAAAACTGAATAGTCCTATGAAGATGTCAGAGGTATTCAGTTTTAAGAAATTATCGGATTTCATGCCAGCTTTGACGAAGCCGTTGCGGTTTCTAACTTTTTCAGACGAAAAAGGAGGAATCCAGCGGTCCTGAATGTTTCCAGATTCATAAACATGCGATACTTTCACAGTTTTCATAGCAAACCGAGAATCAATAGGTGTCGTGAAAGGCGATAAAACCCAGGACCGTATGGGTTTTAGACGGTTTCCATCAAAGGGTGCTATGAAAGTTGCTATGAAAGTTGCTATGAAAATTTCACACCGATCAATATGAATCATAAAACGTTCTCAGCATTGGATGGATACTTGTATATCTTCCTGTAAATGTTCCGAAGAAAGGCTAACTTTCTACGAACGTAGGCATGACGTGGGTTTCCAAGAGGTAATATGCCGCCTCCTCAAAATAACAAACGTGAAAATATAATCAACTTATAGTAAATCTTAAAACTGAAATGGCTCTGCGCCTCTTTCAGGACGATTTAGTTTTCGGTTCCGATCTTGGTTTTGGTTCACATAAGTTAACTTTTTTCGGCACTATCGCGAGCACAGCTCGCTCCTACAGCAGAAAAACATTCACATATATAAAGGAAATATGTAAAACTAAATGGCTCTGCGCCTCTTTGCCTACACGTTGACATTTTTTCGCATATAGTATATAATAAAATGAATCTATCCACACAGATCAGGACTTCAAACAAACGATCTGATACATTTGGTGTTAGGTTAATCTTAATGGAATTTGAGTGGGACACAAATAAAGCCACAGTAAATTTGTCAAAACACAGCGTATCATTTGATGAAGCAAAAACCGTTTTCCAAGATCCTTTCTATATTGTTTTTGACGATCCAGACCATTCTTTTCAGGAAGATCGGTGTGTTGCCATAGGACAGTCAGCACAGAATCGTTTATTATTTATATCGTATACTGAACGAGAAAATACGGCTCGCCTAATTAGCGCGAGGAAAGCCACTTCCAGTGAGAGAGAACTATATGAAGAAGGATAAAACAATCACACAAGATGAACTCCGTCCGGAGTATGATCTGAGAAAGTTGCGAGTGCGGAAATTCGGTCCTGCGCGTAAGCAGTTCGGCAATTTTGTCAAGTTAGAACCTGATGTCGCTGCGGTGTTTCCAGACGCTGCCTCTGTGAATGAGGCACTGCGATGTCTGATCCAAGACTCCAAAGAAAACAGAAATACGCATTCTTACCGCTTACCAACGAAGATTTTAGACCCAGTGTCTAAGGATCTTGATAATTCTATTGTCAAGTTAGAACCTGATGTCGCCGAGGCATTTCCGGATGCCGCATCTGCTAACAAGGCACTGCGAAGTCTAATCCAAAGCTCCAAAGAAAACGGCATAGTACCACCTCGCATAGATGGCAGCACTTAGCATCCGGCATCAAATAACTATGAGAACAAAACACTATTTCACTCTTGGACAGAACATGGGAAAAAATGCCAGCGGTGAGCGAAGAAGAAGCACAAGCAGATATTGAACAGGCAATTGCTGAGGGACGCGCAGAGAAAGCACGTAAAAGGAGTAAGTTGTCTCCCTAATGTGCGTTGTACTGGATACAAACCAGCATATTAGTGCGATTATCCTACTTCCGATGTTTAATAAATCACTTTAAGGGAATTGGGATTCCGACTATCCAATCTCTTTATCCAATTCCTCCTGACTCATCTCCTGTACAAATTTAGGCGTAATTGTGGAGTCTGCTCCTTTTTCAAAAACCCCCTTTTCAAACGCTCGCATCAGGGCATTACGACACCGCTTATTCACGTCTCTCGGTGTTCCCCGTTGTAAGTTAGACAGGAGCCCCCGAAGTGCCTCTTCCGTAAACGGGAAATAAGGTGTTTTTGGTTTTTCTTGGGGTCTGTAGTGACAGAGAAGCTCACGGACATACTGCAGCAACTTTCTCTGGATCCCTCACTTCATGAAAGAAAATCTGTTGGGTAATCCGGTCGGTGAGATAACCTCCGAGAATCAGTTCAATTTCTTCATATTCCTCCGGCGAGGTAAGCGTAAAATTCATAAAAAGTGTAAAGAAATAGGGGAGTCGATCTACGAGTTCACGCAATCCTTGTCCGAAAGGACGGTATTGTGGCGGTGTAAAATAGATGAAATTCTCCATTTCATCTATCCATAAGCAGAATCGATTGTGCTTGGTTACATCAGTAGATTCAGATAACCCCGTAAGACAGTGAAAAACGCCTGCTAACACTCGAAAGTAATCTTGTGTTTTCTCAATGTTTCGATTCAAGCCCAGTTTTCGCAATTCTGTAGTCGTGCATTTGCCAAGGAAGTAGGCACTTAGAGGCGAGCCAGCCCCCGGAGAAATAGGTGAAGCCTCAAACAACTTAAGTAACGCATTCACGAAGACGCTTCGTCATCTCTACTCGCGTTCCGGCAATGTGAACGTTTACCTGTTGTAAAGACAACTCAACTTGAGCATACGGCCACTTTGGAAACATAACGAGATAGATATGCAGCAGCAATTCCAATGAAGTCCAAGTTTTTGTTATTTTAAAGCGGCTTTCGTGCCAATTAATCAAACCTCGGTGTGCTTTCATGTCATCCGTCAGCATGATAACTTGTCCGGTGTATCGCCTCCTTACCAGATAAAGGGCGAGTGCACAGTTATAACGTTCCCCACGATTTTTACTTGGGTCAGCATCTGGTGAAAATTGGTTGAAAATTAAGTCGCCGTAATCTTGCTCATAGGGAAAATATCGTCTTGCTTGACGCACGAATTGCAACATCGGTTTGTGATGGTCCCCTAACTTACTTCTGTTGCGTCTGATTTCGTGCGGAATTTCTCGTGAGACTTGCACACTGAACAGTTGATTTAAAACATCAATAATGTGGGTTCGTCCCACATAAATCTTATGTATGTTTATGAGCGAAGATGTATCGGGAATCAGAATATCCATAGGTCTTGGGTTAAGTTGGGGAAAAAATAAGATAGGACTCATTTTCACGGTGAGAAAACCGGACCGCATACCGTGTATCAGGCTCTTTAGAAAACGCGTTTAGGTCTGCCTGGAGTTCCTCAAGGTTCGCCGCGATTCTGTTATCCGTAATAAGATGGAGTGCCATATAGATGAGTGCCGGATATAAAGAAATCTTTGGGGTCGGTGTACTCCGGAGCGTTTCAAAAGCTTGAAAAGTGAGTTTGTAAAGCAGTTCTTTTCTCTCTAATTTCTGTATGTCTGTCCATTGCCGATCAATTGTGCCCATAAACACCTGTCCAGCAATACCAAAGAATTGACTCCACAACCACATTGGACTTGTGTGAAAAGCCTGCATCTCTTGAATTTTCAGAAGATACTGAGAAAACTGGGTCCCTATCTCCGTTAATCGAGACCGTTTCTTTCCATCATTCTCAATTGAAACCAAACCGAGGTCAGCCAACCAATGAATACGCGGCGGCACGATATTTTCAATAGAGCGTTTTGCCTCTTCCTTCCAATGTGCTACTCGGTTCCGGACTGCCAAGATGTCACGTGCCACATGCTCTTCCGCTGTCAACATACGGGCTTGCAATTGCTGCAGATAAAACACGGGAAAAGCACTTTGCAAATCGGAAAGAGGTTGAGAACCCTCTTCAACCAACATCCGAATAACTGTGAGAAGGCGATCACTATCCTTTAACAGAAGCCAATACAGATATGCACAACGTTCCGCGTTCGTCAGTTCAAACGGATTTTGACTCGGAGCTCGGCACAGAAAAGGGAGCAATGCCTTTCCAAATCGGGTCACACGGTACGCCCCAGCGATTCGCCCTATAAGTCCCAATGAAACAGCAAAATTAGTATAACGTCTTGGAGCAACTTGCCCGCGGGTCGCTTTAATAAATCCCTGCTGATTCGCGTGATCCATCAAATCTTGCTCATGATTAAGGCTCCATTTTTCAAGTTGCGTAGAGAGCACTGGATTCACTTAGCGTCTTATGCCCAGCAATCGATAGAATTGCGGGAACATAACCGAGGCGGCGAACAAGTGTACTTAGTCTCTGTGATGACCCAACTTGTGTATTTAGGCATTGGCAATCTACCTGCCGAAGGCATTACTATGGAACTTAAAAAAAGGAGAGGGTGATATATCAGCCTAATGTATGTAGAGTAGGGGACCGCTTCACCGCCGCGCTCTACAACCGGGACACATAAAAGCGATACCAAAGTTTTCCAAAAAGTCAAAATGTCAAGACACATGCCTAAGCGGAAAAAAGAACAACTTGAGCATTTCCTTAGATATATGTGCTATGATTAAAATGTAGAGTTTGTAACAAAAAGCTTACGTAAGCCGGAAGAAGCATGGGGACAAAAGACACGCATCTGCTCGGTCTTTCCGGAGGAAAGACAGTTCTGCGCTCGCCGTTTACATGCGGGATAGAGTGCCAGACTGGAATACTTTTTCACTGATCACTGGTAAGGAATTGCCAGAGACGTATGAGTTTTTGGATCGGTTAGAGGTATTCCTCGGTAACCGATTGTCCGTCTCAACATGGACACTGACCCCAACAAGAATCGTGATTTCGATCACTGGCTGACCCTTTACGGAGGTTTGTTGCCATCGTCTCAAGTCCGATGGTGCACTGTTAACCTCAAAATAAAACCTTTGAGGATACGTTGGCGAAGACAATGCGTATAACTACGTCGCTATCCGTGCCGACGAAGATCGCGTTGGTTACAAACCGCTGAAAACTCCGTCCCTCCGCAATATCGAACCCAAATACCCTTTCAAAGAGGACGGCATTATCACCAAAGAGGATGTCTACGCGTATTCTGGAGGAAAGCGGACTTGGTTTGCCTGACTATTATCAGTGGCGGACGCGTTCTGGGTGTTACTTCTGCTTCTTCAACGCAAATCCGAATGGGTGGGATTGTTAGACACAGCATCCGACCTCTTGGAACGCGCCAATGTTACGAGAAAGTTCGCATCCGGAGTACGGGTGAACGGTTCACCTGTGTCAAGGCGAAAGTTTAGAGGGAACTATCAAAACCAGAACGGTAGGCGGAAATCAAGGCAAATACATGAAAAGGGCGATGGCATCCAAGAAAACGGCAAAGCCAAATCGCGTCTGAGATAGAGAGCGCTCCACGGATGTCCATGTACGCATTGGGAAATTATTACGTGGTGAAGAAGACTTATCTCTTACGCTAATGAATATAGAGGAAAACCTTAAAAATTTACTGAAAGAGTTGGACCGAGACGTGATACTATAACCCTCAATTCCATTTTGGCGATTTGCAAAACGACGGAATTTGGGAAGTAACCGATGCTGATAAAATGGCCAAAAGATAGTGGAGATATGCATACATAACTGATCTAGAGAACACATGTTTGCCGTGGTTTCAACGAACTATCTCCGAACAACTTCAAAAGACTTCTGAACTAACCTATGAAATAATCCGCAGTCTGTTAGATGCTCACTTCCCTCCTTCACTTCATGAGGAAATTTACAAGCCGTTGGGCAATCGAGTTCCACTCCAAGCCTTTGATACGAGAACCGGACAATACTAATCCGAAATAATGAATCAGAGCCTACGAGTATAAATGGCTGTCTGCGGTCAACTAAAAAATGTAACCCATTCACCCAAATTGTTTTCTCACAACATAATCTTACAAAAAAATGCCTCGAAAACCCTTACAGTTATGGGCTCCTGCCGAAAACCTCTGTACACCCAAGAACCAGGCAACGTTACAACCATGGTGCAAACCATTTTTAAAAAAAAACATTTTAACGAGAATTTTCCTGAAACAGGAGAACTGAATGCCCTAAAACACTGATAGTGACATCCACTTTCAAAAAATACTGATACTGAAAGTTAATTCTAAATTCACACATCCGTTTTCAGGAGAGATGACTATATTGCCTCTTGGCAAACCCACAGCCCGCCTACGCCGGTAAAAACCTCCGTGAAGCCTCCGTGAAAGTTAAACTCCTTCGGAACATTTATAGAAAGATATACAATTATCCGTCCAGCGCACCGAGAAAGTTTTATGACGGATATAGAACGGTGTGAAATTTCATAGCAACTTTCATAGCAACTCTCATCAATCTTTGATGAAACCGTCTAAACCCAACCGTGGTGAGGGTTTATCGCCTTTCACGACACCTATTGAGTTCTCGCGTTTGCTATGAAACTGTGAAAGTATCGTCAGATTTGCGAATCCGTAGACCTTTCAGGAACCATTGGATTCCTCCTTTTTCGCTGGCAAAGTTATACCATTTCTAAAAGTTATATTGCATTAACCGCACCTGACGCGCACATGACTCACAGTCTATGCTACAGGGGGGAAACCCAAACTAAAGTTTTGAATGCTACATTTCAATCAGAAATGGTATTAGAAACCGCGCCAACCGACGCTGTATAACGGATTGCAGGTTCTGCTGTAAATACCCTGAGACGTTTAGAGGGCTATTGCGTTTTCGATGCTTGGGTCCGGTTTTCATCCGAGCCGCGGTAGGATCAGTTTCTAACCGTCCTGGCTTCGTCAAAAAAAGGCGTGAAATCCGATAATTTCTTAAAACTGAATGCCTCTGGACAACCGATAACTAATAATTGACATCCGTTCAGTGGATATGGTATTATCTTGATATTGACGAAAGTCATATACCTCCTCTAAAAGGGAAGTATTTCAACCAAAAAGATCCACATTGTCGAGGAGAGAAGTCGTGAACAAATCGCTAAAGATATTTATTGCCTATGCATATAAGGATACAAAAGCAAAAGATCAATTGATGATATGCCTGCATAGAATCAAAAGCGAAGGCTTAATAAGCATCTGGCACGACAATGAAATCCTTGCTGGAGACAAGTGGCGTGATGTTATCTCCAGCGACCTTACCGATTCGGATATACTCCTCTACCTCGTTTCTGCGGACAGTCTTGCCTCTAGAAATTGCAATAGGGAATTGTCCATAGCTTTCAAGGAAAATATAAGGATTATTCCGATTATCCTTGAGAATTGCGATTGGCAAAATCATCAACTTAGCAATTTCGAGGTTCTCCCTGAAAAAGGTAAACCTATTACCCAATGGGATCCTGAAAGCAAGGGGTGGCAAAATGTTATTAATGGTATCCGAATTGCTATTCAGAAAATACAATGTCAAGTTAAACCGTCTTCCGGTATATCTGAAATAGAAACAGATGCCGAATTGGTGTTCCAACAAGCTAATTTTCTGATGATTCTAGGACAAATAGATCCGGCGATAAAAGCACATTCACAGGCAATTGAACTAAACCCACGCCATGCGGAGGCTTATCGCAATCGTGGTACTGCTTACAGCAACAAAGGCGATTTTGACAACGCCATTAATGACTTTAACACCGCAATACAACACAAGCCCAATGACCCCGCGCCCTATTACAGTCGCGGGATTGTTTACGGTAACAAAGGCGATTTTGACAACGCTATCAATGACTTTAGCAAAGCGATAGAACTAAAACCAGATTTTGCCGAGGCTTATCACAATCGCGGCACTGCCTACCTCAGCAAAGCCGAGTATGATCAAGCTACCGCAGACTATAACCGAGTTATAGAATTGAAACCAGATTTTGCCGAGGCTTATCACAATCGCGGGATTGCTTACAACAAGAAAGGGGCGTACGATCTTGCCATAAAAGACTATAACCGAGTTATAGAATTGAAACCAGATTTTGCCGAGGCTTATCACAATCGCGGGATTGCTTACAGCAAGAAAGGGGCGTACGATCTTGCCATAAAAGACTATAACACAGCGATAAAACTAAAGCCTGCTGATGCGGAGGCTTATCGCAGCCGTGGTACTGCTTACGAGAGTAGAGGTGAACAGGACCTTGCTGTCCGAGACTATAACACAGCAAAGCGGCTAAAACCTGATGATGCCTTAGAAGAAGCAGAAACCAAAGGCTTTCTTCGCTCAATGAGATTGCGATTTGATGAAGCTATATCAAGCGAACCCTATTATCGAATCTTCGCTGCTCCCATGACATTGGTTTCAAATACAGTTCGGACGCAGGAACCGGAAATCCACAACCTTTTACAGAATCCGCCAGATGTACGTAAGGGTGCGTTCGGTTTCACAGGTATTCCAGAGGTCTTACCAATTCCTGAGGGAATTAGTGGTTTCAATTTTGGTGAAGGCGAAGTAATTTTATTGAACAATGGGTTTCTTGAGTTACGATGTCCACTGTCCGACAGCGTATTTCAATGGCAAATATCGGCTTATGAGATGTTTTGGGAATCAGAATGGCTATACCCTTATGTCATCTGTGAGTTTCCAGTCACATTTCTGCGGTTAGTTAAGGCAATCTATACAGCAGCCAATATTGACTCTCGCTTTCTTGTTCAACAGGAATACCACAACCTTAGCGGTTTTCTGCTAGTGGGTAGGCATCCAGGCAATCCGAATTTTGGTAAATTTAAGAACGAGCGACGTGTCTACGAGTCACCCCACCCCATTGTTTCAAAACAGGCTGTGAACCCAGATTTTAAACCAGATCGAGTCGCGTACGATTTTGTAACAGATGTGTATACCGGTTTTGGGTTAAGTACAGCATTAATGCCTGCACTTTTTGACGAGGAACATAAGTTTGCCCTTTGAACTCTATACTTCCCGTGATATGACAAAGAGGACATTTTTGAATCTGCGTTGGCGTTCTATTTAAAGGAAAATTATGATAATCACACATCTTCGTGCCACAAACTGGCGCAATTTTCAACAGATTGACGTTCCACTTACCGTACGTCAGTTTATTGTTGGTCCGAATGCGTCGGGTAAATCCAATCTCTTGGACATCTTCCGTTTTCTTCAAGATATTGCAAAAAATGAAGGTGGTGGATTACAAGAAGCGGTCGCCGGGCGTGGGGGTGTACCCATCATCCGAAACTTGGTAACTGAGCAAGAGGCAGAAATCGCAATCGATATCTCCCTTGCGGACACTTTAGAATCTCCTGAAACTTGGAGATATGCGATAAGGTTTCGCCAGGTGTCTCAAGACCAAAGTTACGCCCATCGCTATTTTGCTTCTCTCACATACGAGCGAGTGTGGAAAGATGGTAAACTACTCATAGATAGACCTGATACAGAAGACAAAAAGGATCCGGATCGCCTTATCCGCACCATCCTTGAGGATACCAATCAAAATTTCCAAGAATTAGTAGACTTTTTTCAATCCATCACCTATCTTCATCTAGTCCCGCAGCTTCTCCGTTTTCCCGATTTGATTACTGTAGGTTCAGTTGAAACTGATGTCAATGCCCAACGTTCAGCCAAAATATCCAGAAGAAAATCAACTCGAACTCAGCTTGGACACGGTTTACTCGACAAGATTGCTAGTGTAGACGAAGAGACTCGGCGTTCACGTATGAAAACAATTGAAGAAGCGCTTAAAATTGCTGTGCCTCAACTTGAGCATTTAGAATTTCATCACGATGAAATGAGTCGCCCATATTTATCGGTCCGTTGTTCCCATTGGCATCCGAATTCACCTGCACAACACGAGGAACAATTATCTGATGGGACTCTCCGGCTCCTGGGTTTTTTGTGGGTTCTCCTTGAAAGTGAGTCAGTACTTCTATTGGAAGAGCCCGAACTTTCATTACACGTGGGGATTGTGTCACAACTCGCATATCTACTTTTCGGCATGAAAGCAAGTGCTAATCAACAGGTGTTAGTTAGCACCCATAGCGATGTCCTTCTCGCAGAACCCGGTATTGATGGTACAGAAGTACTGATGCTCACACCGACAAAAGCAGGAACAGAAGTGAAATTAGCCTCCGATATTGATGATGTGAGACAGCTTCTTGAAGCAGGCTTAACAGTAGGGGAAGTTGTACTTTCAAGAAGCAATCTTGAACACATTGAAACATTGGGGCCGTTAGAATGAAATCAAATGGTGTTCTCCTCGCCGTCGAGGATAAACTAAGTGATGCAGTAGCAACCAAAATTCTCAAGAAACATGGATTCAAGATCGTGAAAAGAATTGGCTTTCGCGGAAACGATTATCTTAGACAAAAAGCCAAAGGGCTCAACCAAAACGCGAGAAAACCACATAATGTCTTTATGTTGACAGATTTGGATTCACCCAAAATTTGTCCACCTGAACTAATACAATCCTGGATCCAAGGTTCCCTAAACCTTGGATTCTTCCTTCGTGTCGCGGTCATGGAAGTTGAATCTTGGGTGATGGCAGATCAGAGTGCCTTTGCTGAATTCCTAAAAGTCCCAATACAAGAAGTCCCAACCAGAACAGACGAGATTCCTGATCCTAAAACTTCGCTTCTTTCGCTTGCCGAAAAAAGCAAATCTACAGGACTGCGAAAAGATCTACTCCCCAAAAAGGGGAATAAAACTTCGAAAATAGGACCTGGATACAATATCCGTTTAAGCGAGTTTGTCCGAGATTATTGGGATTTGAACCGCGCGGTTTCCGCCTCTCCAAGTCTCAAAAAAACCGTGGATCGACTCCAAAGTACAAAACCTATCCTTGAGGCAGATTAATAAAAACCTTCAGCATCACAATTCCCTATATCCTTAATCCTCCGTTGACATCCTCCACCAGATATGTTACCATTTCCACACTCGCGGGAATTATCGAGTCCCCGAAATAGAGGGTCTCTTGAACATGAGAGAGCAACGCACACTTTTCGATCTGACACAAGACGGCTGGGTCATCGGCAAAAAGATCCAGCGTATCTATCCCGAATTCGGTGTGTCGGCTTTCGTTTCGGACGTTCGGACGGAGATGGAGGGGCAGATACTCTACAACGTGACGAAAGCCATCGGTCGCGTCCTGCGCCAGCATCTCCCGCAGAACTATTCCGATGCACTTGCTATCTTGATGACGTACGTCGAGATCGAAGCTCCATCGAAACCGACACGACACCCGACCGCCGAGGTCGATTTCCAACAAAATTCCTGCCGCCACTGAATCTATCATTGGGAGACGGGACCCAAAATGACCATTAACGGAATTTTCTTTGACTTATACGGGACACTCTTGGTGTACGGAAATATGGATTCGGTCTGACGCATTTTTTTGATTCGGTTGTTATTTCCGCTGAGGTGGGTGTCAAGAAACCGGATCCGCGGATATTTGACTCGGCTCTTGATCGGACTGGCATGAAGCCTAAAGAAGTAATTTACGTCGGGGACACGGAAGACGATACAAAAGCCGCCCGCGCCGCTGGTATTGTTCCAATACTGATACAAAGGAAAAATGAAGGCAATGCGTTTGACTTCAGCGTCAATAAACACAATTTAGGGGAAAAAGAATTCACGCTTGATGTGGGAACAATAACCAAACTATCTGAAATTATAACACAGTTTGCTTGAATTCTATGCCGCCGATAACGTCGAATTGAATGGTTTTGCTTAAAGTAGAGTTCCTATTTTAATGAAGACGTTATACCATTTCTAAAAGTTTATATTGCATTAACCGCACCTGAGCGCACAGACTCACAGTCTATGCTCAATCCAATGCCTACAAGGAGGCACAAACTAAAAGTTTATGCTACAATTTCAATCACAAATGGTATTATATAATTGAGGTTATCCATAATTGTTTGGCATCACGCAGGATTAATAGAGTATCGCTCCATCAAAACCTCGGCTATTAATTATCAGCGTCCAGTCAAGAGGGCATCTTGCTGACGGCTGACTACTTAAGAAGAAAAGGAACCCGTATAAATGAAAGGTGAAGAAAAATTTCAGGTAGACCTCGAAGGCTACCTCGTCATAAAGAACGTTCTCACCGACGACGAAGTCGCTGAGATGAACGCCATTATCGACAAAGGCGATCTCCAAGGACCCCCAACTCTCTGGGGTGAACCGTTCAAACGGCTCATCGATCATCCGAAAATCCTCCCGTATCTCCTGGATCTACTGGGTCCGCACGTCCGACTCGACCACGACTACGCCCTCTTCATGGAAAAAGGGCAAGGCCGCGGCGGATTACACGGCGGTGAGGACGGCGGACGCGCCGGTGGACACGTCGGCGATCACTGGTACAAATACCGAGACGGAGTCATGCGAAATGGACTGTCCGTGATGACCTATAATCTGGCAGATGCACCCGCAGGTGCAGGTGGGTTCGCCTGTATTCCGGGAAGCCATAAGAGCAACTTTGCCCGGAAATCCCTACAGAAGTTCGCCGATTCGAGCGTCCGGCACACTACGTCGCCCAGCCGCCTGCCGAAGCGGGAGACGTGATCTTTTTCACAGAAGCACTCATCCACGGGACGATGCCGTGGACAGCGGAACACCAACGCCGTTCCGTGGCTCTATAAATACAGTCCTGGACACTCCTCATGGGCGGAGAACTACTACGACATCAGTAAATACGAAGGGTTGACGGAACACAGAAACGGATGCTCTTACCACCCTCCATCGGACGCCGTCCCCGCGTTATTGAAGAGAATTGAAGCAATACGGTGCGGTTTGAAAACCGCACCTACCAGTCTTTGCTCACAAGGAGTTGGGTTTCACTGCGTTCAACCCAACCTACAAACTGAAAGCCGACGGCTGACCGCTGACGGCTAATCGCCGACTAGGAGTTTCTACAAATGACAGGCGAAGAAAAATTTCAGGTAGACCTTGAAGGCTATCTCATCATAAAGACGTCTTGACCGCCGACGAAGTTGCCGAAATGAACGACATTACCGACAACACAGAACGTCAAGGACCCCCAAGCCTCTGGGGTGAACCGTTCAAGAGATTGATTGATCATCCGAAAATCCTCCCCTATCTTTTAGATTTGTTGGGACCAAATGTCCGGTTAGACCACGACTACGCCATCTTTATGAACGGTAGCGAAAGACGCGGTGGGTTACATGGCGGTGAAGATGGTGGCAGACCCGGTGGTCCCGAAGGCGATCACTGGTATAAATACCGAGACGGTATCATGCGCAACGGGTTATGCGTGATGACCTTCAATCTGGCAGACGCACCAGCAGGCGCAGGCGGATTCGCTTGTATTCCGGGAAGCCACAAGAGCAATTTTTTGACGGAGATTCCGTCAGAAGTTCGGCGATTTGAACGTCCCGCACACTACGTTGCCCAACCCGCTTTGGAAGCAGGAGATGTGCTATTCTTCACTGAGGCACTCGTTCACGGGACAATGCCGTGGACAGCCGGACACCAACGCCGCGCACTGCTCTATAAATACAGTCCCGGACACTCCTCATGGGCGGGGTCCTATTACGACATCAGCAAATACGAGGGGTTAACCGAACAACAGAAACGGATGCTCCTGCCACCATCAATCGGCAGCCGTCCCCGCGTCATTGACCCGGATTGAAGCAATACGGTGCGGTTGAAAACTGCACCATAGGTGTCAATTTAGGGATATTTAGCGGGACTTTGTAGTAGCGTCTCTACAGATGCCGCCCCTCCGGGGCTTGGATGTTTGGTTGATACATGTTTCTACACAGATGCTGAAGAAACACCCAAGCAAATAAACCCTCCGGGACTCAAGAAGGCTTTTGGGCATGCAAGGTTGGATCTAAGGCCCGGCGCGGTTACGAACCGCGCCTACCGGACCTGGGAAATGAGGATGTCTTTTTTCGTTTTAAAAAAATGTTTTGATCCCGAAACCCTTACACATGGTGCGGAAAACATCAGGTAAATGTGGGCTCTTGAGTCCCGGAGGGACGGCATTTTTGTAGAAAGGTCCATCGAAGAATCAGAAAGCCCCAGAGGGGCGGCATTTGTAGCGGACAATGTGACCAAATATCGTGAAATATCCCTAAATTGACACCTATGGGTTTCACTACGTTCAACCCAACCTACAAACTGAGAGCCGACGGCTGACCGCTGACGGCTAATCGCTGACTAAGGAGTTTCTACAAATGACAGGCGAAGAAAAATTCACAGTAGACCTTGAAGGCTACCTCGTCATAAAGAACGTTTTTAACCGCCGACGAAGTCGCTAAGATGAATGAGATTATCGATAGAGAATCCAGCGATAGATTGAGAGGACACGGTGAGAGAGTGTCAAGTCTTTGGGGTGAACCCTTTAAGAGCCTGATTGACCATCCGAAAATTCTCCCTTATCTACTCGAATTATTAGGACCGCATGTCCGTTTAGACCACGATTATGCCATCTTTATGGATGAAGGGCAACAAGGTAGTAGATTGCACGGCGGTGAAGACGGCGGTGGACCTGGTGGCCCCGAAGGCGATCACTGGTACAAATACCGAGACGGGGTCATGCGCAACGGTTTATGCGTGATGTCGTTTAATCTTGCAGACGCACCCGAAGGCGCAGGCGGATTCGCCTGTATTCCCGGCAGCCACAAGAGCAATTTCTTACGGGAATTGCCGTCAGATGTGCGGCATTTCGAGCGTCCAGCACACTACGCTGTGCAGCCGCCTGTCGAAGCGGGAGATGTGTTGTTCTTCACTGAAGCCCTTGTTCACGGGACGATGACTTGGCGGGCAAAACATCAACGCCGCTCACTGCTCTATAAATACAGTCCCGGACACTCCGCATGGTCAGGGGAATATCACGATCTCAGCAAATACGGCGAACTCACCGAACAACAGAAGCGGATGCTCCTGCCACCCTCCATCGGACGCCGTCCCTACGTCGTAGATGAGAATTGAGAAGCAATCACGAAAATGAGTCTATGAGGAACGTCCGTTCCTCATAGAATGGCGCGTCGCCCGAGCCAGATTATCCATCGTTATTCACGCCGTTTTCGTACCGCAACCGGTTAGTTTGCGGATTCATGCACAATCTAAATGAAGATTAAGAATTTAATCGGGTAATTTTTACCGATGCCGGGTGCGGTTAGGAAACCGCACCTACCGGGCCTGGGGGAACATAGAATTCCCAAATATTTTATTAATCTTCATATAGATTGTGCTACAATGGGAGTTCTATGCCAAACATCCAACTCACGGGAAACCAGAGCGACTTTTTGAAAATCGTTGCCGCAGCGGCAGGACGCGGTGATCTCGAAATCGTCCGACAATTGGTCGATGACAATCCGGCTTGGATTCACACCGTCGGTTCACACGGTCGGACGATGCTGTGGGAAGCGGCATACCGGGGCAAGTTGGAGTCGTTCAATTCCTCTTTGAACGCGGTGCCGATATAAACCTACCGGGTTGCTACCATATCGAGCATCGCCTTGAAATAACACCCTACTGCGCCGCACGGCATAAGGGACGCGACCGTGTTGCGGATTATCTACGCCAGCACGGCGCGACAATTGACATCCATACCGCCGCCTACCTCGGAGACTACGAAACTGTCCGCTCGCACCTTGATAATGATGCAGATCTCGTCAACAGCGGATACCTTCAGACAGTGATGCTACCCGTAGGGGAACCCCATACTTTTGAACACCGCGAGACGGCGTGGGCGACACCGCTCTGCTACGCCGTCATGGGCGGAAACCTTGCCATTGTCGAATTGCTCATCTCGCAAGGGGCGACAATCAAACCAAACAGCGAACGCCTGCTGGATTATGCCGTCTCGGAGGACCGGGTGGAGATCACCAAGTTGCTGATCGAAAACGGGGCGGATCCAAGCACAGCACCCCGCATCTTGGACGACACCTCTGAAATGCGCGTGCTACTCAAGGCGCACGGTGTCCCGCCTATGGACATAAACGCAAAGAACCACATGGGGTGGCCCCCGCTTGTTTATGCCTGCCGCGGCGACAACGGTGAACATCCAGACGAAATTCAGCGATTGTTAGAACTCGATGCCGATATCGACGTTCGGAATGACAAAGGGAAAACGGGGTTGCATTGTGCGGCGAAGGCGGGTTTTCTCAAAGTCATCAATCTGCTCATCGAAAAAGGCGCGACCCTTGACGCTACCGATAACGATGGCGAAACGCCACTGTTTGAGGCGATCCGATCGACGATAAAGAGCGACAAAAAACAGCGGGCAACGTTGGAAACATTGCTCATCAAAGGTGCAGACCCGAATGTTAAGAATCGGAAAGGTTTGACACCGCTGCAAGTCGCTCAGAAAATGCGACGGGCAGACGCAGGGAAAATTGTCAAGTTGTTGCGAAAATACGATGCCGTTTCGTACGTAACGTGAGTTCGATAATAAAAATCGAGAGTGTGAATGTAGGTTTCATAAGCGAATTGTTATGCGATTTTCGGAGTAAGCATAGGTGAAACGCAACATAATACCCAAAACGCATACCTTTGCTCCAGAGGAGCAACATGTTTATAGCAGTGCGTTGACTTGGTGCTTCCGATCCAGAAGCGCGGTATGTGGTTTCAGGACACATAGCACTCCGCTGGAGTGCGAGAATTTGGATCTCCCGTTTTCTATAGACATAGCACTCCGCTGGAGTGCGGGAACTCAGCTGCCATCAAATCTGTGATAGACATAATATATAGCATCAACTTCTTCTAAGCCCTTAAGTCGAACTCGCGTTTATATAGTAAAGTCCACAATTCCTTGGACATCACGGATGGGCGAGGTTACAAACCTCGCCAGCGGTGGAGTGAGGTTGGTGCCTCCTGAGATGTCTACATATTTTCGGGATTTACTATAAATTAAAATTGATTCACTCTTCTGCGCAAAGTCATTGTCTGTTTCTTGAAAGATCAAGCCTGTTCTGTAAACCCCATTTCGACGACATTACATAAAAAGAAAAAAACAAAAACATGATAACACCTTACACACGCAAAAAACTCACCCAAGACTTTACCAATCTCGGTATTGCGCATGGGGATACGCTTTTTATCCACGCTTCCTTCAAAAGTTTAGGTCCAGTCGAGGATGGGGCAGGCACAGTCATCTCTGCATTAGAAGCAGCAGTCGGACAAGATGGGCTGATTCTGATGCCGACCTTCAGCCTTTTACCGAGCCGTGAAGAACGCGTCGCCGCGTGGGACATTGATAAAACACCGTCCACGGTGGGGTGGCTGACGGAGTTTTTTCGGCAGATGCCCAACACCCATCGCTCCGACCACTATTCGCACGCCATTGCCGCTCGTGGGAAAGGTGCGAAGGCGTTTGTGTCCGATAACCTCCAACGCGAAGGCTACCAATCACCGTGGGATCACTACCCGTGGGGAAAGACTTACGGCACACACTCACCGATGTTTCCGTGCCTACACGATGAACGCCAAACTCCTCATGATCGGTGTTGATTATGAAACCTCGACCTATATCCATCTCGTTGAGGTTATCCATTGGAATAAACGCCTCATCGACGATGCGCAGGCGGAATATATCAGCCTGAAACGTCCAGAACTCGGTGAATTTTGGGAGAGACTTGGTCAGTTGAGACAAGGAAGGGTGGGAGATTCTGCCTGTCGGTTGTTCCACATCCAGACGTATGTGGACACACTTCTGGCAGAGGTCGAGCGCAATCCTGAACCGTATGTCGTATGATAAGGGAACTATTCATTTGTTGGTAGGCGCGGTTTGCAACCGCGCCTTATTTTCACTAACAAGGTTTGCAATGGATAAAAATACATTCAGACCCACCTACTACGATCCTACTTTCCAGTGTAATCGCTTTTCAAGTCAGCCCAACGCACCGACAGTTTGCCTACAGCCTCAACAGCAAAAACCTGGTCCATCGCTTGCTGCACCTCGGCATCGCTAAGTGCAACGTTCCAGATTGCAACCTCATCAACAAGTCCAATGTAATGTTCCCGATTCCCTTCGCTGTTGCGTCCAATCGACACAGGAACATCGTTTGTATCAATCTTCCCTTTGGCATCCCCCTCCACTTCTATTTCACCATTATAGTAAAGTTTCATCTTGCTCCCATCGTAGGTGGCGGCAAGATGCGTCCACTTCTTCGGGGGCAACTGCGAGTCGTAGCATCGCCGATCCGTTTTTCTGTTCCCTTATTAACAGAGATAATAAAACCTGTCTTTCCATTATTACCGCCAAACTCATAGAATCCATAGACCATCCACGGAGCAGTATCGCCTGCCCACGTCTTCACAATAATACGGAACCATTCATTTGTGAACTGGTCGGATACACCCAACACATCAAGGTGATTTCATCGGTGATATCCAAAGAAGGGGAATCTGGCACTTCAACCCAACCACCGGCATCGCCGCTCAGCTCGATTGCCTGACCAATTTTTCCCTTTACGCGCTTTGCTTTGTGGAGTATCCCATCATTTTTATTCCCGGACTTATCTTTGGCTGTATCACCTTTCGCTTGATCGAAGGAAAGATAGAGTGCCAAATCCGCCTCCCGGACAGCGTCGCTCATCGTGCTGAACGCGATAACACACCCCAGTGATAAAAGAAATACGGCTAAAACCTTCATGAAGTTTACCTCCTGTTACAGTGTAACTTACTATGAAAATTCAGATAGCTTCTGCATAATGTAGTTCCCTTTAGGTAACACATCCATTTTAGCACGGTTTCCATATTTAGGCAAATTTTATAGCAAAATCCGAAAATACGCGGGCAGTTGTTCAGTGACAAAACCCTCACCTCCGCTGGCGAGGATTGTATCCTTGCCTACCCGTGATGTCCAAGTAACGGTTTTGCCAAGAATCTAAGCGTTTGTAGTAGGATGATTTATCGCCCGTCAATTACTGACTGCTGATGGAGAACTGACCGCTATTCTTCTGACTGCTGATTACTGATCGCTGTCCGCTCCATATAGAGATGTGTCGTCAGAATCGCCCACACCGGTGCCACAACCGCATTTTTACAAGCGTATTTACCAGAACTATTATCCCAACAGTCCAGAAATTCGGTGCACTCTCGAAGCTTATCCTCACATAACCACCCAAAAAGAGCGTCAAGAACTGCGCAGACAACAACACTTCACGGAGTGGACCAAACTCAGGAATAGTCAGAGAAAACAGCAGCAACGTCAAACCGAGGACCGTAGAAGTCAGCACCAGCATCGCCAAGACGAGCAACAGATACATGCCGAAAGCCCGTCCCCATACACCCCGAACCAGTTCACTGCTGCGGCGTAGCGATGCCATCGTCGACTGCTGATTCTCAATGATAATGCTCTGGTTGTAGAGACTCCAGTTCACGCCCCAATAAATTATAACACCCACAATCAGGAAAAGTCCTAAGCAGAGACTTGAACCATAAGGAGCGTCAGGAATACTAAGGAGACTTTCCGACGTAAGAATAATGAAGCCAAGCAGACCGGCGACTCCAAGTAGGGATAATAGGAAGAATGCGAACAAAACCGGTCCGACGTTGCCGCGGGCACGCCGCCAAACACCTCGCGAGGTGCCTTTTACACCGCGACGACGTTCCACTATGGCAAGAATAATCGGGCACATCGTTAACCATAGGAAACCGATGCTGAAGGAGTGGAGACCGAAAATCATCCCCGAATCTACACCTATTGACTTTGGGCTTTTACCTACAAACAGACCCCGTGTTGTGTCAAAACGCCACAAATTTTTCTGTACCGAAAAAACCGTCGGAAAGATTCATCCCAAAATCAAACAGAAAACTGAAGATGATAACAGGCATCATGATGCGCCAAAAGATCGCAAAATTTTCCCGATAGCACCGAAATATCGTCGAAACAAGTCCAAGTTGTTCGGTCTGTCCCTCAGTGGCGTTCGTTTCCTCTACTACGTCTGCCATCCTTCTATTCTCCTTGGTGTGTCACCATTATTTCAATGTCAAATCCCTCTTTCCGAATACGCTGATTGAAGTAGAGGAGCGTGCCACCGATAACCCAGATTGGCATCGTAAAAATATCAATACCTAAGTTGATAAAGCACATCATCACGTAAGAGAGAGATGCCTCAGGTTGATTATTCAGAAGCTGCATGAGAGTCGTCCAATGAACCGTTTTTAGAAACTCCATCGTACCAACAAGTCCAGTCAAACTCAGCAGAAATCCGAAAGCAATGCGGAATACAAGACCAATTGCGAAATGTAACAAGAAAATTGCGAACATCGTGCCAACGATCCGCCACCAGTCACCATGAATTAATTCACCTCTGCGTCCTAATCCATCCGAGAAAGATTTTCCTTCTACTAAAACCGCTGCGGCAAAGAAACACCAATAGGTTACAAACCCACCTGTAACAAAAGCTATAAGGAGTAAAATAAACAGTGGACCCACAATATTTGAGGCATTCCCTAAGAAAGCTGTAAAAATCCCCAAGAACACAACGGCTGAGAGAAATATCACGAGCACCGCAAGCACTCCGAATGAAAGCGAAGCGGCGAAACATCGTAAAAATTGGTGTCCTGCTTGCCTCAGGACAACACCTATCCTGACACTCCTTCCCTGATAAACTTCAGCACTGGCAAACACAAGTCCGCTTACCATGAAGACAGAAGCACCCAAAAAAGCACCAATAGTGGGGATCCAGATTGCTATCTTCGCGCCTCTTCCAACCGAATCGCCTAAAAAAACGGCTGAAATCACAATGAGTATCGCAATGCAGTAACCGGCGGATATTCCAAGAAACAACAGGAAATGTGAACGATAGAGGCTGAACGTTGTATCAAGAAGCTCCCCAAACCCCATCACATGTAGGTTCGGCATGTCGCCCTTTATATCGGGCTGCAAACCATTTTCTACAACACTACCTGCTTGCGAGCGATCAATTTGTTCTGACATCTGTATGTTCCCTATTACCGCCAGTCGTCTCTGAGGTCTTAAGCACGTAGACCTCCTCTAAAAATCTATTGTAGCCAATAGAACCCGTACCCCCCATCTTTTCAACGATAGGACTGGCTATGGTGCGTGCGAGTTCCGATCGGCGGTACCCGAGAAGTGTTGCCCGACGCGCAAGATATTCACGTATCACCCCCATCTCCGTCTCTGTCACTAACGCCGGTTGTATCCAAGCAGTATAGACAAATTCTCGTGGTGGAATGTTGATAGATGGGTTATCTGCTTGCGAACCTCCACCGGTAAGTTTCAACTCCGTGCGTGCTGTTTTAATAACAAGCGTCCCCGCCGCGAGGTCCCCTAATCGCAGCCATTTTCTGTTTATCAGCATACAAATCAAACCCACCCCATAAAAGACAGGAAGAAAATCGACGATCCGCACCAGATTACGGATCGCAGAATCGGCAAAACCGATCGGATAGCCACCCTCCTTGATAACACGTAAACCGAGCACGCGTTTTCCAAAGGATTGACCATTTGTGGTAACCTCGAACACCATATAGTAAACCCCAGAACAGCGCGAAGACAAGGATCCCTCCCACCGCGCCGAGCCAATTGCCGACAATATCTCCAAGCTCGGAAATAAACCGTCTGTTGACGTAATATCCGACAAGTGCAATCAGCGTAAGCAACGCGGTATCAATGAGTGCCGCATAGAAACGAGAACCGATGCCTGCCTGCTGAAAGTTTATATCGATCTGTTCAGGTGTTTCCACGGATACTTGTTCGTTCATTTGTAGAAGTGAGGACCTTTCTCTGTAAAATAGGTTGATTTTCGATTTTTTTAACTATGTGCCTCTGCTCATCGTTCCACTACGTTCCACGATGGTGTCTGGTGAATTCCAACGCGACTGAGGAAATAAACGGTTTTTAAGAGGACAGACACAAGACAGGTTTCCGCTACAACATAAAATAGGTTGATTTTCGACACAAAGCGGTGTTTAATTATGTACAGTTGCACGTAGGTTGGGTTGAACGGTCAGGATCGAAAGGTTAAGGTATCACAGACCACCGATGCCTGCCCCGGACGATCTCATTGTAGAGAGACAGAGTGAACCCAACATTATCATTATATGCCCAAGAACCTTTCAACTATGTCCGGTAACTCGTATATTTTAGACCACAACACAACTTAACAAAATTAAACATGACTACCACAGAATTCATTGCAAAAAAACAGAAGGCTTGGGATGAACTTGAGGCATTGCTAAACCGTTCACGTGGTGCGAGTGCCGATCAACTCAATCGGCTCGGGTATCTATACCGGCGCGTTACGTCCGATTTAGCGGTAGCCCGGCGCGATTTCCCACAAGATACGTGCGTCCCATATCTCAACGCGCTGGCTTCACGCGCACACGCCGCGGTCTACCAGACCTCCCCTTTCAAGCGTGGTACGCTTCGTCAGTTTTTGCTCTCCGGTTTCCCGAAGGTATTTCGTGAAAACCTCAATTTCATCATGGGTATCGTTCCTGATGTTCACCCTCTCATTTGCGGCAGCATATTGGCTCGCTTTGAGCACTCCGAACTCGCAGAACAAATCATCCCTGAACGCGTCGCGTCGCACATTAAAGAGTTAGAGGACGGCGCGTGGGATGATACATCAGCGGAAAAGCGCAATCTATTTGCCTCTTTTGTGATGACGAACAACATTCGGGTCGCGTTTCTTGCGTTTGCTGGCGGCATCATTTTCATGGTAGGCACCGCCTACATTTTAGTCATGAACGGTATTATGATCGGGGCGGTCGCAGGTCTGTGCCATGCCAACGGGGTTGCGCTCGCACTCTGGTCGTTTGTGTCGCCACACGGCTATATTGAACTCACAACGATTTTCATTGCGGTGGTGCCGGGTTGAAGTTAGGGTACGCACTCATCGCACCATCGCTTTTTACGCGGAAACGGACTTTGACAGACGCTGCGAGAACCGCCATTCAACTGATCGGTGGGTGCGTTGCCTTGCTCGTCGTTGCGGGGATTATTGAGGGTTTTGTGTCGCCTTCGAGCCTACTCCCGTCTGTCAAAATCGGATTCGGTGCCTTGACGGGAATCCTACTGTTCACCTACCTCTTTGCAGTGAAAGCGCGTTAATTTAACGTGAGTTCGATATAAGAAAGCTGTCTATAGCAGCCATTCAACTCGATGTTCCGGCTCCGTAGAGAGCGGTATGTGGTTTCAGGAGACATAGCACTCCTCTGGAGTGCAATAACTTGGGCATCGGATTTTCTATAGACATAGCAAGCCGAAGAAAGTGCAATAACTTGGGCATTAGATTTTCTATAGACATAGCAAGCCGAAGAAAGTGCGGGAACTCAGCCGCCCTCAAATCTGCGATAGGTGTGATATATCGTGTCAAACTTCTCTAAGTCCTTAAGTCGAACTTACGTTAATTTAAACTATTGAATTTGGCACATAATTAAAAACTCAAATCTTAGACTTTGCCTTAAGCTCCAAATACTTATTCACCACCGCCATTGTCAACTGATGCGCAGGAACATCAATCGTGATGACCCCTCGACGACGCAGGATCTCTAACGTTGCATGTTTCTCCTGCAACAATCGCTCGGCGATCGCCTTCTCGTAAACCGACTTGGAATCTGTAGATTTCTGTTCCGCCAATTCAACGATACCGGAGTCTGTCAAGGTCACACACGCAACGAGGTGATGCTTAGAGAGTTGCGACACATAGGCGGCGATCCCTTCAGCAGAATCGCTATCCAAGATGTCCGTGAATAAGATGATAAGCGCACGTTTACGCTGCTTTGAAGCGAGATACTTGAATGCTACTTCAAAATCCGGTTCCACCGAGTGAGCAGGCAGTGCATAGATCGTTTCCAGCATCGTGAGAAACTGTTTTTTGCCGGGCTTCGGCGCAAGGTATTGATGAACGGTATCCGCAAAAGCGATCAACCCAACCTTATCCCCCTTGAGTGTCAAGACATACGCAGTCATCAAAGTTGTATTAATGGCATAATCCAATTTAAGCATCGCCTTTTGAGATATAACTTCTGAAGAAGGGAGTGTGGTGGCTTCTAACAGAATCGGCGATGCCATGAGCCTCCCAGTGTCCAACATAATGACGACATCTTGGCTCCGTTCGGTCTCAAATTCCCGAACGATCGGTTTCCGTTGTCGGGCAGTCGCTTTCCAATCAATACGGCGAAATCGTCGTCAGGAGAATACTCACGGAGTCGTCCATCTCCGTGCCCTCCCCGAATCGCCGTGAATTCTTAAGTGCCGCGATCTGATGGAGCATCCCACGCTTCACCAAGAGTTCATTTGCGGACCCCTGTAGGGTCTCGGAAGATTTTATTTCGTTGCGCCCGGCCCCCACCCCAACGCCGTTGCCGGACGCCAGCCAACGCACTCCCCTGACACGCAGATGTATATTACGAAGAGAAATTCCCAGGCCGGACACGGCGTGAGACGATACGGTATATCTGTGTGGTCCATCGGGGAACATAGCAGTCGTGGACGACATCATCGAACAGAAACTCGTTGGGGAATGTCTTGAGACGCACCGTGAGCGGGGTTCTAGGGTAGCGCGACGATTGATTCACCTTCAGCGTCACGACATTCTCTACTCCCAACGAAAACTTGGAATTCATCTCACGGTGAACCTCGACCCTTTTTAAGAGCGGATTTGTAACGTAATCTACCGCACTGACGACGAAAAGCACCACCATATAGGCTCCGCCAAGAAATAACAGGCTCGGTGCAACGCTGCTAAGCACAATCGGAACGGCGATTGGAAGTAGGAAGATGAGGAGACGGTTGCTTAAATGCATTCTTTTTACTAAGCGGAATTTCTGCCTCGGCGAGTAACCTATCAATCACATCGTCTGGGGTTAGCCCCTCAATCTCGGCATCTGGCTTCAGGAGAATCCGATGTCGATAAACAGATGGTGCCAAGAATTTAACATCGTCAGGCAGAATATAATCCCGTCCTTGAAGTGCGGCGTAGGTTTTACTCGCCAACAATAGCGCAATCGAGGCACGTGGACTCCCTCCTAATACTAATTCATTGGACGCCCGCGATGCCGCCGCCAAACCGACAATATAACTGAAGATCGAATCCTCAACCGTGACCGCTTGGATCGCATCCTGACACGCCTGAAGTGCCGTGCTGTCAACGACACTTTCAATACCTATTGTTTCCAAGCGTGTGGCGTTAAAACCGTGATGATAGTTCATCAAAATCTCTGTCTCCACTTCGGGAGCGGGATAATCCACCCGTAATTTGAACAGAAACCGGTCAAGCTGCGCTTCGGGAAGTGGGTAGGTCCCTTCGTATTCGATAGGATTTTGCGTTGCTAATACCATAAACGGCGGTGGGAGTACATAACGAACACCATCAATGCTTACCTGCCGTTCCTCCATAGACTCTAAGAGTGCCGATTGCGTCTTCGCAGGTGCACGGTTGATTTCATCAGCGAGGAGGACATTCGTGAAAACGGGACCGCGCTTGAGGTTAAATTGGTTCGTCGTCAAATCGTAGACACTGGTACCGATAATGTCTGACGGCATCAGGTCAGGGGTAAACTGTACACGGCTGAATTTCCCAGCGACTATCATTGCCAAGGTTTTCGCAACGAGTGTTTTCGCCGTGCCGGGCACCCCTTCTAACAACACATGACCACCTGAAAACAGGCTGACGACAATAAGCTCAAAAAGCTCCGTTTGTCCAACAATAACTTTTTGTGCTTCTTGCTTCATTCTTTCAAAAACCGTTTGAACGAGATTCGTCATATTTTAATTTTTCCTTGCGGATTTTTAATTATACCTTGCGGTTCGGTCAGGTGAGTTTCAGGTTTGAAGTACCTTTACGTATATCCGTCCTCCACTTCGTTACGGACTATGGCTACGTAAAATAGCTTAAGAAGCGTTTTGTTGTTTCTTTAGACGCGCCCTCGGCAGTTTACGGAAAAAATACCTAACGGCTGGTAACCTTTTCACGTTAATTTACAAATTCCGGTTGACAGCCAATCTTGTCTTACCAATATTCGCTTCTTCACGGTAGGCATCAACTCGCTTCGCGATGCCAAGCAACTGTGCCTCCGATATATCACCGGACGGTTCCAAGTCCGTCACCAGATCTGTCAGTTCTTCGTTCTCATCAACAGCACCGCGTTGCGTCAATTCTCCCAAAAAAGTCGGTGTGTCTAAACTCGGATTGACCCGCCAACGGTTCCCAAGGTCCGCCCTGAACTTATCGCGAATGTGACTTAAAATCTCCAAGCGCGTGTTGCCTTTCTGATACAGTGCAGTCATCGCGTGAACGTACTCGGAACTCAACCTTCTATTTCCCTTCTGAACATCTAACGGCTTTCCAAACCGACGCCCCCGCAACATCAGAAAAATGAAAAGGGTAAGACAGATATAGACAGCCGCCAAACCACCCCGTGTTCCAAACACAAGTGCCGCAAACGGATTCGGAGGTCGTGTCTCAATCGTGTAGTAACTCTTCTCAGCAAGTCCGATTCGGGCGTTGTGTGGAAGTGTTGACACGAGGTTATAAAGAAACGTAGCGTTACCATCACCATACCGCAACCCATCTACACTGAACAGATAGGCAGAAGCGATGAAGAAGACGCGTCCCTTACCGTCGCGTAGTGTCACAACCACAGCCTCGTCTTCTTTCCCATAGAGCATCGCGACCTCACGTTCCAAAGGTTCAATAACAAAATTTGTACGGACGCGAATCTCGTCAACTGGATGCCGTGGGAAGAAAGGTTCGTCTGCAATTCGCTGTGAGAATTCCTGACTTTCCGGTAACTCGCGCAGCTTCAAGCCGAATGCCATGTAAAGTCTATCCAGTACTCGGTCGTCTCCCAGCCACTATTAAAGTACCGCCGGTGTTGACGAAATCCTGTATCTCCTTAACTTCCGTTTCAGTCGGAGCCCTGTTGAGGTCTCGCATGAACAACGCATCGTACCTTTCCAGACGCGCAGGATATATCTCTGATATTTCCGAGACGCGGAACTTCAGTTTGCGTAAGGTCCGATGAAGGACTGTGCCTGTCTCTAAAGAATCACACGAAAACTGAAAACAGATAAGCACAATTAAAATGAGACTGACTTTTAATCGCAAGTTTTGGCTTGCAAGCTGCGCCAAAAAAGAGACTCGCACGATTCGCATCTTTTGTCCTTGTCAATACTGCTTTGACGGCTCGAAAATACCAAGGTTATAGCAAATTCAGTTCCTTGTATAGACTTCTTGCAACAGGTTCCGATAATCGGCGACGGTCTCGGCATCGCACGGTTTGTATCCGTACCACACCTCATCGAAAACGGTAACCGCGGGTCCGAGCCTCGCCTGCAGGTCGATGTCTACTTGCGCTTGATGGAGGTACTCGCGATTGGTGAGGCTCTTATCATAAGGGAGTACGCCGCGCTCCTGAAGGTGCAAAATTGCGGAGAGATACAGGAAACGGAGTGCGCTGCGAAAGTCGTTCGACGCCTCTGCTGTCTCCGCGCGGGCAAGGGCAGCCCGCTCCGTCTCTACCTGCTCCTGCGTGGTCCCTGACACATCATCGCGCGCTTCAATAATCAGGTTCCTCCGGATTTGTCGGATAAAAACGGCAATCACAATCCCCAAGGCGATGGCTCCAAGCGGAAACAACACGTACCTGAGATCCGCATCCCATCTCCCTCTGGGTTCAAGGATCTTCGCCAAAGCCTCCCTGTATTTTTCGTAAGAGATATCCATCTCTGCACGCGCCTCTAATTCTTCGCGAAATGTCCGTTCTTCGATCGTCAATGCGAAAATCTGAGAAAGCATGACAAAACAGATGATAATACCAACACAAACTCTTTTTCTCACTACTATACCGCCTCTTTCAGAGCATCTGGTTTCACACTTACTCGTTCCAGATACAGAAGCGTCGTTAAAATCGCCCATATCGGCACCAAAAAGGTAGTGATCAAACCCTTGACGACAAAAATTGCCACCGTAGTCGGAACACTCAATAACTTCGGCAACACTATTTCAATATCACCACCGACGAAGAGACTCAAGAATTTGAGAGGAGGCAACGCATCGCGAACCAGTGCGAGATCTGGAACAAACAGAGAAAACACCAACAGCGCAATACCGAGCAGCACAGAAGTAATAACCGAGGCTATCCAACCTGTCAGAAGATAAATCCCGAAAAAACGCAACCTTGCGCCACTGACTAACGCATGACTCCGGCGAAAAATGCCAACAAATGGAGTTGTTTTCAAGGATGAGGCACGGGTTGTAGAGGCTCATCGTCACCAGAAAATAGATATGGAAAACATTGGAAACCGTAATCAAAAAGGATGTTAACTCAAAAGGTAATATACGAACCAACGAAGGCATCAACCATGAAACCAAGCCATAGAGATTAGCAACTGCATCCATAATCAAGACAAAGAGCAAAAAAGCGGCGAAAATCGTCAATGCCTTGCGACCAGTCCGCCGCCACATTTCACGAGCGGTTGGCGGCACTGAACCCTCTGCAATATCGGAAACCTCCGATTTGCGCAATATGCGGGCAACAGCAAGGGATAACGGACAGAACGTTAGCAGCAGAAGAATGAAAAGATTGTACTCGAGGCTTCGGAAATTGAGTTCCCATTTCCATGTAACGCCTTTATCGTCGGTTAAATGGAAACTCGGTATCAGATAGAATTGCCAACTCACACGTGACGATGACCTTGTATCCATAACCGCACTCTTAGCGGTCGGATGAATTCCGCTGATTGTATTGACATTGGCGGTAGCTGCCTCGACATTTTGGCCGCTTCTCTCCTTAATATCCTTCTCAAATTGTGGGATACTATAGAAAAACACCGCAATATCCAATACAATTGCGATGATCGCAACCGGCATCACAATCCGCCAGAACAGCCCACAGTGATTGCGATACAGCGTGACAATTGTTCCAGCGAGTTTGGTGCCCTGATTGTCAGGCATTTTCATTCCTCAATGTTGGACGTGAAAAGTGCGGAAGCGAGTTTCTTTAATCCGTTACCCGCATTTCAATATCGAAAGCCTCTTTCGAATCCGCAGGTCGAAGTAGAGTAGTGTGGAACCGATAATACTGATTGGCATCGTGAGGGCAGAAATGCTTAGGCTAACCAAACGCCGAATTGTATAAGAGAACCATCCAATTTCGCTTGGCGTTGGAATAAATAACTGGCGTAGTGTGTCCAAAAGACCTGTAGGTTCCTCGGCTTCAGTCACCCCCAGCCAAGAGAGGAGAAATCCTGAAGATGCCTCAAGTATAAAAAATATCATGAAAGAGATAAGGGAGACCGCCAACATAATTCCAAAGACTCGCCACCAAGTGCCTTTAACCAATTCGGTACTGCGGCGTAAGGCACTTCTCGCCGTGGCCCCTTCAAACAGCACAGGAAGCGTATAGAGACCCCACCGAACCGAAAAATAGATTGCAAACGGAATACCGATAATCGTAATAAACAAGCCACCTACAACTAACGACCAGAGGATAAAACTGCCGAGGTACGTCCAAAACCGTTGCCACGCCTGTTGCAAAGCCACCTCCGGGGTAATTTCTCTACCTAAATAGACGTACGCACTCGCGTATGACAGCGCAGCGACGACGAAAGTAGATACCGCAAAAGTCAATAGCGCAGTGAATACCAATATCACCATACTTGTACCCAGCATCGCATCTGCCTCAGTCAGAAACACAGAAATTTGTTCTATACCAAATCCCAAGACGAAATAAACGGCGGCAGTCGTTAAAAACAACCGGAAGTGGCTCCGATAGAAACTGAACATCCCGTCCAGAATATCCGTGAAACCCATCGGTTGTAGAGGTGTTGTCCCGGTCTCATTGCTATTCACTTGCGCTAAATCGTTGTGTTCTTGCATAATCTCCCACCTTTGAAAAGATTTATCGGAATACGGTTATTGTATCACATCTTATGTTTGCCATCAAGGTTCTGTGAGGTGTTTGCCCTCATCTCAATATCAAAACCTTCTTTCCCGATTCGCTGGTTGAAGTATAATGTGAGCATGACTGAAAATTTAGGACATAGAAGCGGATACTCAGAAACCCTTAAAGTTTTTATATAGGCAAGTTTCATGCCAATGTCCTTAGAGATGGCAATGTCTGTGGCAAAACCTCAGCAATTCCAAGGATATTCACCTCTGCAACTCGCCTTAAACATAGACGTACACTCAATTTATCGAAAGAAACGTCTACATTCTTTATTATATAAAATATAGTCCACTGAAGAAATGTGAATCCGTTTGCGACCTACCCCTGGGTACCAATTCGCATAAATTGTAGGATATACCACAAAAATTGATGCGCATACTCTGCAATAATTGACGGGTTGGACGATTTTGTGTACCCACCCCTCTGAGGTATTCCGTTCTTCTGTAGGAGGGGAAACACAGGATTTATGGTAAAATATACAATTACCTATACACCAGAAGATTGGCGAGGTTAGGAAACCTCGCCAGCGGGGGGTGGGTTTTCGCTTCTATTGAAATGTAAACTTATTTTCATAATTCACCATAGTCTGGGAATAGACTAAATCCATTCCTTGTATTACATTGCAAAAACACTCCGATTCCCGACTCTTACTGACTGCTGATTTGTTGACGGTTCCCACTACAATCCTGCAAATCCTTGAATCCTGTAAATCCTGATTCAGACAATTTACCGACAGACCCCGACCGCTGATGGCTGACAACTGAATGCGTTGTCTCGGACACAGAGGTGTGGTATACTCTATCTGTTAGAGAATTTAGCCACAAAGGAGAAACCGGAATGCATAGCGAGCGTGTTAGATGGAAAGATAGATGCGTCCATTGGATAGTATCTATTTTGGGTGGTGGTGCCGCCGTCTTCCCAAAGGGTGGGCAATGCAACTCGGAAGCGGTATCGGGATACTGTGCTATCATCTCGTCAAAAAACGCCGTCAGATTGCCCTTAACAACCTACAGATTGCGTTCGGCAGCCATCTCACGAACTCGCAACGAGCAGAGATCTGCAAGGCGAGTTTCATCAATGTCGGCAAAACCTGTATTGAATTCCTCCGGTTTCCCAAACTCGATACCGAGAACATCTGGCACGAAGTCTCTGTAAAAGGTGCAGAAAATCTCCATACCGCCTTGGCGGGTGGCAAAGGTGCGATTGTGTTCCTACCGCATTTCGGGAATTGGGAACTCCTATCCCTGGTATACGGCGCGCTAATTCCCGATCGGGCGAAAGCCATCGCTTTCCCTTTGAGAAATGCACGACTTAACACCTACATTTGGCAGCATCGCGAGCAGATGGGTTTAAAACTGATTCCTCGGAAGCGAGCGATCCGAGAGACACTACGCGCCCTTAAAAACAACGAGGCAGTCGGTTTTTTCGCTGATCAGAACGCCGGTCCAGAAGGTGTATTCGTCAATTTTCTGGGGAAATCGGCATCAGCAGTCCGCGGTCCCGTTACATTAGCACTTAAGACCGGGGCACCGCTCCTCTTCTCACTGAGCGTCCGCCAACCAGACGACCAACATCACATCTATATCTCACCCCCAATTCACCCCAATCCCTCCGACGATTTTGAACGAGACATTGAAACTTACACAACACAGATGCTAAAACAACTGGAAACGTATATCCATAAATATCCAGAACAGTGGCTTTGGCTCCATAACCGATGGAAAACACAACCACAGCCGTAAAAATTGTGTTGCATCAACACTGAATCCATGTTAGAATAGTGAGGATTCTCAAAAACAGTGAAAACGTTGCGTTAAATTTTGAACTGCTGAGGAAAATTCTCATGAAAAGATACACCTTGTCCTTCATCATCGTAGTGTTTGCTATCGGCATTCCGTTTCTACTCATTAACCCGAGTGAAAAAGATGCGATAAGCGGAGACGAACGCGTCACCCGTATGATGTTAACCGACGCTCTCACAACCGCTATCCGCATTGCCGAGAAAAACTACTATAAACCGATCGAAGACCCCAACGAAATGTTCCGTGGCTCCATCAAAGGAGCACTCGCCTCCCTCAATGACCCCTATACTTATTACATCAAACGGCGCGACCACCAACGTGCTGTCGAAAATCTTTACAATGCCGAATTCGGAGGACTGGGTATTCATATCTATAGTGATCATCGAGGATTTATTAAGATTTCTAAACCGATTCCAAATACACCCGCTGCGCTTGCCAATCTCCAGGCAGGAGATTACATCACCAAAGTCAACGGTAAACGGATTCATCTCAGCGAAAAAACAGGAATAACACGGGACGATGTCATCGACTTGCTCAGAGGAAAAGCCGGCACCGATGTAACCATCACCGTACAACGCAAATTCCTCGAACCTTTCGAGGTAACGCTCACCCGTGCCATCGTTCCTATCAGGAGCGTGAAATCAACGATGCTTGAGGGGAATATCGGTTACATTCAGATCTCAGGGTTCATCGGAAACAAGGATGGGACAGAAGTAGAGTTTAAAAACGCGCTTGCGACGCACAAAGCCGCTGGCATGAAAGCCCTCATCTTGGATTTGCGGAACAATCAAGGCGGACTCCTGAATGCCGCATATCACATCGCCGATGCGTTTATTGACGAAGGTCTGCTCATCGTGTCAACAAAAAGCGAAACAAATAGCCAATTTAATGAAGAATACCCGGCAACGCCTAATATCTTGTGTCCACCAGATATTCCACTCGTCGTCCTCGTCAACGAATACAGCGCGAGTGCCTCCGAAATCGTAGCAGGTGCGATCAAAGATACGCGCCGTGGCATCCTCGTTGGAAAGAAAACTTACGGCAAAGGGGTCGTTCAAAAACGCTACGAACTCTCTGACGGCGGTTCACTGTCGCTCACCATCTCCACCTATTATACACCAAATGGCACCTCAATCAACGAGGTCGGGATTACGCCACAGGTCTCTATTGATCTCGAGGAACCCGATGAGATAGAAGAGATAATGCTCAGAAAGGTCGATACAACCGATTCCGTCGAAAATTTCGTCTCAAAATGGATTGATGACGCGCATCAGACCCCCGGCGAAATGCCAAAAGATTTCTCTCGCCTCGAAACTGAACTGCCGAAATTACAGCAAACGCTCAAAGAAGAAGAAAACATCACCCCCAGTCTACGATGGCTCGGACTCCGGGCAGAGCGGCTCTTTAATCTATATGTCGGTATTGATCGGGTAGTGAATTTAGCGCATGACCGACAATTGCAAGAGGCAATTCGCATCATTAATGCCGATGAAGTTGGAAAGTATCTCAACCCTTCACCAGAAGAAACGGAACCACCTTCGACGACGCAAGCGAACGTCCCTCTGGAAGATGAGGTTATCACCGAAGAATAGCAGTCAGCAGTCAGCAGTCAGTCGTCAGCCATCAGCAAGAGGGTTCTGTTAAACGAAAACCTCTTAACCGAAAGCCGATAGCCGACAGCCATTCCAAAAACATGAATTCCAGAACCGCAAACCCACCTGATGTCATCAGAAAAAAAGCACTAATTGTCGGACTAATTTTGGTTGTTGTTAACGCCTATTGGGTAGGGATAGCGAGTGAACTCTGGTATGCAGTCTACACACTGGTTTCACCGTTTTCTAACGCGGTTTTCACGCTATTTGTGCTGCTCGCGCTCAACGTCCTCCTCCATAAATTCTCACCACGCATCGCCTTCACCCCCGCAGAACTGCTGCTCATCTACATTATGGTGACGATGGTGTCCACGATATCAGGACACGCGATGATGGCGATTCTCATGGGGACGCTCGCACATCCTTTCTGGTTCGCAAGCGCTGAAAACGAATGGGCACAACTCTTTCTACACCACATCCCGCCGTGGCTCACAGTACATGAGTTCGAGTGGTTAGCCGGTTACTACGAAGGCGAATCGAGCATCTATTGGGCAGAACATCTCCGCATTTGGATTAGACCCGCACTCCTCTGGTCAGGATTTATCTTTCTGCTCTACGGTTCATTGCTCTGTTTAGGGTTGTTCCTCCGCAAGCAGTGGATGGAACGCGAAAAGCTGAGTTTTCCACTCACACAATTACCGTTGCAAATGACAACCAATCGCAGTTTTTTCCGTTCCCGCGCCCTCTGGTTCGGATTCGGAATCGCGGCACTCCTCCGCGTGATGGCTGGGTTGCACGACATTTTTCCCGTTATCCCTGCGTTGCCACCCAACTATCGGCTCGACCGGCACTTTACGGAACGTCCTTGGAATGCGATCGGTCACGCCTCAATGTCCTTTAACCTTGCAATCGTCGGATTAACCTATTTCATGCCGCTCGACCTCGCCTTCTCAACGTGGTTCTTCTTCTGGCTCACTCGTGCCGAACGCGTAATCGCAAGCGCAGTCGGCATCACAAACATCAGCGTCTTGCATCTCAACGACCGCGCATCGGGTGCTTGGGTCGGTATCGCCGTGCTGACGCTCTGGATGAGCCGTCGGCACTTCGCCCGATTTTTCCAACACGTAATCGGAAGTGAACGTGGTGACGACAGTAACGAACCCTTCTCCTATCGGACAACGGCAGTATTGACCGTGCTGAGTGTAGGGCTCGTTTTCGCATTCTGTTATGCCGCGGGTATGTCCCTATGGGCAATCAGCGTATTTTATGCCCTATTTATAGCATTCGCCATAGCGATAGGGCGCGTCCGCGCTGAACTCGGTCCACCTTACCATGAAGTCATCGGTATCAATCCACGACAGATGATGGTGAGTATGTTCGGAACGCGACAATTGGGTGGTGCAAATCTCACTGTCATGACGTTTCTCTATGCTTTTAATCGTTGCAACCGTTCGCACCCGATGCCGAACCAGATCGAATCCCTTCGGATTGGAGAACGCTCAGGGATGCCCGGCAAGACGTTGCTTTTGGGAATGGCACTGGCAATCGCAGTGGGTGCGCTGGCGACGTTCTGGACCTATCTGCACGTCGCTTATCACTACGGTGTGTTAGCACAATGCCAAGGTGTTGTCGGACGCTTCGGATGGGAGAGTTTCAACCCGCTTCAAAATTGGTTACAGCATCCCAAAGAACCGGATGTCAGCGCGATGATCTTTATGAGTGGCGGGTTCGCCTTTGTGTTTCTCCTTAACCTCCTACGGACACGCCTACTGTGGTGGACGCTACATCCATCAGGTTATGTGCTTTCAGGTGCGTCATGGGGCGGACTCATCTACTTCTGGTTTCCCGTGATGGTAAGTTGGCTCATCAAGTTTTTGATTCTCCGGTTTTCGGGTTGGCAAACGTATCGTAAAGCGATCCCCTTCTTCCTCGGATTAGTTTTGGGGGATTATATCCCGCGCAGCATGCTGAGCCTCATCAGTTTCGCATTGCATCTGTACATGCCATCATCCGGTGCGGGGCATACACTTTAGCTGCTATAGACATGTTGCTCCGCTGGAGCAAAAGTAAATGACCCTGACCTTGATTTGACAAAACGGGTATTTCGCCATACAATTACTATACACCGCCAGAAATCAGACGAATCAACAGTCAAAATGAGACGGAAACCTAATGCCGACACAATTACTCACCGTAAACGCAATTACAAAAGGGTTTGTAGCTAACCAACCGCCAATAGTTAAAAACATTAGCTTCAGCGTATACACGGGCGAAATTTTCGCGCTTTTGGGACCCAGCGGTTGCGGAAAAACCACCACCTTGCGCCTCATCGCCGGTTTTGAGAAGGCAGACACTGGCACAATCTCTATGGCAGCGCGCGCACTTGATGACAGCAATATCCATGTACCACCTGAATCACGAGGCATCGGTTTTGTATTTCAGGACTATGCCCTCTTTCCACACAAAAATGTGCTTGAAAACGTCGCTTTCGGTCTCCGAAAGGTATCCAAAAAGAAGCGACAGGAGAGGGCGTTTGAGGTGCTGGAAATGGTCGGATTGACGAACCTACATTCGCGTTTACCACACCACCTCTCCGGCGGCGAGCAGCAACGGGTCGCGTTGGCGCGTGCCATCATCGCACGTCCGAAACTGCTCCTCCTGGACGAACCCTTTTCAAGTCTCGATCCGGGACTACGGCAGTCTACCCGCGAGGAAGTCCGCTCGCTCCTAAAAGCCGAGGGGATTAGCGCGGTGCTCGTCACACACGCGCAGGAGGAAGCATTGAGTTTTGCTGAACGGTTGGGAGTGATGAAAGAAGGCACCCTTGAACAGATCGGCACCCCTGAAAGGGTGTACCGCCATCCGCAAACGGCTTATGTCGCAGATTTTCTGGGACAGACAAACTTCATTCACGCACACATCAAAGATGGGATCGCAGAAACCCCGTTCGGACGTGTAAAAGTAGAAGGGGCTGACAGTGGGAACGCTCTTCTCTCTATCCGACCTGAATGTTTGCAGATGATAACGCCTGACTCTCAGGGCAACACCAAAAGCGGGCGTGTCGTGGGACAGGCGTTTAAAGGGCATGATTTCACATATCAGGTCGAGGTGGACGGACAGCAGTACTTCATCCAGACCGACTACCGTTGTCCGTTTCAGATTGGGGACACTGTTCTGTTGAAAGCAGAATCGGCGGTAGCTGTTACGCCTGACCCCGCATAAGCACCGCACCACAACAAATTACAGCATACCTCGGATCTCATTAATCCCTTGAATCATTCGTGTGAACGCCTCAACCAACCGATCAATTTCCACATGCACCGCGGCATCATCACCATTCTCCAACGCATCAAGCACGCCAGGGAAAACGACCGCCGCGTAGCCGGTGTTGAGACCCGGTGCATAAATAAGATGCTTAAACCAAGGGCGTAACGGCAAACCTGTCTCACTCGTCAAACGCCGCTCTAATTGGTATAATCGCTGGTTTACCTCCGAAATCTGAGATAGATCGTCAGAAGCGAGGTAGCGTGCAAGTTCCCGATTGAGTATCCCTGCCGCCTGCTGCCATTCTGTGAGTAAACCGTCTAATTTCTCAATATCTTTGGCAATCTTGTTTTTCGCGCCAGAATTTTGCAACAGTTTCAAAGGGGTCATAAGGTCTGTCGCATACGTCTCATAGTCGAAGGGTAAAATATCGGCATTGGCAAGCTGCAGCGCAAGTGTGCCCCAGACTTGTGCCATCGTTGCCTGATACCGAAAAGTCGGATCACCGAAGTGTGCCATCCAGTAGAAGTTATCCTGCATGGCGTGGTAAACCCCATAAGGACCCCCGAACCCCATGCTGACAGCAGGGATACCCGCATGTCCAACAAATGGCGAATGATCCGAACCACTTCCGAGGTTACCGATCTGCGGAATCTCCTTGCCTTGAGCCATTTTCCAACTCTTGTAAACCGGTTTGAGTGTCCCCGGATCAACCACATTTTGGGTTACTTCGCGCATTAGCTCCCGCAGCGATGGCGTTGCACTCACATAGAACCGACCCCCCGTTGCTGCTATGTCTACATTGAGGTATGCGATCGTTTTCTGCTGAAGCGTCGTCTTCAAATCCTCAACCCACTCCGTTGAACCGAGGATACCGAATTCTTCAGCGTCCCATGATGCGAATACAATTGTTCGCTTCGGACGCGTCCCCGCTTTCGCAAGCTCACCCAAGCATTGTGCGACCTCTAAGAGTGAGGTTGTGCCGCTGCCAGGGTCTGCCGCACCATAAACCCAAGCATCATGGTGGTTGCCCAAGATTACCCACTGATCTGGATATTCTGTGCCCTCTAAAGTCGCAATAACATTATAGATTGGGCGGATGCTGTGTTCAGAACGCACCTTGATCCGCACCTTCGCAGGTCCGGGTCCAATGTGATAGGCAAAAGGTAAGCCGCCTTGCCACTCGGACGGAACATTCGGTCCCGCGAGTGCCTTTAGAAACGGTTTGGCATCTCTATACGCCAGAGGCACAACAGGAATTTTGGGAAGATCTGTAGTTTCGTCAAATGAGAGTCTATCGGCATCTTTAGTCGCCGCCCAACCGGGTGTCAGCGGATCGCTGGCGTGCTGAAAGATATACTTCACGGTGCCGCGTTGTATCGCGTCATCTGAACGCCACGGACCACGAGGATAGACATCTCCACGCATGTATCCATCGTCCGCCGGATCCGAGTACAGAATCAAACCGACTGCCCCGTTATCGCCAGCGACTTTAGCCTTCACGCCACGATAGCTGCCACCATATCGTACGATACAAATCTTACCTTCCACTGAAATGCCTTGTTCAGCGAGAATTCGGTAGTCCTCAGGTAACCCTTTATTGACGTAGATAAGTTCGGCTGTTACATCCCCATCGGGCGAATAGGCGTTATACGCCTGTACAATTTCTGTTTCATAAGAATCCTTGTCCCACTCCCAACTCGCTTCTTTGCCGACTGCGAGATGCTGGACAGGCGAGAGCAGTTCTACATGCACCTCAAGCGGATACGGGAGATATACATGATACTCGTACATCTGAACCTGCAAACCGTAGTTTTCAAATTCAGTCCGAAGGTACTCCGCGACCTTACGGCTATTCTCCGTACCGGCAAGGTGAGGCTCCTCCGTCAGATAACGCAATTTATGTTGGCATCTTTCGGCTGAAACCAGTTCCTTAAAACGGGTTTCATATTGCTTTTGTGTAGCCGCACTCTCTGCGGTGAACCCACGCATACCGAAGACGTTATGAGAAGAAAGTGCAAAGGCAACCAAAATGCAGATAAAACAAAAATTCGGTCTCCAAGCCCCCCACGACAGATGAGATATATTTTTTAGCGTTGTAATAAGTCATTCCCTCCTTCTGTTTTATGAAAATGATAACATATTTCCCGCGAGTTTTCATTATATTTTTTTCGTCTGTCCGATTTTCCACCGTTCTTTCTGCTATTCTGCTGTAGGAGCGAGATGCGCTCGCGACTCTTACTGACTGCTGATTATGTTCTGCGTCCTCACGCCAGAGGCGTGATATTGCTTCGCAGTAAGAATAGAACAGGTTATAGAATATCTCGCAAGCCAAAGAAAGTGCATTGACACGATACTGCATAATTTGTTAAAATTAGGAATGTAATCATAATTGATCGTAAGGAGGAATTAAATGGACGCAAAGATTCTAATTGTCGAAGATGAACGTGATATTGTAGATTTACTGTGTTACAATCTACAGCAAGCAGGTTTTGAAACGGATTACGTCCGGAACGGTGCAGATGCCCTCCATCGGGCTGTCGAAAAGCCGCCGGACCTCATTTTGTTAGACTTGATGCTTCCAGAGGTGGACGGACTTATCGTCTGCCGTTTACTAAAGAACGACCCAAGGACTAAAAATATTCCGATCGTGATGGTAACCGCGAAGGTCGAAGAGCGTGACCGGGTGGCGGGGTTGGAACTCGGGGCAGACGATTACATCACAAAACCCTTTAGTCCAAGAGAAGTTGTACTCCGGGTATCCGCTGTGCTACGCCGGATCCAAGCCGGCAAACAAGCGGAAAGTACCAAGCAGATTGAAACGCACGGACTCACAATCAATCTCGACAAACATCAAGTCTTGACTGAAAACGGTTCAATTGATCTCACAGCGACCGAATTCAAACTCATTACGTTATTCGCACGTTCGCCAGGACGCGTCTTTACCCGCGATATTCTAATGGAGGTGATATGGGGACAGGAGTATTACGGCATCGATAGGACAGTGGATACGCATGTCAGCCGCCTTCGCCGTAAACTTGGGGAATTTGGTAAGCATATTGAGACAGTGCATGGGGTTGGGTATCGGTTCAAGGAAGCCAGTTGAGGACTGCTACACCAGAGGCATTCAATTCCCTTGTAGGAGGGGTCTCCGAATCCCACGCTTACTGACGGCTGAAAGCTAACTGCTGATGGAAACCGACCGCTGATGAAGTGCTTTCAAGCGAGAGGTAACCCTTAAGGTTTCCTCCCGCATTGAAGTGCACGTGTAGGGTTGATATATAGATTCAGCTCTTGCACCTACGGAAACTGTATCCCCAGTTTTCGGCACACCTTTCGGATTTTGTTAACCGCACCCCCTATCTGTTTCCCGTTCCGCGTAACACCAAAAAGGTGCTGACTTACAACGCGGCGGGAAATACCGAGAATGTCCCCTATCTCCTCTTGTGTTTTACCTTGATAGAAGTAGAGTTGAATACATTCGGCTTGGCGTTTGGTTAGTTCGTCCGCGATAATCTGACGAATCTGTTTGATAACTACCCGTCGCTTGGCGCGACGCATCTCTGTATACTCGTCATCAGGTGCCCGATACCAGAAATAGTCCTCGGTAGTGAGCTGATCGAAATACTCCGGTGGCACCGGAATTTCCCAAAAGTCGGTATTGAATTTGGGCATAGATAAAGCAACTCCCTCAAATGCGGGCGATCGCGCCTATGCCTTAATCAAACTATCGATAAAAGGCAGAGGCACCATCGCCATAATTGAATACGTTCAGGTGAAGTATGGCGTGGTTTATTGATAACATAATGGCTACCTCCTTATCGTGTTCATTGTTTTATGATTGGAAACGGTGCAAACGTGTCAATGACCTTTTGTAAAGACCACCTTTTGCAAACCGCACGTGGCAATATACTAAGAACAGTATACCAAAAAACGCAAAAATATGCCATAAAAATTCGGTTTAGTACATGATGCATATCCTACCCCGAAAACAGCATACCCTCAAAATAGGGAACGGAGGGGTTTAAACCCCCCGTTCCTTTCCAAAGAGTGCAACACTCAGTGTCACACCACAAGGGCGCAACACTAAGTGTTACACCTCCTCTGGTTTGCTAACATAAACAAATACCTCCTTTTCCGCGATACAGCGGCATTAGGATATCATCGTCAAAAAATGACAATGATTCACCTAAACACATTTTCGGATGCACTTTTGCACATTTTGGTAAAAAAATATTAAAATTATTTTTCTCCACCTCCACGAATAGGGCATCAAAAGCGGAAACCTCCGTGGAGACGAGATGTGTCGTTGACTTTCACCATTCAACCCAACCTACGTCTATTTGGACTTTTATCATCGAACTTACGTTAGAATTACACAAATTATCCGAAGGTGAACTACGAAGACATCAGCCAGAAAAAAATAAAGGACAGAGAAGTATCGATTCTCTGTCCTCTTCTAAAGGGCGTGATGCGCTGTACAACACTCCTATACATAATCAGTTTTTGCGAGAAAAATCATTCTTCGGGATCGAAAAACACCTTGAGTGGAGCACTCAACTGTGGAGCAACGACCTCTTCATCTACCACCTTTTCACCGCTCCATTCACTGCGCTCAATGCCCATCGTGTAAGCCTGTTCTGTGGTGTCGGTGTAACTGAGGTATTGGAACCCAGCATTCTCAAAACAGATGAGTGCGGGTCCGTTGTTAGGTGATACTTGTAGTGCGATGTGCTCAGCCTCCAGTTGTTCAAACGCGTAACGTATTGCTTCAAGGAGGGCATCCGTGCCGTATCCGCGAGCGCGATAATCAGGTCGAATGATGAAGAATTTGAGGGTAACAGTGTCTGTATCATAGTGGAGGAGGGCAAATCCGACGAGAATGCGCGTCGTCCGGATCTCAATAGCGAGCGCGTGCATCTGTTCATTTTCCATCCAACGGTGCCAATCTTCGAGAAACGTTTCAAACGACACCTGTGTCGCGTAGAGGAGATTTCTGATGCCGGGCCGGTTTATCCATCCCCAAATTCGGCGAAGCTCATTCTCAGCGATCTGTCGGAGGTGAATGCCTCCACCGTGAAGCCGTTCCAACTGACGCAACTGACTTCTCAAGCCTTCCAATTGTGCCGAGTGCGCACCGACTTGAGCCCCCGCAGCTCGAATCATACGCTGATTCGGGCGATCCATGAATTGTGCTTGCTTTACGCGGTTCTCGAAATATCCAAGTTTTTGCTCACTCCTTTCAATAATACGCACCAAGTTCTGAATGGCATCTTCCCACTTTTTTGGGTCAACGTTTACGTCGTCGCGTGTTTCGGTCCGTTTTTCTCTTATCTGTGTTTCGTTCATATCTCCCTTCCTTGAATCCAGAGATCCGGAGGTAACTTTCATATCGGTCCGGACTGATATTACCAGTTTCAATCGCTCGCTTAACAGCGCACGCTGGTTCGTGCTGGTGCGTACATGCGGCGAATTTGCACTCCGGAATATAAGACCGCATCTCCGGAAAATGAATATCTAATCCCTGTTCCTCATCAATTTCAAGCAAGCCGAGGGTTCGGATACCGGGCGTGTCCGCGACGAACCCGCCGAATTCGAGCGGCAACAGCATGACCTCCGTTGTCGTATGCCGTCCTTTGTGGATGCGTGTGTCCACTTCACCCGTGCGTAATCGGAGTCCCGGTTGCACCACATTGAGCAGAGATGATTTTCCAACCCCCGATGAACCTACAATTGCAGAAATCCTATCCTGCATCACCTCCCGCAATTCTTCAACACCAACACCTGTCACGATACTTGTATAAACCACTTTATAACCTAATTCTTCATATAAACTGAGTTCACGTTGGACATTCTCGAATTTCGCCAAATCAAGTTTGTTAATACAGATAACCGGCTCAACATCAGATGCCTCCGCGGTGACGAGAAATCTATCAAGCATCCGCAGATTGAGTGTCGGATGCCGTGCCGCAAAGATAATGAGGAGTATATCTAAGTTAGCAACAATCACCTGTCGCCAACCGTCCATGCGAATACGTCCAAACTGGGTGTCACGGGGAAGGCATTCCTCGATGTATCCACTCTCCGCTGTGGACATAGCAGTAGAAATACGTACCCGGTCGCCAACGGCGACAAGATCGACGTACGGCATCTCCTTTGTCTCAGCAAGTCGCCGTTTTTCATCTTCAATGAGCTGGTGCCGCAAGGCGCAAGTATAGCATTGCTTGCCAACTTGCACCTCGTATGCACCACTGTGCGCTTTTATTATAATGCCTTCCATAGTCTGATCCAGAGGTAGCATCAAAGAATTCCTCGTGCAACAGCACCTAAGAGCCAGGATTCCGCCAAACAATGCGTCCACGCGTCAGGTCATAAGGAGAAAGTTCCACGGTAACCTGATCGCCAGGAAGCACCCAAATTCTGTGCTGCATCAGTTTGCCAGCGAGATATGCCACAACTTTGTAGTCGTTCTCTTCTAATTTCACCTGAAATAGGTTGCCCGGTAGGGATTCGAGTACAGTTCCGAGGACGCGGATCCCCACGTCTTTAGAGACTTCACGGTTCTTGGTTGTCACGGTTGCATTTCTCATTTTCTATTTTCTCCTTTTTGTGATGACTATTTGTTACTTTTAACATTATATTGGATGCACTTTGTTAACGAATTGTTCGGAAAAAAAGTTGACATCAAGCCTAAAAAGTTGTAAAATACACAAGAGGAAGATTCCATTTCGAGTTTTTTATAAAAGGAGAAGAAAATAATGAGCCAAGCCTTACCCCTTGTAGCCTATCCTGACCTCGAAGGCCGAGTCAAGGCGATGGAGGAAGACGGATATGCCTATCTACCGAAGGTTATCGAAGACGAACAACTTGCGGAACTTCGTGATGCGATGGATCGGTTAACCGCAATTCCTGAGAGTTTTGATCGGCACGGCACGCCAGAGAATGGAAACGGTTTCCTTAACAAACATATTAACAACGCCTTCAACCGCGACCCCGTCTTCTTACGATGCCTTGATCGGTCTCCAGTTATTGAATTGGCAGAGGCAGTGCACGGCGAGGATTGTCACGTTATCGGTATGACAGCGTGGGTAACGGGACCCGGGCGCCCCGACCAAGGGTTGCACATAGATTGGCTGCCGATCCCGCTGCCAACAGACATTCTGGAAGATACGCGCGTCAAGGTGCCAATTTTCATCTCAACCGCACACTACTACTTGGATGACCTCTACGAAGACCTCGGTCCAACAAAGTTCGTACCGGGCAGCCATCTTTCCGGACGGAGACCCGATGGTGAGACAGAATGGAAAGGCGCGTCAGAAAAGAGTATCCTCTGCAACAGTGGTGATGTCGTGATTTTCCGAAGCGAAGTTTGGCACCGAGGCACTGCCAACCGTAGCGACCAGACCCGGTACCTCTTACAAGTGCACTACGCGAAGCGGATGATAACTCAGAAATTCCCACCCTATCTGAACCAGTTTCAGTTCAATGCGGAAATCTTGGAGCAGGCAACGGAACGTCAACAGCGATTAATGGGCAATCACCGCCCGGGTGCCTACGATTGATCCTAAATTTTTCAGAGAACAATGACCTCCACCGAGGATAACAGTTTCCTTTGAATAGAAAAGAGACTATCGGGACACCGCCAAGACCAAACGTTATTAGCGAGGAACCGCACGGGAAAGTTATTGCCCTCACTCTTCTCCTCGCGTTTCTTTGGGGCGGGAATTCGCCCTCCATAAAAATTGGCTTGGAAGACTTTCCTCCATTGGCACTGGCGTTCTTTCGCTTTGTGATTGGTCTTGCCGTTGTTGGGGGTTGGGCACTCTATCGCGGTGTCTCACTTCGCCTGCGCAAGGGCGAACTCCCTCGACTGCTGCTGCTCACAACGATCTTCATCCTCCAAATTATTTCGTTGAACACCGGGACCAAATTCACGACAGCATCCCGCTCCACCATTTTTATTAACGTCTATCCCTTTTTCACCGCGATCTTTGCGCACTTTTGGATTCCCGGCGAACGCCTCTCTGTTCCAAAGACATTAGGGATCGTTGTCGCCTTCAGTGGCGTTTTCGTAATCGTTGCCCCAAATCTCGGAGAAGGTGAAACGAGCGTCCTCGGCGATATTATTGTGCTTGTGAGCGGATGCTTTTTAGGACTACGCGTTGTCGTGACGAAGTTGCTAATTCAGTCCATCCACCCATACCGACTCCTGGCTTGGCTGTTAACCTTGAGTCTCCCCTGCTATGTCGTCATGAGTTTACTGTTTGAGCGCGGAGAACCGATGCAACTGACCCTCAGAAGTAGTGCCGCCCTCCTCTATCAAGGTGGCGTTATCGCGGGTTTCTGTTTTTTGGCGTGGACTTCAGTGCTTGAAAGATACAGTGCGAGTAAACTCGTTGTGCTTTTTTTCGCAACCCCATTGTCGGGTGTTGTGTTTAGTCACCTGTTCTTAAATGACGAACTGACGTTCAGCCTGCTGGGCGGTGCCGTTCTCGTGGCAGCTGGGATCTATCTTGTAAACATACGGCGTTGATGTGCTTAGATTCTCTGCTGGGAAGATAGATATGGTTTCCTATGGTGAGTTGATGAGAACATTTAAGGTAGTTTGACTATCAGTTTCAGGATCGAATGTGAGCAACCCTTCGCTTCTCGCTGCGTTCAGCAGGCTTTTATCAGAACTAATCAGAATTAAATCATCTCCGGTTGTTCGTAGTTGGTTCGATTTATCAAGCGCACATTGAAGGATGTATGCATCACTACTGTTAATAGGGTAATCATGAATGAGTTGCCGAGCAGTCTCTTTTTGATCGACGGTGGCATGTACTTGTACTACCTCGGAGTTATTGACGATTTCCACCTCAAATTTTTGAATTGCTTGGTTGAATTCTGAGAAGGTAATTTCTGCGCTATTTCTCTTCTTGACGATGACAAAACGGGTTTCATCCATACTATCGAAAAGGCAAATCATTCGCCCTGCAGAAACACGAGTGAAGAAATGATTGATTAACGGGGTTCCTTTTTCCACGACGTAACGTTTAGCGATAGCATTCGCATCTAACCAGAAATAGATCACGCAGGCTGCTCCTCATTCGTCTCAATTTTGATTTTCATCATAAAGAGACCGTAAGAAGTCAAAACCGGCTTCGCCGTATAGATTACAAATCCGGTCGGCAACCTCCTTGTATTCCGTGCTATACAGAACACGGATAATTTCCTGAATATGTTCCTGATCGTGATACGGATAGACGTTATGCATTAGCATTCCCAGATAAATGTCCCCAACTTCCGTCGGTGTTTTGCGAACGTGCGCTAGTAAGTGTTCAACAAAAAACGCGGAATCGGAAAGCCCTCTGATGTACTTTGTAGACATTTTTAGCCATTTTAGCACTTCCGCATCTATTTTATCAACGAGAGCCACCCATCCAGATAAACGAGATAAAACTTCCCCATATTTCTCTACATCGCCTTTTTGGGAAAGGGATTCATACAAGGCTCGCCAGATTGGTATGACTTTTGCATTCACTTTCGGAGGGAGATTATTTCTTTGCCTCCAGAAAAAATGAACTAAGTTTGAGAGGAGATTTGAGTTGACGCTGTTTATCAACCCATAAATGAGACTGGTTTTGTCCTTTAAAGTTTCGCTGTCTTCTATCCAACCTGTACAGATGTGTTCAACAAGCCCGCGAGGGACCTCCCTATCAGCAAAATCGGTATTCAGTGCCTTCCAATAGTGTCCGTGTTCCTTAAGCAGAGAATAGAGATCCGCATAGATATCAGAATTGTACAAATAGCCTGAAAAAGCCGCTTGCCAATGATATTCATCCTGTTGTGGGAAGATACGGTTTATATTACCGACAACCCATTCCTTATCAAGATACATCAGATTTGGCAAGTAAGCACCAAGGGTAAATGAGAATTCAAAGGAGGATTCAAGGCTGCGGTCAAGTCTCTTGGTAAAATCCACTTTGATGGCTTGAGGCCATCGGATCCCGTTTTCAGTCTCGTTAGTTCGGGCAAACCGTAAAGCATAGTCTACCATCGCTGAGAACACCTTTTCTGGAGTCGAATTCAGAACAGTCATAGGAGGATCCGCGATGGCAGAATTATCTGATTTAACCTTCTCTGCCAGAACCAAAAGGATTTTCTCTGCAAGCGGCAAAAGCTGAACATCAAACGCATGCTTATCATCCACTGTTCCTGATTTTATCAATTCTGCAGTAGTTGAAAGGATCCAATCCCTATAGTTAAATCCGGTTTTATGCTCGGCTGTCCCGAACTGCTTTGACGCGAGGATGTGATGGATAAATTCCAGCAATGGTGCCCAATTGAACTTCTCCTTATCACGCCATGCTTTTAGGAATCCCTGAAGTAGCGAATATTGGTACTGAAGCTTGACACTGTAGAAGGGTAGTAGGTCATCCGTAAACCGTTGTGGATTCGCTGTCACATACTCCTCAAGCGTTTCTCTTAAGCCGTCCTCACTTGGCTCTGACGGCCCCACTATTCCATCTTGTTTAAAATCGTTAAGGAACTCAGCAATTTGTGCGTTTGACATACCAGATAAGACGTTGACCGTTATAGGACTGGTATATCCCCAGCCAACTTCCGTCCATCGCAAAAGGCCAGGACGTTCAAGTTTTGCTGGGTTAATCTGCTCATACTTCTGATAGGCAGAGATAATTTCTTCGTTGTCTGTCTCCATGAGCGCAGATAACCACTCTCGTTTCTTGAGAGCCTCAATTTTAAGCAGCTCTTCATCGTCTTCCCGATTTTTACTGTACTGGTAGGATTCTACCCAACCTAAAATCTGATCAAACTCTCCTTTATCAAAAGTAAAACAGTGGGTGTGGATTAACTGGTAAATTGAAGGTTTCAACCAAAACTCTTCAAGTGGATTGCCTTCCCATTCCCAAAACAGTTTCTTCAAATCCTCGTGATGGTGCATGATTGCATTGAGAGCGATTCGCCCGAAAACAGCTCGCGCTTCGTTTGTCACAGGGTCATTGCAAGTTACCGCCAATCCTTCTTGTAACAAATCCTTTACTGTTTCTTCAATGCTATTATCAAATTCAACAGATCGTAACAAACCAGAGGTAAACCCAACCAACAGCTCGGCATAACGTCGGTGAGGATAGTCGGAAGGGGCAGTATCAATCTTGTCTATAACATTAAATGAATATGCTCCTTCATTGATAAGTGCTCGGATGCGCGCACATGCAATCTGCACCGCTTCAATTCCACATAATTCTGCGATGGCTTGCTCGTGTTTCTGGAGGGCATCCCATAGCCAATACTCCTCCATAACAGCCCTTATGTCACCATGGATGACTTCGGCACCAAGCATGTTTTTTAGCAGCGCGAGGGTTAGTTCTTTGGCATTTCCATTAAGAAGCTTCGGTAAAACTGTTTCACCGATTGCTGGGTCTATTAATGTGGCTCCCACTCTGGATTTCAACACAACACCAATAAATGCTATGTGCCGAGATTCTATTCTCTCTATAGGAAGGGCACAAATAATTTTGATGACTTGCGAATTTGTGTGATCGCTTGCTATACTTGCCTTAGAGTCATGGGTGTAATTAACTATGGTGTTGACAATGTCAGCCAGGATATTGAAAGTTTCCTCACAAGGTGCCTCCTTAGTGTGATTGGCAACCTTCTCCACGTATCCCAAAGCATGCCAAAAATGTACAGGCTGATCCGACATTTCCTGAGAAGTTGGTTGACTATCTGGGTGGAACCATCCTGCATCTTGTAGAGGTTTCAACCAAGCAGAAGAATCAAGGTTGTTGAAAAAGTAGGCATATCTAACCCTAGACTTTAGCAGTTTAGGCAGCCTCTTTATTCTCTCTTTCGTCGGTTTCTTATGCAGGATGTGATCTATTCTGTTGAGAAAATTAAAATGGTTACCTACCAAGTCCACCAAGACATTTTCAAATTCGTTCCAGAGCGGAACAAACGCTTCTTTTTCTCGAGGGGGTTCCCATGTGCCGTGACGATGGGCAAACTCAGCAAAACGTTTAGCAACGCTTATCCATCTCTCAGCAATAGGTGAATTTTCATCAACACCCAAGGATTGTAGAATTGAGGCTTTATGTTTGCCGATTCGGTTGTAGGTCACTTTGACGATGCCAGGAGCACTGCTGACGAATTTAAAACTGCCTTCTTTTCCTTTCTCATAGATTGATTTGCTACCATCAGGGGTCTCAATGACAAATTTAAGTTCCTCTTTTCTCTTTTCTGACAGCACGTCTCTTAAACCACCCTCAATTTCCCGAGCAATATGTGCTAAAAGATAGGAAGAAGTTTCTAGGTCATCGTCTTGTAGCACTTTTACCCCAGATAGATAAAAGGCAGCTATTTCGGGACCGATAGCTTCCATGTTCCGATAAATTTCAGCTTGCCGTGGAGATAATTCAGAATTGCGGTTTTGAAACCTCACGGGCGGCTGTAATAAATTTTGTTCTTCCTCAAATCCATTTTTCATATTTCATACCTCTTGTCGCTCACGCCTTATACCAATATTTTAACATATCTCAAACCAAATTTCAACCCAATTTCCGTCCACCTGTCTCCAAATTACACTGCGACTTTTGCCGCACGAATGCTTGCTCCGCTCAAGGATTTTCTTGGAGACAATGTCTTGCCATAGGCATATCCTCAATTGCACTTAGAAATATTTCGCCTGCTCAAGTAAAAAATTCCCTCTTTTAAAGAAAAATAAGGCGAAGTCAGAAGACCTCGCCTTACGGATAGCTTAGGAATAAAATTTACTTGCGTTCAGATGGTGCTTCCATCGCCGGATAGATTTCTATATCCGATTGCGTGATGAGTCCACCGACGTAGAAAGTCAACCAGTCGCCGCAGAGTTCAATAGACATGTACTCGTCGTTATCACTGGCATACTCGTGGAGTTCAACGTCGAACTTCTCTTCCCCTTCGGCATTAGCCAAGGTGAGTGTTGCGGGGACAACGTCCTGTCGGTTATATTCGACAGCGATGTCCTCACCCTCACTGTCTGGGTTTGGAAAATAGAGGGTCATCACATCCGGCAACGGATCGCCAAGTTCACATTCGTCGTCAACAATCCATCGGGAAATCTCGTAGTCGTCCTTAGTGCCAGCAACATGATCGACACCGATAACGACCTCTTCCTCTGCATCACGGATGTGATACATATAGCGACGGAGACTGTCACTTTCATACTTCTTTCGTATGACCAGTTTGAAGGCGTGCGAAGTATCTCCTGTCTCCTCATAAGTGATGATGTCGGAGAGTTCAATCATGCTATCAAGCGGAATGTCAGCTAACTCATGCCGCTCCGGTTTCTTGGGTTCAGCGTCCTTTCGGCTACCAAACACGGATTTGCCATCTTTTCTACCAAATAGTGCCATATTCCACCTAAAAATAACCCTTGTTATACATTACTAACATAACCACGCCAACAACGAGGATACCTCCGAAAATAAGCAGGAACCAAGTTCCCCCCGATGTCCTCTTCTGGACAACAACGGTTCGTGTGGCAGGTGGAGCGCGCGTTGTACTTGTTGTGGTCGCCGGTGTAGTTACCGTGGGTGTTTCCTCGGCAGCGGCAAGGAGTTCCACCTTCAGTGCCTCCTCATCAGGAAGCTCATCAACAGTGAAAACTTCGGCACCTTCGCCATAAAATTTATCCGGATTTTCCTCAACATAACTTGCCACATAGTTTTCATCCGGATTAGTCCCCGGATCGACGTAATTCGGGTTCGACTCAATGCCTTGATTCTCGTAGTACTCTTTATAGTGGTCGTACTCCGCCTGCTTTTTGGCATCCCAATGCGATCGGTCATAACTCTGATGGTGGTAGTGCCACATGTAACTATGGCGAATCGAATGGTTGTAATGATCATGGAAATAAATTCCAAACATGAGGTTGTTAAACGCCATAGACGCACCCATGCCGTACATCGAATAGCCCATCATCGGGTAGTAGCCACCGAAGTTATTGACGTTGATCGTTTGGCGTCCCTCTCGGCGAGCGCGTGCAGTTTGACGGTTCGCCGTTCTGTTCTGGCGTTTCAAACTACGGTTTTCTGTTTTGAGTTGCCGCACCTGTTTCCGATTTTGCGCCTTCACCTGCCGTTGCTGGCCGCGCGTTGCGTTCCGAGTCGCAGTCGTGCTTCGATTTGTTGAGGTCGTTGCTTTTGCACGACTTGTCGCAGTCTGTCTCTGGCGTGCTGTGGTACTGGCACGTGTGCCGGTGCTTCTTGACGCGCTATTTCTGCTATAAGTGCTGCCCGTACTGCGGGTCGCTCGTGTCGAAGTTCGAGGCTTACTCTGACTGCGAGTGCTACGATAGGTACGCCTCGGTGTGGAACTCCGCCGACTCGAGCTGCGGCTATAACTCCGGCTGCGACTGAAACTTCGTCCTCCCCGAAAACCACCACCGCGACGACTCTCTACGATATCCGGTGCGAAACTAAATAAAAAGACAACCAAAACCGCAAGGATTGAGAATTTTTGCAATTTACGTTTCACCCTGATCTTCCTCCTTAAATTTTTTTCACTGGAAAAACTTGACAAAAGACACTAATTTTGTTAGAATTAAAGATATATCTAAATCGGGACGGTTTCGTTTACTTAACCTCCCTGAGCATAGATTCATGTGCCTGTAGCTCAGATGGATAGAGCGTCAGCCTCCGAAGCTGAAGGTCGGGCGTTCGAGTCGCCCCAGGCACGTTCTTTCTTTTTAATGGACGTGCACGTCAATCTCACTGCGCGAAACCTTATATCCACCATATTTAAAGACTATGTTAACATTAATTAGAATAACCTGTCAAGAACATTTGAAAGGAAAAACATGGCACTTGAGGTACGCGACGCACGATTAACGGATCTGGTTGATCCGGAGGCAGCTGTCGAGCAAATAGCAACAGGATGCCAATTCACCGAGGGACCGCTCTGGCACGCTACAGAGCAGTTTCTGCTTTTTAGCGATATTCCTGCAAACACGATGCGGAAATGGGATGCAGCACGCCGGAATGACTGTTTTTCGTGAACCCTCTGGAAAGTCAAACGGTTTGACTTACGATAAAGGCGGACACCTCATCGCCTGTGAACACGCAAACCGACGGGTTTCGAGAACAACAGCAGATGGGCACGTTATCACAATCGCATCACACTATCAGGGAAAACGCTTGAACAGTCCGAACGATGTCGTTGTGAAATCCGATGGAAGCATCTATTTCACCGATCCTCCATACGGACTCAGTGCCGCCTACGGCGTTGAATCAGAGAAGGAACTCGACTTTCAAGGTGTCTATCGCCTGTCCCCAAACGGTGAGACACTGACCCTTCTCGTCGACGACTTTGATAGACCCAACGGTATCTGCTTTTCACCAGACGAGTCCATCCTCTACATTAACGACACTGAACGGATGCATGTGCGCGCCTTTGATGTACACCCCGATGGTACAATCACAAACGACCGTATCTTCGGTGAAGAAGAGGGAGATAACGGGAAACCGGACGGGATGAAAGTCGATACGCACGGAAATGTTTATTTAACAGGTCCCAATGGAATTTGGGTCTTCGCACCAGACGGAACGCACCTTGGGATTATTCTTGTTCCTGAACGCACGGCGAACTTGGCATGGGGTGGAGATGACTGGACGAGCCTGTTTATCACGGCGAGTACCTCCGTTTATCGCGTAGAATGCAAGACAGTCGGAGTCGCAGTCCCGTAACACCAATGAAAATTAATATAAAACGCATTGACAAGACGCTTCCGTTGCCGAAATACGAAACCGCCGGTTCCGTCGGCTTCGATCTGATTTGTCGAGAATCCGCAGAGATTGTCCCACAGTCTATCGTCCTAATCCCCGCGAACGTTATCGTTGAAACACCCCCCGGTTATATGCTGATGGTGTGTTTGCGAAGTAGTACACCGCGCAAATTCGGTTTGATGGTGCCGCAAGGCGTAGGTATCGTTGATAACGATTATTGTGGTGAAGAGGACGAACTGAAAATTCAAGTCTACAATTTCACAGACAGCATCGTGAATGTTGAAAGAGGCAGTCGCATCGCCCAAGCCATTTTCGTGCGTGTAGACACAGCAGAATGGAATGAGGTCGAAAAGATGTCCGCCGCCTCCCGAGGTGGATTCGGTAGCACAGATCGGTAATATGGAATAGGTAGTCATGGAACAATATATAGAAGGACTTCGACAGATATTAGATACCGGCGTTGACCGCGAGGGTAGAAACGCCGTAACCCGCGCACTATTCGGCATGCAAATGCGATTCAACATGGAAGATGGGTTTCCTGCTGTAACCACCAAAAAACTCGCATTCCGGTCGGTAAAAGCGGAACTCTTAGGTTTTTTGCGCGGCTACGATCATATCGATCAGTTCCAAAAACTTGGCACACAGATATGGAACGCCAACGCTGAGGCATGGGGACGTGATGGTTACCTTGGACGCATATACGGTGTCCAATGGCGAAGGTGGAAAACAGAAAATGGCACGATAGATCAGTTAGGTGATGTCATCAAACAGATCCAAACCAATCCATATAGTCGTAGACACGTTGTTTCAGCATGGAACGCTGGGGAATTAGATGAGATGGCATTGGAACCGTGCCATGTGTTATATCAATTCTTTGTAGCGGATGGCAAATTGTCGATGCAGACGTATCTGCGAAGTTGCGATATGTTTTTAGGTGTCCCGTTCAATATCGCATCCTATTCGCTCCTCCTGCACATGGTCGCTCAGGTAACAGGGTTAACGCCGAGTGAGTTCGTTCTTACTTTAGGCGACGCGCACATCTATCGTGAACACTTTGAAGCCGTCCAAACCCAATTGAAACGGATCCCTTACCCACTCTCGCGCCTTGAACTGAATCCGCAGATTAAGTCAATTGACGCTTTCAAGATGCAACACATTCAGTTGGTAGACTACCAACACCACGGGACTATTCACGCCCCTATGATTGTTTAGAATCCTTGAGGCACAATGCTACACGTGCCGAATTTCCTACACTGAAGCGAAGATTGCCATGCCTATGGACACGTTCAAAGTTTGTTGCGAGTGCGGGAAACGTTACGCTTGAAGTCCTTAAGCAATATATTGAGAACCAAAAAGGTGTCTAAATGCCAAGTTTCTACCGAACAGAGATACTGAAAATAGAACCTCAACCGATATTTAGCGAAGTAAATGCTGCGTCTGCTGAGGTTTGGAATACTTGCTCAACGCTCATGGACTTGTATCAATATCAACGCGGGTATCCTCACGCTCACAGAGACTTCTATTTCGGTAAGGAATGTGCGGGTTGGATAGACAAAAAACTATCTAATCCGTTACTGCATTCACAGAGTAGGCAGGCAGTATTGCAACGTTATTTCAAGTCTTGGAAATCCTACTCTGTTCTGAAAAAAAATGGTAACATTCAGACTCCCAAACCTCCTAAGAAAACAAAAAACTATACGACGACACGTTGGAAGAAATCTGCTATCAAGTTTGTAGAATGCAGTCTATTGGGTAAACGTGTTCAACTTTCAATGGCTAAAGGTCAACCTAAAATAGATATACCTTTGCCCAAAAACTTTGATATGACTAAAGCAGAACATATCGCAACGATTGATTTGTGCCATAATCACGGTCAATGGACACTCAACTTTTCGTATAAGTACGAAACCCAAACAACCGACACTGGAGACAAAATCGTAGGCGTTGATATAGGCGAAATACACCCGATTGTGAGTCACGACGGACAGCATACAGAAATCTACAATGGACGGTATATCCGCTCACTATACCGACATAGAAACAAAGTGCTTTCTAAATTTAGTCAGGCTATCAGTCGCTGCAAACGCCATTCAAAACGCTGGTGGAAACTCACACGCCGTAAATGGAAACGGATACAAAAGATTGACAAGCAAATCAAGGACGCTTTCCATAAACATACCACAAAGTTTGTTTCGCATTGTGCAGAGAGAGGTATAGGCACGATTGTCCTTGGAGACCTCACAGGTATCCGAAACAATATCAACTATGGTAACCGTGCTAACCAGAAACTTCACCAGTGGGCTTTCGGTAAAATCACTGAGTTAATCACCTACAAGGCGAAAGCACTTGGTATCAAAGTTAAGCAGATAGACGAGGCATATACCTCACAAACCTGCCCAAAGTGTGGGAACCGAAAGAAACCTACAAACCGAAACTATACCTGCACATGCGATTTCAAATATCACCGCGACGGTGTAGGTGCTATCAATATACGACAAAAGTATCTGGGACACTTCGGTGTCCCCGTAGTGGCGGACATGGATAACCAAGCCATGAAAATGACACCGCCCTTGGGCTTTCGGTTGAAAGTCCCTGTTGCCTCGTCTTAAACACGAGGAATGTTTCTACAAGGAACAAAAGAACCCTGGTCTCCTTTAGGCTTGGGAGTATGTCAGACTGCTACTCGCAAGTTGTGTACAGACAAACGAGCATGGCACTTTCCGTTCCGAAAGCAACGCATACACTTATCGTGAAAACTATAAGCCTGACAAGAGGCAATATTTAGGGAGAGAATGACACAAAAAAAGCGAAATCAAGGCAATTCCGGCAATTCAGAGCAGAACGGTAACCCCTCAGACTCAGACGAAGTTACACTACCAGAGGAAGCAGGATTTCTCATTCAAATCGCTTTTGAGGAATTTGAAGAGATTATAATCAATTACCCGCATCACGCCGCCTACTGCTTCGCATCGATTACCCGCTTAGTGGATACAACTGAAAGTCTGTCGCACTTCGCACGGCGGTTGGGAATGTGGCTGTGGATAGAAGTTCTCGCTTTTCAAACTGAGGAACCTCTGGACCTCATGGAATTCGTCGAACAGTTTGAAATCGATCTGGAGACCATCCAGACCGGGATTAACGAACTTGTGGACGTCGGAGAATTTGAGATTGAATGGGAACAGGAAAATCAAACCAAACTCGTACCTCGCATGTCTAAAGAGACAGTGATCCATTTTGCTGCCCAGGTCTTGAGTGGGATAAGGGCAGGAAAACAGGAGGAAGGAGTAGAGCCTTAAAAAAATGGTAGTTTCAATGATTGCCGCGATGGATAAAAACCGGCTGATTGGTAATGGACCGGATATCCCATGGCAAATGCCAGCCGATCGACGGCATTTCCGTGATATGACAATTGGCAAGCCCGTCGTTATGGGGCGTAAGACCTTTGAAACGCTTAAACGTCCTCTGGGCAAGCGGCGCAATATCATTCTCACACGAAACAGGACTTACGAGACACCGAAAGGGTGCATCGTCGCACATTCGGTAGAAGAGGTTCTTAAACTTTGTGAAGGAACAGAAGAACTCATGATATGCGGCGGCGCACCTATCTACGAAACCTTCTTACCGCACGCCAACCGACTCTATCTTACGCAGATCCACGCGACATTCAAAGGCGATGTCTATTTTCCGGCGTTCGATATGGACGCGTGGCAAGAAGTAAACCGTATTGATGGTGAACCTGACGAGAAAAATTCTTATCCTTACAGTTTTTTGTTTTTAGAAAGAAAATAGGAGCAGATCCGTGCTTAATTTGTGTATGCTTTCCGGTTCCTTTGAGTACGACTCCGAGGCATCTTTGATGACCTTCAAAACGTTCGTTGAAAAACACTATCCGATCCAAGCGAATTTAGTTGTCTACAATTCTGAAGATCACGATCCTTCTTTAGCCGTACTGGATGATGCAGATGCTCTGTTAGTTTTTACACGCCGCCTGAATACAGAAGGCGCATCGCTCAGGCAATTTCAGGCGTACTGCGAACAAGGCAAACCCCTCGTTGGCATCAGAACAGCCAGCCACGGATATCAAAACTGGTTGGACTTCGATAAAACCGTGCTGGGGGGCGACTATCAAGGACATTACGGTGAAGGCCCCCCCACTCAGGTGGAATTGATCACCACAGAACATCCTATTCTGAACGGCATTCCAGCGTTTGACTGTTACGGAAGCCTTTACAAAAACCCATCACTTCGCGACGATACCTCTTTACTGTTGATGGGACACACGGACGAACACTCAGAACCTGTAGCATGGACTCGTTTGCATAATGGCGGTCGTATCTGTTATACTTCATTAGGGCATCAGAAAGACTTTGAAGTAGAACCCTTTTTACGATTCCTGGCACAAAGTATTCTGTGGGTATCGGAATCTATATAGGGGAGTTCAAACACCCGAACCGTAAGATTGGCATCCCACTTTGCTATGCCTCCGCTCTCTAACAGAGGCACTTGGAGATATGGAAACACTGACGATTGTGAATGGCGACATCTATACCCCAACACATTATGGACAGGGAAGTATCGTCATTCAAAACGACAAAATTTCAACGATAACATCAGAGGCACTGAAACCATCAGGGGAAGTTATTGATGCTTCTGGATGTCTTATCATTCCGGGATTGATTGACGGATTGGTGCACGGTGGCGGTGGCTATGATAGCATGACCGGTGAAGTTGAAGACATCGCGACAATCGCACGAGCGCATGCGCGCAGCGGCGTAACCGCGTTGGTGTTAGGAATCTCCTCGGGGAGCATGGAACAAATCAACAATGCATTAACGGCTATTGCACATGCCGTTGATGAACCGATATCAGATGGTTCTCGGATTTTAGGGTCGTACGTAGAAGGAAAATTCGGGAGTCTCGCCAAAAACGGCGCGCAGAACGCGAAGTACATTACACCGCCGAACTTTGAAGAATTCCACGCGATGTGGGCGGCTTCCGATGGCACCTTAAAAGTAATCTCCGTCGCGCCAGAAAACGATGAAAATCTGCAGTTCATCAAGCATCTCTCGACCTTTAGCACAGATGCCTATAATAATATCGTTATCGCGATGGGACACACAAACGCGACATATCAACAAGCAATAGATGCGATTGACGCAGGCGTGACACGTGCGACTCATACCTACAATGGCATGAGCGGGATGCACCACCGTACACTCGGCGCAGTTGAAGCGGTACTCTCCCACCCAGACATCCACGCAGAGCTTATCGTCGATGAACATCATGTCCATCCTTTCTGGGGAAATAACTTAATTCAACAAAAAGGGATTCACGCCGTTGGGTTAATTACAGACTGCACAGAACTCGCCGGTGTCCCTGAGGAAGACTGGCAAACCTCGGCAACATATATCCCCGCGCTCGATGCCTATCGCCTCAACGAAGATGCGATTGCTGAACACGACACAGCCTTTGAAACGAATAGTACCGAGAAATATGTCCGTAACGGAGCAATGTGGTTGGATGTAGGAAAGCCTACCGAACGCCTTGCAGGTGCAACAATTACACTTATGGATGGCATCCGTAACGTTATCAACTGGGGGCATTCTCTGGAAGATGCCTTAACGATGGCGACCTTAACACCGGCACAAAATTTAGGCGTTGCAGATTCAGTCGGTTCAATTGCGACCGGTAAAACAGCCGATCTCGTTATCGTTGATGATAATTTGAGCGTTCATACGGTTATTTTACGTGGAAAATTGGTAAAAAATTAGAAAATTCGCAGGATTTACGCATTTTTTGCTTTTTTTTGAAAAAAAATTTGACAATACCTAATTTATCGTGTATAATAATTTAGTTATTGGAAACCCTAATCAATCTTTATTTAGATATTTAGAAGCGGGGGGTAATTATCCGGAAACATTCTAACGTCGTACCTCAATTCCACGTTAATTTGTTGAAGTTGCAATGCCCCGCGCGGGGCTTTTTTATTTTTGTCAGAGACCCATAGAGACATTATTGCGGAGGTTCAAAATGCCAACAATTAATCAGTTAATCAAAAAACCGCGCAAAAGGTCCCGGAAAAAAACGAAATCTCCGGTACTGGAGCAGTGTCCCCAGCGGCGCGGTATCTGTTTACAGGTGAAAACAGTAACGCCGAATAAACCGAATTCAGCTCTGCGTAAAGTTGCTCGAGTGCGGTTCACCAGTGGCTATGAAGCAACCTGTTACATTCCGGGGATCGATCACAATTTGCAAGAACACTCAGTCGTTCTGGTCCGGGGCGGGAAAGTGAAAGACCTCTCTAATGTGCGTTACCACATCGTCCGCGGCAAATTGGATACAGCAGGTGTCGATAACCGCCGCCAAGGTCGCTCAAAGTACGGCGCACGGAAACCGGACTAAACAACGGAGGAAGAGTAGATGCCGAGACGCGGAAACATCAGCAAACGGGATGTGAACCCTGACTCTCAATATAACAGTAAGTTGGTGGCCAAATTCATCAATAGCCTCATGTTCGATGGGAAGAGAAGCACGGCGCAATCGATCCTATATGAGAGCTTTCAGATTATTGAATCTCGAGCAAACGAAGACGGTTTCGCCGTATTCCGCCAAGCAATCAACAATGTCAAGCCGGTGTTGGAAATCAGACCTCGGCGTGTAGGCAGCCAGACCTATCAAGTCCCTGTTGATGTAAAAGCAGAACGGAAACAACGATTGGCTTTTAGTTGGATTATTCAATCCGCACGCGGCCGTGGCGAAAGACGAATGGCAGAACGCCTTGCAGGCGAAATACTTGAAGCCTCTCGGAACGAAGGCGGCGCAATCCGCAGGAAAATGGATCAGCATCGAATGGCAGAAGCTAACAGAGCTTTCGCACATTACCGATGGTAAAAAATGCATCACGGCTTATAGCCAAGTGTAAACACACATAAGGAGTCGTTCAACCGTGGCGGATAAAAAAAACAGCAACCCAGAGCGCTTAGAATTGCCCCACATGCGCAATATCGGCATCATGGCACATATTGATGCCGGGAAGACCACTGTCACCGAACGCATTCTCTATTATACCGGCAAAGTCTATCGGATCGGGGATGTGGACGATGGCACCACCACTATGGATTGGATGGTGCAAGAACAGGAACGCGGGATTACGATTACTGCCGCCGCAACAACCTGTCAGTGGAAAAAACACCAAATCAATATCATTGATACACCGGGGCATATTGACTTTACCGTCGAAGTTGAACGCTCACTTCGCGTCCTTGACGGTGCAGTCGCTGTTTTTTGCGCAGTCGGCGGGGTTGAACCTCAATCTGAAACTGTTTGGAGACAAGCAGATAAATACGATATACCTCGAATCGCGTTTGTCAACAAAATGGATCGAACCGGTGCCGATTTCTTTCGCACCGTTGAAATGATGGAAGAACGCCTCGGTGCTGCAACAATCCCAGTGCAACTTCCAATCGGTTCAGCAGAACAATTCACAGGTATCGTAGACCTCATCTCCATGAAGGGCCAAGTCTGGAACGTTGGAAAAGACGCTGGTAGCGATGGTACTGTCATTCAAGAGACAGACATCCCCAAGGAAATGGAGGAGATGGCAACCGAATATCGAGATCGGATGTTAGAGGCTATCGCCGATTACGACGAAGAACTTATGCGCAAATACGTGGACGGTATTGAAGTTTCACCCGAAGAGATTAAAGCAGGAATACGGAATGCTGTAATTAATGGCAATATTGTCCCTGTTCTATGCGGAACTGCACTAAAAAATAAAGGCGTACAACCCCTCTTAGACGGGATTGTTTCCTATCTACCGGCACCCACCGACGTGCGGCCAGTGGTAGGGTTTAATCCGAAGACCGAGGAACAAGTAACGCGTCCCCCAAGTGATAATGAACCTTTTTGTGCATTGGTGTTCAAAATCATGACGGATCCGCACGTTGGTAAACTTACCTTCCTACGTGTATATTCCGGTGTCCTCAAGAAAGGGGATACGGTCTACAACAGTAAAACGAGAAAGCACGAACGGATCGGGCGGATAATGCAGATGCACGCCAACAAACGGGAAGAACACCAAGCCGTTTACGCAGGTGACATCGCCGCCGCAATTGGGCTAAAAGACCTCTCAACTGGTGATACACTTTGCGATCCGAAGGCACATATCACATTAGAAACGATGGTGTTCCCACTGCCGGTGATGTCTATCGCCATTGAGCCTCGAACCCAATCTGATATTGATAAACTCAACCTTGCCCTCTCAAAACTCGCTGAAGAAGATCCGACCTTTAAAGTGCATCAAGACAGCGAAACAGGACAAACATTATTGTCCGGTATGGGTGAACTTCATCTTGAAATCATCGTCGATAGGCTCGTGCGCGAGTTTAACGTTTCGGCGAATGTTGGTAGCCCAGAAGTCGCCTATCGGGAAACGATCCGCAAAGCAGTTAAGTCTGTGGGACGTTTCGTACGTCAATCTGGTGGTAGAGGTCAATTTGGGCACGTTGTGATCGAGGTTGAACCTCTTGAGAAAGGAACAGGCTTTGAATTCATTAACGAAATCAAAGGTGGCACTATTCCGCAAGAGTACATCCCAGCAGTGCGGAAAGGCATTGAGAACGCGATGAATACGGGTGTCTTGGCAGGCTACCCAATTGTTGATGTATCCGTAAAACTGGTAGACGGTTCACATCACCCTGTAGACTCATCAGAAATGGCGTTCTCTATCGCTGGTTCGATGGCGTTTAAAGACGCACTGAAGCGCGCTACGCCGACACTCCTTGAACCAATTATGGACGTTGAGGTTATCGTCTCCGACGAATACCTCGGCAAAGTGATAGGTGATTTGAATTCGCGGCGTGCACAGATACGTGAGACAGAAATGCAAGCGAAATCTCGTATTCAAGTTATTCGTGTTGATGTTCCTCTCTCAGAAATGTTTGGGTACGTCAAAACTCTTAGGTCACTCACACAGGGTAGAGCCAACTACTCTATGGAGTTTTCACACTATAACGAAGTCCCAACAAGCGTGATGGAAGACTTAATTTCATCAGCGAATCGTTAAGTAGTTGTTAAGGTGTCCGAACTGTCGGAGTGTTCTCACTTCCGATAAGCGGATACAGGATTTGATTAAACGGTCTGTTCATACGTTAAAGCGTTTGAATACCTAACAGAAACGGGAATGCGTAGTTTTACATCTATAAGGAATCGGGGTTACAAACCCCTCCTACACTGCGTTTATATGCCCGCAACAATAAACTTTTAGTGGAGCTCGGACAAAAATGGCTAAAGAAACGTTTGAAAGGACTAAGCCACACGTCAATGTTGGAACAATCGGCCACGTTGACCACGGTAAGACAACACTGACAGCTGCGATTACTATGGTGCTCTCAAAACTCGCTGGCGCAGATTACGTCATGGAGTATGACGAAATCGATAAGGCACCTGAAGAAAAAGAACGTGGCATTACAATTAACACAGCACACGTTGAGTATGAAACCGAGAACCGGCATTACGCACACGTCGATTGCCCCGGACACGCTGACTATATCAAGAACATGATTACAGGTGCAGCACAGATGGACGGCGCGATTCTCGTCGTATCCGCCGCTGACGGTCCCATGCCTCAGACGCGTGAGCACGTGCTACTCGCACGGCAGGTGAATGTGCCATCTCTCGTCGTTTTTCTGAATAAGGCAGACATGGTCGATGATGAAGAGCTGCTCGAACTCGTCGAATTAGAAGTCCGTGAATTGCTAAACGCTTACGACTTCCCCGGGGATGATGTTCCTATGATCACAGGTTCCGCTCTTGAAGCAATGGAATCTGGTGGCGATCCGGAAAGCGAAGCATGCCAGCCTATTCTTGAACTCATGGCAGCTGTTGATGAACACATTCCAGAACCCATTCGCGATACCGATAGACCCTTCCTGATGCCGATTGAAGATATCTTCACCATCAGTGGACGCGGTACCGTTGTTACTGGAAGAGTGGAACGCGGCATCATTGAAATTGGAAAGACCGTTGAAATCGTTGGATTACGCGAAACCCAGGATACTGTTGTCACAGGTGTTGAGATGTTCCGTAAAAACCTCAACGAAGGTCAAGCTGGCGACAACCTCGGCGCACTATTGCGTGGTATTGAGCGTGACTCAGTCGAACGTGGACAAGTTTTGGCAATCCCCGGAAGCGTTACGCCACATACCAAATTTGAAGCCGAAGCCTACATTCTCACAAAAGATGAAGGCGGACGCTGGAATCCATTCTTTAGCGGATACAGACCGCAGTTCTACTTCCGAACAACTGATGTAACCGGAAAGATGGATCTCCCTGAAGGCATCGAAATGATTATGCCTGGCGACAATGCACAGATCACCGTAGAACTCTCCAAACCGATAGCGATGGAAGAACAACTCCGATTCGCAATCCGGGAAGGTGGACAGACCATCGGTGCCGGTGTTGTCTCCAAAATTATTGAATAAAACGATAGGGCGGGGCTTATGCTCCGCCTTTTTAAAGTAATCAACACAGAGAATTTCATACATCAACATCAAGATGTAAACAACAAAACCCTCTGTTTGATGAAGGCGATATGAAAAAATGGACAATCAAAAAATTCGCATCCGGCTCAAGGCATTTGACTATCGGTTGTTAGACCTGTCGTCAAAGCAGATAGCAGATACTGCGAAACGCACAGGGGCAGCTGTTTCCGGTCCGATTCCATTGCCGACGAAAAAGCATATCTATACCGTTCAACGTTCTACGTTTACAGATAAGAAGTCGCGTGAACAATTTGAGATGCGGATTCATAAACGTCTGCTGGATATCTTAGAGACCACACCTAAAACTGTTGATGCCTTGATGCGTTTGGACCTGCCTGCAGGTGTCGATGTCAAAATCACGTTATTGTAGTCGGAGAAATGATTGTTCTCCACTCCAGAGGTTTGGAAGCCGCAGCGCACGCATCAGAGAACGTGAATCGCTCGCGGATTTGCAGACCCTAAAGGAGGAGAGCGAAAAAAAATGCTTAATGGAATTATCGGCCGCAAAGTCGGCATGACACAAATCTTTGAGGATTCAGGTGAAGCGATCCCTGTTACCGTCATCCAAGCAGGTCCCTGTCCAATTGTCCAACTCAAAACGCAAGAAAAAGATGGATATCAGGCAGTTCAATTGGGTTTCGGAAAGCAGAAAGAGAGCCGTATCAATAAGCCTAAGCAGGGGCATTTCGCCAAAGCTGGCATTGACTCGGCATTCGTACTTCGGGAATTTCGTGTACAGAGTCTCGATGACGTGTCTGTAGGAAGTATTGTCGATGCAAGCGTCTTTTCAGAGGGTGAACTCGTTGATGTAACTGGCACCTCGAAAGGACGCGGTTTTACCGGTGTGGTGAAACGTTGGAAATTCGCCGGTGGTAAGAAAAGTCACGGCGGCGAGCAAGATCTGCGTCGTCCTGGCTCCATTGGTGCAAGCGCGACACCCTCCCGGGTATTTAAAGGAAAACGGATGCCGGGACGTTACGGTGCCAAACGGCATACCACCCAAAACTTACCCGTGATCCAAGCCGATCCTGAGCGCAACTTATTGGTGGTTAAAGGTGCTGTTCCCGGACCCCCCAACGGTTTGCTGCTGATTAGAAAGGCATCTAAAGCACCGAGTGCATAGGTAGACCTTCTTTACCAAGTAGATTGTCAAGAGGAAAATATGGCAACTTTAGACGTACACAACATATCCGGGGCTGTTCTCCGGGAAAAAGAATTAGCCGAGGCATTCACCGATGCTGAAGTGAATGGTCCTGTCATTCACCAGTGTGTCGTTGCTTACCTCGCGAATCAGAGGCAAGGCACTGCATCAACAAAAACCCGGAGTGAAGTGAAAGGCAGTGGGAGAAAACTGTACCGCCAAAAAGGAACGGGTAGAGCTCGTGTCGGGGATGCCAAGTCTCCAATTCGAGTACACGGTGGTGTAGCGTTTGGACCGAAACCGCGTAGTTACCGGCAAGCCACCCCGAAACGGCTTCGCCAGCTTGGACTTCACAGCGCACTGGCAGACAGGTTTCAGAATCAGCAGTGCATTCTTGTTGAAGATTTCACGCTTGAGCACCCACGTACCAAAGACATAGTTAAGATGTTAGAGGCGGTGAATGCGGAAGGAAAAGTGCTGTTTGTTCTCAATGAACACAGCCTGAATATTCACCTCTCTGTCCGGAATATACCGCAAGTTAACAGTTGCACATGGGACAACATCAACATTTATCAGGTCATGTGGCATGACACGCTGATAATCACCGAGAATGCTGCTGAGAAGTTGGAATCCAAATTTGTTAGCATCAGTTCAGATAAAGAAGGATAAAACTGATGAAGGATATATATCAGATCATATTACAACCGCTGATAACGGAGAAAAGCACAATACATCGCGAGTCTAACAAGTACGCGTTCGTTGTCGATCGCAAGGCAACGAAGCCACAGATTCGTCGAGCTGCGGAAGAATTGTTTGACATTCAAGGGGATATTCTTAAGGTTCACACGATGCGCGTTCGCGGTAAACCCAAAGGTAAAATGTTGCGTTATCAACGTGGCAGAAAACCACATTGGAAGAAAGCGATTATTACCCTGAGAGAAGGCGCAACTATTCAAGCGTTTGAAACTATATAGGAATCGCAAGAAGGAAACTTACAACGGTCCGTATATAGTCGTTCGCTGGTGAATTTAAGTTTGTAATAAATTGACATCCCTATTCACATAATGATGATTGCCAAACGGGTAATCCGCTCAACTCAAATGGACGAGAGTGTCAGAAAAGCACTAACTTAGGGAGAACATATCAACCTAAGGAAATGTTATTGCTGGCACGTTTAAAAAAAGGAAATCAGAGTGCCTAAAACTTATTCACCCATAACCCCAAGTCGCCGGTTTATGACTGGGTATACCTTCGAAGAGATTACGCGGAGCAAACCGGAAAAATCTCTTGTCAAAGGTGCGAAACAGAAAGCCGGTCGGAACGCCAGTGGCCGCTTGACAGTGAGACGCCGCGGTGGAGGACATAAGCGCCGATACAGAGCCATTGACTTCAAGCGAGACAAGTTTGGCATCCCCGCCAAAGTTGCCACGATTGAATATGATCCAAATCGGTCTGCGCATATCGCCCTACTACACTATGTTGATGGCGAAAAACGCTATATCCTCGCACCTGTCGGTCTTCAGGTCGGCGACATGTTAACCTCAGGCGCAGACGCGGAAATTCGGGTCGGAAACGCCTTACCACTTGAGAGGATCCCACTCGGATCGTCAATCCACAATATAGAGATGCATCCGGGCAAAGGCGGCCAGCTCGTCCGGAGTGCTGGCGGTGCCGCGCAGTTAGTTGACAGAGAAGGTAAGTACGCTCGTATTCGACTTCCCTCTGGCGAGGTTCGTCTCGTCCTCGTCCGAGCAATGGCAACACTCGGACAGGTTGGCAATGCCAGCAAGATTGTCATTGGTAAAGCCGGTCGTTCGAGGTGGCTCGGCAAACGTCCGAAGGTTAGAGGCGTGGCTATGAATCCAGTCGATCATCCGCATGGTGGTGGTGAAGGAAAAAGCTCCGGTGGTAGGCATCCGGTCACACCTTGGGGTGTTCCAACCAAAGGGTATAAAACCCGAAACCCGAAGAAGAAATCAAGCCGCTACATTGTTGGAAAACGGAAATAGTTTTTTCGTGAATGCCTCACTCAACAAAGGCTTAATATTTACAAGGTAGAGGAGAAACACAATGGCGCGTTCTCTCAAAAAGGGACCTTACATAGACCCGAAACTTGCTAAGAAGATAGCCGCTATGGAACGCTCTGGCAGTAAACGGGTGATTCGGACCTGGTCCCGCCGTTCAATGATTACCCCTGAGTTGGTAGGCCACACTCTGGCGATATACAACGGAAAGAAATTCTTCCCGGTGTATATAACAGAAAATATGGTAGGACACAAACTCGGGGAATTTTCGCCAACTCGCACCTTCCGTACTCACTCAAGTGGCGCAAGAAGATAACTTTGTGATAGCTTTCATCGTAAAGTGAGGCTCACCGCAACTTCATCTTTTTATGAGACACTGCGTTTGGATGCCTTGTCGCGAATCACAATGAAACCAGAAAAAATTGCTTTTATTAGGAGACACCGATGGAAGCCAGATCTAAGATTAAGAACGTGTCGGTTGCCCCGCGGAAAGCCCGCTTAGTAGCTGATCTCGTCCGTAATCAATACGTTGAAGATGCGTTAAGTCAGCTGAACTTTACGCATAAAGCCGCGTCCCCTATAATTTACAAACTAATTCAGTCAGCAGCTGCGAACGCGCAATATCAAGATCCGAACATCAATCTCACAAACTTATATGTTAAAGAGATTCGGGTTGATGAAGGTATTACGCGGAAATGGATACGTCCCCGGGCACGAGGTATGGCAAACAAAATCCTAAAACGGAGTAGCCATATCACCGTCGTCGTTGATGAGGAGAGTAGTAAAAATGGTGAGTAACGGCGTAGACTTACAAAACACCAACAGCACTGCTTCAACTCCGCGTCGCGAACGGGGAAGAGTTCGATAGGAGGTTTGCGTGGGACAAAAAACTCATCCCCGTGGATTACGCTTAGGAATCACTGAAACGTGGGATTCAAAGTGGTACAGCGAGCGGGATTATGCCAAATGGCTCCATGAAGATTTTAAAATTCAGAAGTTTATCAAGGAACAACTTGCGCGTGCTGGTATTTCGCGTATTGAAATCGAACGCGTAGCGGACCGTTGCAGCATTAATATTCATACAGCACGCCCAGGTATTGTGATCGGTCGTCGTGGTGCAGAAGCTGAGAAACTACAAGCACTGCTCGAAAAAGAGGTCGGCTGCCCTGTACGGATTAATGTCTCGGAGATTAGAGAACCAGAACTGGATGCCCAACTCGTAGCAGAAGATGTCGCAATGCAAATAGAACGTCGTGCAGGATTTAAACAAGCGATGCGGCGGAAAATTTCGGGTTCAATACAAGCTGGGGCATTGGGTATCAAAATCATGGTAAGCGGTAGACTGGACGGCAAGGAAATCGCCCGCACTGAATCCAGTATTGAGGGACGGGTCCCTCTTCACACCCTCAGAGCGAATGTTGACTACGGATTTACGGAAGCAACTACAACATACGGCAAAATCGGGGTCAAGACTTGGATTTTCAAAGGCGAAATTATTGGTGTGCCGGATAATTTAAAGGGTGAAGCGCCCGTCCGTCGTCAATCCGGACGGCGTGAGGACGCTGGTTCACAACGTCCTGAACGCCGACGGGGTGACAGGCGTCCCGGCCCCCGACAATCCGGGGGGGAGCAGGGTAGAGGAAGAGGTCGGCGGCGCCCGCGTCGAAGCGAAGGCGGTCCCGGTAGCAATTCATAACCGCACATACAGATTTTTAAGGAGGCATTTAACGTGTTAATGCCGAAACGCGTGATGCGCCGCTACGTGCATCGCGGAAAACGCCGTGGAAAGCCACTCCGAGGTTCTACGATTAGCTTCGGCGAATACGGCTTGCAAGCAATGGAAGCTGGCTGGATTACCAGCAATCAGATTGAATCGGCACGTGTCGCTATCACGCGATATGTACGCCGTGGTGGAAAACTTTGGATCAAAATTTTTCCACATAAGCCACTCAGTAAACAACCTGCTGAAACGCGCATGGGTAAGGGCAAGAAGGGGCCTCCTGAACATTGGGTTGCTGTTGTTAAACCCGGCAGAATTCTTTATGAATTAAGCGGCGTTTCGCTTGAAGATGCAAAAGGGGCGATGACTCGAGCCGCCCACAAATTGCCAATCAAGACTAAGTTTGTTGCGCGGAATGAGTAATTTCGTCTGCGACTCCGACGTTGGAAAAATTACGAGTCTGCTGACGCAGCACTGTGGTTTTGATAACACGCATGGAGGTTCGGAAAAATGAAAGCGGATGAACTACGAGGAAAAACGACTGAAGAATTGGAAGGTGAATTGAAAACTCTTAAAGAGAATCTGTTCAACCAGAGATTCCGAAGTATTTTAGGACAACAAGAGGACACAACACATATCGGTAAGATTCGGAAGGACATCGCACGCGTGAAAACCGTCCTACGGCTCCGGTCAGAGTAGACGGGACCTATAGGAATAGGTTACATGTTGAACCCTGATTCCGTCTCATCAAATTTGTACTGTGTGCTCATAAAAACAATTAGTTTTGACTGGTTTGGAGGATAAAGTTGAGCGAGGAAAGACGAAGACATCGCAAATTTCGGACAGGTCATGTTGCCAGTAACGGTATGGATAAAACTGTTACAGTGTCGCTTGTTCGACGCTATCAACATCCCCTTTACAAAAAGGTAATCCGGAAAACAAAAAAGATTCTGGCTCATGATGAACAGAACAGTTGTAACGTCGGTGACGTGGTACAGGTTGTCGAAACCCGGCCGCTGAGTCGTCATAAACGGTGGCGGGTCCAAGCGATAGTAAGCACAATGCAGACCGCAAACGACTAAGAAGTGCCAACATCAGTGTGTGAGGTTTGTTACCACCAGAGAGGGTGGGAGAAGCAGCAACGCGGTTCATATGGCACTTGAAAAGAAAGGGTTTCATCTTCACTCTGACGTTTCCAAAACAAGCCGTTTTGAAGACGGTAGAGGAGGATACAAAAATGGTTCAATCATATACTCGATTAACCTGTGCTGATAATACTGGCGCAAGGAAGTTAATGTGCATTAGTGTGCTTGGGGGAACGCGGCGTCGCTACGCACGTGTTGGCGACGTGATTGTTGCGAGCATCAAAGAGGCGACACCTAACACACAGGTAAAAGCAGGTGAAGTAGTTCGGGCAGTTGTCGTTCGCACTACTAAAGAATATCGACGCGCAGATGGTTCCTATATTAAATTTGACCAGAACGCTGCAGTTCTCATTGATCCGCAGAATCAACCGCGCGGCACTCGAATTTTTGGGCCGGTCGCACGGGAACTGAGAGAAAAGGCGTTCACCCGAATTGTCTCGCTCGCACCCGAGGTCATTTAGGAGGACAATTGTGGCACAACGAAAACTCCATATCAAAAGGGACGACACAGTGGTGGTTCTTAGTGGGCAAGATCGGGGTAAACAAGGAGTCGTTTTAGAGGTGTTCCCACAGAAACAGCGAGCAATCGTTGAAGGTGTTCATATGGTTATACGTCACCTCCGGCCAAACCAGGCTGGACAAGGCGGTATCGTTGAGCGCGAGGGCACCATCCACGTTTCTAACCTCAAAAAGATTGATGGCTAACTGGAACAAAGTGCCCCAGATACTGCTGAAGAAGCACATTGCAAAGCATCTCTCACGAAATATGCAATCTCTATAGGATACAAGGCTTATGAGCCCATTCAAAGAATTTTACCAAACGGAAGTCATGCCCGCATTGCAACAACATTTTAATTATAAAAATGTGATGCAGATTCCGAAATTGGACAAGATTACACTGAATATCGGTGTTGGTATAGCAATTCAGAATCCAAGTGCATTGGAAGATGCCGTAGAAGAACTGACACTTATTGCGGGCCAACGCGCGGTGATCACCCGTGCGAAAAAGTCCATCTCTGCATTCAAAATCAGAGGTCCATCAAAGTTAGGACGGACTCCCGGCATGGCAATCGGATGTAAGGTTACACTGCGGCAGCACAAGATGTATGAATTTCTCAATCGCTTAATCAACGTCGTGCTACCCCAAATTCGGGACTTCCGTGGGATATCACCCGACGCTTTTGACGGACGAGGCAACTATTCCCTGGGTCTCACGGAACAGTTAATCTTTCCCGAAATTGATTACGACAAGGTTAACGATATTCGCGGAATGAATGTAACCGTTGTTACTACCGCCCCAACTGACGAAGAAGGTCACGAGTTGCTAAGTCTTTTAGGAATGCCTTTCCGGAAATAGATCGATGAGGTCTTTCGCTAAACTGTAGTCAAAGTACCTCACAGGCACCCTTTACCAGCAACTAACCTTCAACACCCGTAAGTATTATGGGTAAACAAAAAAAGGAGTATCCAGGTTGGCAAGTAAATCATGGATTGCCAAACAGAAAAGAACCTCGCGGTTCCGAAGCCGAGAATACAGTCGTTGTAAAAGTTGCGGCAGATCGCGTGGGTATCTTCGTAAGTTTGAGTTGTGTCGTATCTGTTTCCGCCTCTTTGCACGCGCCGGTAAAATACCCGGTGTCCGAAAGGCAAGTTGGTAGAGGACTGAATAAGTTGTCCCTCTCTACACAAACATGACAGGTACAACAGCTATTCAAAAACGAGAACAAAATAAGGAGAGTCTTTCATGTCGATGACCGATCCGATTGCTGATCTGCTAACACGTATCCGCAATGCCAACATGGCAGGACATGAACGCGTCGAAATCCCTTCTTCAAAAGTCAAAACCGAGATCGCACGCATCCTGGCAGAAGAAGGTTTCGTCAGAAATTACCGTTTAATCGAAGATAAGAAACAGGGAATTTTAAGAATCTACTTGAAATACGGAAACACGAAAAAAGAGAAGGTCATCACAAACCTAAGACGTATCAGCAAACCCGGCAGAAGGGTTTACGTCAAATCCGATAGTTTGCCACGGGTTTACGGAGGACTTGGAGTCGCAATTTTGTCAACATCTAATGGGCTAAAAACGACACCACAATGCCGTCAGGAAAAAATCGGCGGCGAAGTTCTCTGTCACGTCTGGTAACATCTTGCTGATGACGCTCAACGGTCAGGAGAGAATAAATGAAAATGTAAACATTTTCATTTTATTTTCCTAACGGGAGACATAGAATGTCACGTATTGGACTACAACCGATTCCACTGCCCGACAAGGTGCAAGTCGCTTTAAACAACAGCGACGTGCAGGTAGACGGACCGAAAGGAAGTCTCAATTGGAACCTTCCAGAAGGAATCAATGCGACGCTTGAGGAAAACGTCCTAACCGTCCAAAGAACGAGTGAACTAAAACAATACAAAGCCCTGCACGGATTGGCGCGCAGCCTCATCGCCAATATGGTTACCGGTGTTTTAGAGGGCTTTGAGAAAAAACTACGAATAGTCGGTACGGGTTATCGTGCTGAGGTCAATCGTGAGAACAATTTGGTTCTCGATGTTGGCTATTCGCATTCCGTCACCTACTCCACACCTGAGGGAATAACACTGAGCGTTGAACCCACTGAAACAGTAGATGGGCAGCCACATACACTTCTCACTGTCAGTGGCATCGACAAACAATTGGTCGGACAAGTAGCAGCTTCTATTCGTCAAATTAAGAAACCGGAGATTTATAAACCTTGTAAAGGTATTCGTTACGATGGTGAGCGCGTCCGAGATAAAGAAGGAAAAACTGTCGCTGGCTAACGTTGTTAGATTTTGCGCGCTGGCAAATGAAAGCGTGCCTATAGTGATAACGAGTTTTTGCAAGACCAGTCTCATTCTGAATAAAGCGAGATTTATCTGTGGAAAAGCGATAAAAAGCAGATAAATCTGTGCGAAGTGTTGGTGTGAGCAAAGTCGTAAACATTGGCTTTGCTAAAGAACCACACAATCCGCACCCTCCGCGATGTCGAAGCGGTATAGAAACATCCGACAATTCGCAATTAGAAGTTAAAAGGCGTTAGCATAATGTAAAGCAAAGACAAATTTTGCCGCGTGTGGGCAAAATTTGGTGCTAACTTTGTAGGTTTCACCAATCTATTGGTGATTGCAAAGCGAGATTTCTATAGATTTCTATAGAAATACTCAGGTTCAAAGGAACAGACCCCTTGGTACTTATAAAAAAGAAACGGATGAGCCATTTACGACGCCGGAAGCGCGTCCGTCAAAAGATCAGCGGCACTGGGAACAGACCGAGGCTCTCTGTTTTTCGAAGCTCAAAACATATCTATGTGCAGCTTATTAATGATGAACTTGGCATGACGGTTGCCGAAGCCTCTACTTTATCGCCCGAACTGAGAGAGGCTCTCTCAAACGGTGGAAACGTTAAGGCAGCGGAGAGCGTTGGCGCGCTTATCGCACAAAAAGCCAAGCAGCAGGAAATTGAGGTAGTTGTCTTTGACCGGGGCGGGCATCTCTACCACGGGCGCATAAAAGCCCTTGCTGAAGCTGCGAGGTCAGAAGGATTGAAGTTCTAACTGCCCCGCATACCGGGTCCTGTTACCCTAAAGGCTGTAGCGATTTCACTACACCTCGTGGTAAACAAGACTACACCGGATAGGAGATTTCTTTGCTGAAAGATAAAATCAACCCTGATGATTTTGAATTTGAGGAACGCATGATTACTATCAACCGTGTGATGCGAGTCGGTAAGGGGCGGCGAACGCCCAGTTTTAACTCGCTTACCGTTGTTGGAAATCGCGATGGTATTGTTGGTATCGGATTTGGTAGCGCAAGCGAAGTCGCTGGCGCGCTCCGAAAAAGTTTCGCAGATGCTCGAAAAAATCTTATTCGGGTTCCAATCACCAACGCTGGTACACTTCCACATGAGATCACCTGCGAATTTAAAGCTGCCAAAGTCTTGCTAAAACCGGCAAGCCCCGGGACAGGTATTATCGCAGGACATGCGACGCGTGCTATCCTTGAATTCGCAGGCGTTCGAGATGCGCTAACAAAATGCATCTCCTCTCGGAATGTGAAAAATATCGCTGAAGCTACCATACTTGGATTGAAGAACCTCAAAGATTTTAACGAAGTCGCACGGTTACGAGACCTAACTGTCGAAGAATTGCTCAAGAAACGCTAAAACAGCATGCTTCTCAGTGAGAATGCCACTGCGCTTTAGAATTTTTTGTCCGTGCACACCCAAGGATACACCGAACACGCGTGTGTAAGCCACACTGATACTATAGGAGTAAATTCTGATGAAACTGAACGAACTTAAACCTGCACCGGGCGCAAACCGTACCAGAAAACGAGTCGGCAGAGGCGACGCTTCGGGTTCGGGCGGCACCTGTGGACGTGGTCACAAGGGTCAAAAATCCCGATCCGGTAGTTCAATCCCCGCATGGTTTGAAGGTGGGACAGATGCCGCTCGTTCGACGGCTTCCCAAACGAGGACCGCGGCGAACCGGACACAAACGATTAGAGTACGATGTCATTAACGTAGAAACCCTCAACCTTTTTGAAGATGCCGCGGTTGTCAGTCCTGAAGCCCTTCGCGAAGCAGGATTAATTAAGCGGAAAAACGCCCTGATAAAGATACTCGGCGACGGTGAACTCGAAAAACAGTTGAAAGTCCAAGCACACCGCTTCTCAAAATCTGCAGTCCAGAAAATTGAATCCAAAGGCGGCACAACCGAGGTCCTCGGGATGCATGCGAATACTAACGACCCTGCTTAAGCATCCGCAGGTGAGGAGGGAAAAAAATAAGTGATTAAGGCAGTTCAAAACGCTTTTAAAATACCCGAATTGCGGAAACGCATCATTTTTACAGCGTTGCTCTTGATTGTTTACCGCCTCGGTGCCCACATTACGCTTCCGGGTATTGACGACATAGCACTCGAAGCTTTCTTTCAACAACTCATGGAGCGCGGTGGGAATGTCATTGGATTCATCGATCTGTTTTCTGGTGGCGCGTTTAGTCAGATGACTATTTTCGCGCTCGGCATACAACCGTATATTAGTGCCTCAATCATTATGCAGCTCCTGGCTGTCATTGTGCCTTCATTGGAGAAACTCTCCAAAGAACCTGACGGCAGAAAGAAAATTACGCAGTATACCCGATACGGCACAGTTATTCTCAGTATCATTCAGGGTACAACGATCAGCATCGTCTTGCGGAATCCAGAAAATATAACTGGACAGGTAGACGAAATCGTGAGAAACCCCGACCTCTGGTGGCATTTCCTTGTAGTTATAACACTCACTGCCGGAACCTCCTTTGTTATGTGGTTGGGTGAACAGATTACAGAGCGCGGTATTGGACAAGGTATTTCATTAATTATTACAGTTGGCATTGTTGCTGGATTGCCTGGCGGTGTTACAAGCGTTTTCAGCAATCTCGTGACAAGACCTGAGTTCGGAATCCTACAACTCGCCCTTTTAGTTGCACTTATTGTTGTTGCCGTTATGGGAACTGTGTTCATCACACTCTCTGTTCGGAAGATTCCGGTGCAATACGGCAGGCAGATTCGCGGACGTAGAGTGATTGGCGGACAATCAACACATCTGCCCCTACGCGTTAACGCCGCTGGTATGATTCCTATCATCTTTGCTGTGACGTTGATCCAGTTCCCGCCGACTGTCCTTGGTTTTCTACCACGGGACTGGGGATGGGTAACTGGCGTAGAAGCCCTCATCGCTCCAGGGGCACCGTTGTACCTCACCGTTTACGCGTTGTTAATTATTGGTTTCACCTATTTCTACACAGCTGTGCAAATCAACCCAATTCAAATGGCAGAGGACTTACAAAAATACGGCGGTTTTATTCCGGGTATACGAGCAGGTAAACAGACCGCGGATTACATCAACACTACACTTACACGCATCACGCTTCCAGGCGCAGTATTTCTCGCTGCTATTGCTGTGATTCCGATTATTATCACAAGCCAGCTTAATGTTGGAAACATGGTGGAAGGTGCTTCTATCTTGATCGTTGTAGGTGTCGTGTTAGATACAATGTCACAAATCGAATCCTATTTAACCGTCCGCCATTACGAAGGATTCTTAAAAGATCGAAAACTCAGAGGCAGACGGCGTTAAGCGCTTTCACCTGAAAGAGGACACTATGAAAGTCAGAGCTTCTGTTAAAAAGATGTGTAACCAGTGTAAAATTATTAAACGAAAAGGGATAGTCCGCGTTGTTTGTCCTTCAAACCCGAAGCACAAACAACGCCAAGGCTAATCCCTACAGACATTGCACCCCGCTGGGGTGCTTCAAAGGAATTCCTTTGAAGCTCTCCAGCGGAGGGTTTCCATGTCTATAGACGAAAAAAGGAGGAAACTCATGGCAAGGATCGCAGGGGTTGATTTACCCCGAAACAAGCGGGTGGATATTGCCCTGACGGCAATCTATGGTATTGGTCGTTACACCGCAGCGCAAATTGTTACCGATATCGACCTTGATCCGGGGAAAAAAGTTGAAAGCCTCGCCGAAAACGAGGTCAGCCAACTCCGAGATAAGATTCAAGAGTATAAAATTGAGGGTGATTTACGCCGTGAAATCGACCAAAATCTTAAACGGTTGATGGACATCAGCAGTTATCGCGGTCTGCGACATCGCCGGCAGTTACCTGTCCGCGGGCAGCGCACGAATACTAACGCACGCACCCGTAAAGGAAAAGCACGAACCATCTCTGTCGGTAGAAAAGCCAAAGAGATAGGACGCAAAGGCGCTTAGTTCCGTACTGTGTCCTTATGTCCAAAGGGTATGACGGTGCATCTTCGCACCGTCATGGCATTACTGCACTCTATGGTACATATGTTTATACGACAGAATTCACACACTATAATTTTCGACAGGTGTGGTTCCCACTTGCGTAAACCCTACGAAGGTTTGCACTCTCAGCGCGTGAATCTACACTAAACAGCGAAAGGAGAGCCATTTTGCGTGGAAGAAGAAGAGAACGCAAGAACGTTCCCGAGGGTATAGCACATATACAAGCTACCTTCAACAACACAATTATTACGATCACAGACTTAAACGGAAACACTGTTGCTTGGGCGAACGCGGGTATGACTTTCACAGGTTCACGGAAATCAACGCCTTTTGCCGCACAACAGACAGCGGAATCATGTGCGCGCAGAGCAATGGATCACGGCATGAAACGTGTGGAGGTTAGAGTCAAAGGACCCGGATCTGGGCGAGAGTCTTCTATACGAGCACTCGCTGCTGCTGGACTCGACATTACCTTAATGAAGGACGTGACTCCTATCCCGCACAATGGATGTCGTCCCCCTAAGAGACGACGGGTTTAAAGACCTTCATATACAAGGAGAGGGAATGAGTAGATATTTAGATTCAGTCTGTAAATTATGCCGACGGGAAGGCGAGAAACTCTTCCTGAAAGGGCGCCGATGCAACGGGCCGAAATGTGCTTTTGAACGCCGCAGCTACCCGCCTGGTGAACACGGTCAAACACCGCCACGCAGAAGTCGCGGGGACAATTTCCGACGACAGTTGCGCGCGAAACAGAAAGTCAAACGCACCTACGGTGTCTTTGAGAAACAATTCCGGAACTATTACTCCAAAGCAGCGCGCCAAACAGGTATCGCTGGCGAGAATTTAATTAGCGTCCTTGAACGCAGGTTAGACAATGTCGTTTACCGACTCGGGTTCGCTACCTCCCGAAATCAGGCGCGTCAACTCGTGAAACACAACCACTTCACCGTCAACGGCAAGCGGGTTAATATCCCTTCTTATATCGTGAAAGTTGGCGATGTCATCACCCCTCGCGAACGGAGCCGGAACCTTGCGACTATTCAAGAGGCATTAGAATACACACAGCACCGCGGTGCACCTGAATGGCTGGAAATTGATATGGACAAAGCAGAAGGGCGTGTTCAAGGAACACCCGTGGTAGAGCAACTCGCCACTGACCTTGAAACGCAACTCATCATTGAACTTTACTCCCGATAGATACATCCCCTATACCTGGGCGTTATCGAATACCGGGTGTCTCATTAACATGTATGCGATGCTATAGCACACCTACATATAATTAAGGGCATAACGGAAACCTGTCTCGCGCGAGGGAATCAGGGGATGTCAAAAATACAATACAGACACCAAATTAAGAGGCCGTGCGCAACACAATAGCCACGACCCCTCAGTTTGTCCGTATTTTACACTTATTTTAATCTTATAGGAGGAAATCGATGATAAGGTCCAAGCTAGAAATGCCCGATCGGCTAAAAACTGATACAGATACCTTACGCCCCGATTACGCAAAGTACACCGCTGAACCCTTTGAGCGCGGATTCGGAACAACCCTTGGCAACTCGCTACGCCGAGTCCTCCTTTCCTCAATTAAAGGCGCGGCGATTACATCCGTTCAAATTGAGCAAGTAAAGCATGAATACGCTACGATTCCCGGTGTCGTGGAAGATGTTGTACAGATTATATTCAACCTCAAAGAGGTCCGGCTAAATATCGCAACGGACGACCCGATGCGACTCACATTGAAAGTAGACGGATCTGGCGAAGTTACAGCAGCCGACATTCGTTCTAACGCTCTCGTTGAGATTATAAACCCCGACCAGCATATCGCAACACTCGACGAATGCGAAGGATTGAACATAGAGATTCATGCACAAACAGGCAGAGGATACTCTCTCGCCGAAGAGCACAGACTTATAGGGCACGAGATCGGATTGATTCCTGTCGATGCAAAGTTTTCACCTGTTGAGAAAGTGAACTTCTGGGTAGAAGAAACTCGCGTCGGCGATATGACCAATTTCGATAAACTCAACCTCGAAGTCTGGACAGATGCTACCATCACGGCAAAGGAAGCTGTCACACGCGCTGCCAACATTCTGCTGCAACAACTCGAGATCTTCACAGAATTCGATGAAAGCTACGTTGAACCGGAACCTGAGATCGATGAGGCAAAACTCCGGCGCAATCGATACCTCGCCAAGCCCGTCTCTGAACTTGAACTCTCGGTCCGAGCCAGTAATTGTCTCGAAACGGCAAATATCAAAACCATAAGAGAACTCGTCACAAAAGAGGAAAAGGATATGTTGGAATACAAGAATTTTGGGCGAACATCGCTGAATGAAATCAAGGAACAACTCGCCAACATGGGACTTTCCCTCGGAATGAATTTGGACGACTTAGACGACGCGGATATCAGTGAAGACGATATGACGCAAGCACCTTTGCAACCCGCTGTATAATTCTTCACGACAACGCGTAAATGGAGGAAAACGATGCGTCACAGAAAACGTGGGCGGAAATTGGGACGAACGACAAGCCATCGAACAGCACTTTTCCGCAACCAAGCCACCGCGCTATTTGAACACGAACAAATTCGGACAACACTACCAAAGTGTAAAGAACTTCGGCGTGTCGCTGAAAAGCTGATTACGCTCGCAAAACGCGGCGACTTAACCGCACGTCGACAAGCCGCAAAAATGATCCATGGGACCAATCTGCATTACACGCCCAGAAGAGGAGAAGAAGCGAGTGGCCTCGACAAACACGCCATCCTCCGCAAACTGTTCGATGACATCGGACCTCGGTATCAAGACCGAAGCGGCGGATATACACGTATCATACGAGGTGAACTCCGAAGAGGCGACGGGGCACAGATGGGCTACATTCAACTCGTTTAATGGCTTTCAGCCGTCAGCCGTCGGCTATCAGCAAAGAGATTTTCTTGCTGATGGCTGATCGCTGACGGCTATTCTGCTGACGACTCATGATTTCCTAAAACCGATACGCAGCAGATACAAACACCCGATGTGTAAGCTGTTTCGTGGTCAATTCATTTCTGCTCCGCTGCCAAGTTCCCATCATATATCCTACGTCAAACTTCAGGGAATCCTCGAAGATTTTTCCGACACCTGCTGTCAAGAAGTCACGGGCGTTCTCAACCTCAGCATCGGTGAACGGAATCGTATCCCGAAAATAGCCGAGACGGATATGTGTACCGATAGCAGGTATCTTATATTCCGCGCCAAGCCTCACCTGAAGCGTTGTTGCATAGAACTCCTCAAAATTATCCTGCGAAATGTCGTCCGCTGGAACTGGATCGTAACGGGTCTGCGTCCAATCCGTGAGTTGGACATCCCCTGCCAAAATCAACTGCTTGTTGAATAATTTCACAGCAATTCCCGTTCCAATTTCAAAGGGCCGCTCAATATCAAACGCTTGCGCCCCATCTACAGAATCGGACACCTCTTCTCCGTCGTCATAAACCGCCCGAGTCGATTGATACCAGAGTTCATCAACCCCCAATTCAACAGGTGCGACCAAGGTTAAACCCACACTAACAGCATCCGTCAGGTGCGCCAGAAGCCCTATCCGAGCACCTACACCTGAGTACTCCCGGTCAATTTCGTCATCGTACCTGAAACGCGACAACTCGCTATCCACCTTCAACAGATCCGTCGCTGTCGTATCCAACTCATTCAGGCTCTTACCTTGCCAGAAATCCAGTGAACCGCCAATGAGAACGCGTTTTGAAACATATACACTGGTGCCGAAACTCCAAATCCCGATGCCACCACTGTTCACGTCAGTCTCATCAACAGCAAGTCCACTGAATTCAGTATCAGAACTCGGATCGACCCCCTGAATCGCAGTCTGATAGTCGAAATTCTGTGGACGATTGTAGCCGAAAGCAATCGCCCAACCTCCACGCTTTGCATGGAATGGATAAACAAACCCGATCGAATTCGGACGTATTTGGGAGCGTGTTGTCCCAGTTATCTCATCACCGGTGAAGTACGCATCCGTACTCGCCGTGTTATGCGAAAAACTACTAAACAACTCAAACTTTTGGATCTGCGCCATCCCTGCGGGATTCCAATAGAGCGCGGTGAAATCATCAGCAAGGGCAAGCGAGGCACCGCCCATTCCCATCGCCCGAGCACCAACACCGAACGTACTTCCGATCGCCATCTCTTCTACCTGCGCTCTACTGACAGTCGTCCAGAACACTGCCGCAAATAGGAAAATAAAGATAATATACATTGTTCGTTTCATCGTTCCAATTCCTCCATTTTTTAATTTTTCCTTGCGGTTCGTTTAGGTGGGTTTAGGATTTTGAAGTGCCTTTTCGTATACCCGCTTTCCACTTCGTTCCAAGCTACGCACTTTTCATCGGCAAAGTTTTGAAGTGTTTCTCCGTAGACCCACCATTCCGCTACTTTCCGTTTCGATTTCTTGTTCGTCGTTGTGGTCGTTCCGATCTTGACTTTGGTGAAGTCACACTCCGTGAACTCCGAGAACGCCGGTTTTCAGGTCGCCAGTCGCGTCTGTTGTAAGTCCGCCGTGAGAGGGGTACATACCGACTCCTGCCGTAACTACCGTAAGACCGCCGATAGACGTTCGTATAAGGGTAGTAGCCCCTATAATAGCGGTTGTACGGCGCGTAACCGTAATATCCGTATCCGTAAAACCAAGGGGACGAATAATACGGCATAACGGGCGGATAATAGCCATACGGATACGGTGCGTAAGATCCCCAATAGCTGCCGTAGTGCCTGTCAGGGTAAACGTATGTGTCACGACGGGTATACTTCCGTCGTCCGTAATAGCCTTCCGACTCTTCAGCATCGGTATGCTCTGGCTCCAATTCTTCCGATTCTGCTTCAGAGTGATCTTCCGTTTTCTCTTCCTCCAAAACCGTCCGGTGTTTCCGATCGAAATCCGAAGACGCACTTTCAATATGGGCTTGCAAGCTACGCCCTTGGTAACCGAGTTGCGTATAACACCCGGCAAATGCCACCATTGCCAAAAGCGAGAGTAGTACGAAAGTTACTTGCAACTTCATGTCTCTTTCTCCTTTAGATTTATCCGTTAGTTCCGACCATTATAACATATTATACGAGAGACCCGTAAAAAAAGTTTACATCTGCCTCCTCAATTCACTCTCAAGCACAGTTTGAAAGGTATCAAATTCAATTGAAAATAGCCACACAACAGGCATTTTACATTCCAAGCACCAGTGCTTGGGATTTACCTTGACCTCCCCTCTCCTTCATGCTAAACTAACGTTATGAAGGTTTTCATTCAAATCGGACAGGGCATCGTCGGTGCCGCTGTTATTTCAGGTTTATGTATATGGCAGGCAGGCAGTTTCGGTGAAGCGAGACACACCCTCAGCATTATCGGTGCGATCGCCATCGTCATAGCAAGCCTCTATCTCCTGCGAAGCCGCTGGATTCGATGGGGCAATCGACAAACATGGCTCAGATACCATCAACGGCTCGCCTCGTTAGGCTTGTGCTTGGTGCTACTGCATTCTGCATTCCAACCGCTGGCGTGGCACTCATGGCTCACGTTTCTGCTCGCTTTATCGAATTTAGGTACCGGTATTGCTGTGAGTCTGACCTCTCGTGGAGCGCGACGAATTCTGCTCCGATGCCATCTCATTCTTGCCCCGATTCTACTCGTCAGCATCGTATTCCACGGGCAAAAAAAACTGGAGCATGACGAATTCTTCCCACTCACAGAAGTCCACGATGTGCCTTGTGCGAGATGTCATACGCCTGAACGCTTACTGTTCCATGTCAATACAACCTTTCCTGAAGACTTGGACACGTCAGACACTGTTCCTGAAGACTTGCACTGGTGGTTCTTACAAAATGAACGCAGGGTACCCATAACTGCTCCTATCTCAATCAAGGAACCCGGAAATGCTTGGACAGTCACCGACACGAAAAATAAACACACCTACCATATCCGGAAGGTAGCAGATCAAATCGCCATCTACGCCGATTCGGATTACCGGAGTTACACCTGTCTCAAATGCCACGTGCATAACACGGAAGAAATTCAGTTAGTGCATGAGTTGCACGGTGTCACAGAATTCCATAGATGCTTCATCTGCCACCAGACCGAAATTGACGGTATAACTTACGGACGACAGCGCTTCGATTGGGAATATGCGCCGCACCGCCGGTAGATTGACACAAAAAACGGCTTGAACACGAGAAAGAATTGTGCTCAAGCCGTTTAGCTGCATTAGGAACGAAAACCAAAATTTTATCGCCGTGATTTAAGGCTGCCCCAAGTTATAGCGAGTTTATCCGCCGGTTCCACCGACAAAAATTCCCCGTCCATCACCTCTTTAATTTCGTCTTCGGACAACGCGCGGGCAAATATGTAGAACTCGTCCATCAACCCATCGAACCAGCGATCATTCTTGTGGTGTCCGATTTCAGCTTGGACATCCCAGTTGTCCGAGAGTTCGCCGTCACCTTTTGCCTCGTGTGTCACCTTTCCATCAATGTAGGTTTTCGCGTCACCACTCTTGCTGTCGTAGGTACCCGTGAAATGTACCCATTTCCCACCTTTGATAATGGGACCGGGATTGATGTTGAAGACCTGTTTTTCGGCACCATCTCGATGAAAGAATCTGAACCCAGCGGGTCGGATTTCGACGTGGTAGAGACCACTACCGTGGTCAGTCCCAATTGAGTCGAAAATGCTCTGTGGATTCGGCGAGTCGTTATGATTCACCCAGACCGCGATGGTGATGCCTTCAAGTGGAACATTTTCAAACTCGGGACCGTTCAAATCTATCCACGATTGATCCTCCAAGACGATAGCTTTGTCAATGACCCCATCTTCTCTTCTCGATTTCCCTTCGATTGTCCCATCGTTGCCGTAAATGGAACCGTCTTTGAGGGTGTCACCATCTGCATCGAAATTATAGTACACGGACAATGTTGGATCGCTGAGATCGGCTTCGGTTGAAACCGTGCAAGTTATTAGCATTATCAGAACTGCGAAGCACACCTGAATTTGACTGACTGGAACTTCCAAGTTCCGAATACGCAAATGTGTTAAATTAAAAGACATTTTGTTCTCCTCGATTAAGTTTTTTCTTACATTTTATGGTTATTGGTGTAAATACCCATATTATGCTTTTGCCTTCCTATTATACAGCATTAAAATATCTGAAGTCAAGACAGAATGCTCAAAAGATTGAATACACGTAGACAAACGACTTCAACACATGCTAATATATAGGCAACACGTTTAATCAATCACAAACGCCCCAAACCAAAGGACCTAAAAAGGATTTGATACCAATAAACCGGTTTACCTCACCAGTATGGCACAGGTTGGGTTTACCTCAGATTTCCATAACTTCGGGGGAACAGATCCAGAAGGCACGATTCTCGGAACGAAAACACGCGGCGGTGGTGCTGGCGGCGGAGAACGTCCGTTCGTCGAATATGAGGTCGGCGACGGACTACTCATCACCCTTGGGCATCACAACGGCGTTTATACGGATGCAAAATCGGAAGAGGGAGATAACCTGAGAAAACTCACAGCAAACGTGCTGAATTACCTCGCAGAAAATTCAGCGTTTTTCGCCGTCGAACCGAACGGTAAATTAGCAACGACCTGGGGAGACTTAAAGGCATCGTCGAAATAAACCTTTACACCGTTTCCGGTAAATAGAAAAGCCCATGCATGCAACATTGGTTTCCAGATCCACCAATATGCAACCGCCATGGGTTTTCTTTTTTTCAATGTTCCATTGACAATTTCCCAACTCCTCTGTATAATGAAAGTGGGAAATAAAAAAATGCCAAATAGAAACGTTAGTTTTCGCGCCGTCCTACTCGCACTCCTCATCACTATCCCGAACTCCTACTGGCTCATGATTAACTGGGGTCCCAGTGGTTATGGCACAGGTCAGAGTTTCCCGACTGTCTCCACCGTTTACTTCAACGTCATTTTTGTTGTGCTAATCTTGATGGCGGTAAACCCTTTGCTCCGAGCCATCGGGAAAAATGCAAGCCTCACCGATGCCGAATTGATGGTGGTCTACCTACTCGTCTCCATCGCTTCCTCCATCGCCGGACACGACACACTCCAGATACTATGGCCCCTGCTCACCTATCCCATCTGGTTCGCAAGTCCAGAGAATGAATGGGGTGAACTGTTCCATCGCCACATGCCGGATTGGCTCACCATCAAAGAACGGAACGCGCTGGCAACCTTCTATCAAGGGGACACCTCACTTCACACAGTCCAACATTTAGAACTCTGGATGCCCCTCGTGCTGTGGTGGTCAGCCCTTATCATCGTGCTAACATGTATGATGCTCTGTATAACAATCCTCATTCGACACCAATGGGTGAATCATGAAAAACTCAGCTACCCCGTCATTCAGATCCCACTTCACTTGACAGAAAACGGGGGACGCGTCCTCCTGACCAATCGGCTGTTTCTGTTAGGGGCTGTGCTTGCAGGCGGGATGAACCTCCTCAACGGGCTTCATTTCCTATTTCCTGTTGTGCCCGGACTGGGTGGAAGCCTCTACAACTTAGGTCAGTATTTCCAGACAAAACCACTGAACGCCATTGGCAGGCTCCCCTTCGCCGTTTACCCATTTGCTATCGGGATGAGTTTCTTTATTCCGTTAGAACTCTCGTTCTCTATCTGGTTTTTCTACCTCTTCCACAAAATGACGCGCGTATGGGGCACGATGGCAGGCATCGGACATCTACCGGGATTCCCATTTCTCGATGCGCAATCGTTCGGGGCATGGTTCTGCTTAGGGGATATCCGCAATATGGCTTACCCGAAAGTTCATCGCACGACAGGTGAAAAACGCTTTCCGAGGCAGGGATGTTGAACCAGACGCAGCAGGGACACCTTCCACACACATCCGATACGCGATCATCTGGGTTGATAGTTGGTGGCATCTTCATCCTTGTGTTCTTCAAAAGCACAGGCACACCGATCTTCAGCATTCTCGGCTACTTTACACTCTTCTTTGCGTTAGCCATTGCTATTACTCGTATTCGCGCTGAAGTCGGACCCCCTGCACACGATGTGCCGTGGAGACCGGACAAAGTACTCGTCTCCTTTCTCGGCACCCGCCGTATCGGCGCAGAGGGATTAACCGCATTTAGTATGTTTCACGGTTTCAACCGATCCTATCGCTCCCATCCGATGCCGATTATGTTGGAAGGCTTCAAGGTAGCACAGGTCCGTGGGTTATCGCACAATCGCTTTATCGTTGCCATCATCTTGGTGACTATCGTCGGAACGATTTCATCGGCGTGGGCATACTATGCACAAGGCTATCATTACGGGGCGGCAGTCTATGGTGAACAGGCACAATGCCGCTGGACCTACGAGCAGTTGAAGCAGTGGCTCATTAATCCACAATCCATAGACGTTGGTGCGGTTTCCGCTTCCAGCGGTGCCATCGCCTTAACAACACTTTTGATGGTGCTACGTCGCCGTTTCATTTGGTGGCCCTTTCATCCTGCAGGCTATGCCTTGTCACTCAGCTTTTGGAACACAAGTTGGTATTGGTTCTCGATCTTTTTGTCGTGGGGGATAAAAGCGATTCTCTTTCAGACGGGAGGACTACGCACCTATCGTCGCGCGATGCCGTTCTTCATCGGTTTAGTCATTGGCGAGTTTCTCCTCGGTGCCATCTGGACATTAATTGGCATCGCTTTAGAACGTCCAATGTATCGGTTCATGTTTTAATTTTTCCTTGCGGGTAAATGACGTGAGTTTGGACAATTTTTAATTTTTCCTTGCGGGTAAATGACGTGAGTTTGGACTTTAAAGTCCTTTTCTCGAATTCGCTCTCCATTTCATTACGAGCTACGTTTTCTGGGCGATGTTTTAATTATTCCTTGCGGTTCGGTGAGGTGGGTTGTGGACCTTAGCCTCCTTTTCCGTATACCTGAAGAAATGCCCAAGCAAAAACCCCTCCATTTCATTACGGGCTACGTTTTCTGGACGATTTTTTAATTTTTACTAAAGTTTGGACAATTATCAGTAGGTCGAGTTGAAGCAGAGTGAAATCCACGCTTCTGAAAACTATGCCTCTTTGCTCCAGCGGAGCAATATGTCTATAGAAAATGGTATATTCAAATAACTGCACTCCAGCGGAGTGCTATGTCTATAGAATGTCTTAGACCACCAGAGGAAACACACAATGAGACTTAGTTGCCTCCCTGTCTCTCTTTACGATGACATCTTCACAGGAAAAAGCACCGTCGCCGATTGGATTCAGCTCGGTGCAGAATTAGGATTGGATGCAGTCGATTTCAGTATCAAATTCTTCCCAAAGCGCGACGCAGAAACGATAAAAAACACACGCACCGCTCTCGAAAGGTTCAGTATAGAGCCATGTATGCTCGCCTGCTACTCCGACTTCACACACCCCGAGCAGCACAACGCGCGCAGGAGTTAACCGACCTGAAGGCGGACATCGGACTGGCAAAAGCATTGGGAGCAAAATTTATTCGGGTAACAGCAGGACAAAACCATCCCGGCACCGAACGTGAAGCAGGCGTGCGTTGGGTGACAGACGGATTTCGTCGCGCCCTTGACGAAGCGGAAAAGCACGGTATCACCCTCGCCTATGAGAATCATACCAAAGGCGCACCTTGGGATTATTGGGACTTCTCACAACCCACAGAGATTTTCTTAGAGATCTTAGATGCGCTTTCTGACACACCCCTCGGCGTCTGCTTCGACACCGCAAACCCGCTCGTACTCGGAGAAGATGTACTCGCACTTCTGGAGAAGGTTATCCAGCGGATCGTCGTGCTGCATATCTTCGACCTTCGGGCAGTTAAGGTGTTTGAACCTGTCCGCGTCGGCACTGGTGCCTCACCGATCCAGCCAATTTTTTCGCGCCTGAGACAAACAGGCTACGACGGTTGGCTTAGCATCGAAGAAGCCAGCCGTTCAGGACAGGAAGGCTTCACGCAATCCATCGCGTATGTTCGAGAAACGTGGGAACAAGCATTATCCGCGTGAAGGTTCACTCATCCGCTCTTGTGCTTGGCGCGAGAGTTCAGCGAGATGCCCATCGTTTGCCCTGACCTGTTCAAGATGTATCCACCGTTCAGGTGTCGCTGTGCGTATCATCTTCTCGCCATACTTCCGATCGATCCAGAAGCGCGAAGATCCAGAGATATAGGCTTGCAGCGCATCCAGTTTATCATCAGGATACCGTTGACAGAGATTCATCGTAAACATACGTCGCCGCTTGCCACCACCGAACGCCGCATGCTTGGTGTTATGGTTAAACAGGACCAGATCCCCGGGGGTTGTCTCAAAGACCGTCGCTGGGACATCCTTACCGTGTATTTCCCAAAAGTCCTGGCTCTTTCCAGCCTGCTTAGAGAGGGCATCCGCATAGTTATCGCCGAAGAGATGGCTTCCCGGAATAACGCGAAGCGCGCCAGTATCGCGAGTCAGTGGATCGAGATAAAGCGCAATCTTGATGTGCATCGGATCTTCCAACCTATGCCCACCATCTGAGTGCCACCCCGTATCGCTGACGTAGAAATTGCCGTCGCTTCCCATGTAGTTGAAATCATCACCGATTAACGCTTTCGCGATCCCCAAAATCCTTGGGTCATCTAACAGTGATGACAACTCCTCGCTCTGATCGATGAACGGCACAATGCAGGAACGTGCAGTGCCTTCGTGCGGTTTACCGTTATGTCCGCCGCCTCTCTCCTCCCAGACCGCTTCAAAAGCGTCCTGAATTGCGGTAATCCGGTCCGCCATCAGTTGCGGGAAACTGAGATAACCGAACGTCTTGAAAAAATTCATCTCCGAATCGGTGAAGCTGAAATCGTGCTGATTCATTTTTTAATTTTCCTTGCGGTTTAAACGACGTGGTTTGTACTTTGACGCTTTTCGCTCAAGAGCCGCCCTCCACTTCGTTGCGGGCTACGGTCTCGTTGCTATTCCACGCGTGGAAATCGTGAGCATGGGGAAATCCAAAGAAACACCCAAGCAAAAACCCTTCCATTTCATTACAGGCTTGCAATCTTAGGCTAAGAAGAGGATAGGAAACCTCGGAAACGTATATTGGGTTCCCTTAACGCCAGAAAACCTCATTACTAATACCCTATGATAGCATATTTTTCCATAATTTTGCAATCTGTCCTGCAAATGAGGGATATAAATATTTTGACATGACAATCGTTTTCTATAGACATAGCACTCCGCTGGAGTGCGGGAGTTTGGACGAATCGTTTTCTATAGACATAGCACTCCGCTGGAGTGCGGGAACTTATCCCTCATCAAAAAAGGGTTGCTAAAAACTTTACACCCCTGTAAATAACATAACACCCAAAAAACTTGCGAAACCCCAAAATTAATGTTAATATTATCTAAGATTCTCATCCACTGAAAGGTTATAGATGGCTCTTAACGCAAATTCTTTTCCCGCCTATTTCTCGCTCTTTAAAGTAACACTCCGCCAAATGTTTTGGAGTAAACGAACCGTCCTGATTCTGATCGGATGTCTGCTATCACTTGCCATAGCACTCGCGTTTCGGTTCATAGCACGAGGCGGCGGAAGTGTCAACCGTTTCATCCCACAGATAACGTTGGCACTTTACGGACTCTTGGTGAATCTATCCGCAATTTTCTACGGCACTGCAATTATCTCAGATGAAATCGACGGAAAAGGCTTGACGTATCTCCAGATGCGTCCTCTCCGCAAATCGACGATTCTCCTTAGCAAATTCGCTGCATACCTCGTCGGGACTGTTACGCTTATCGGAACATCTCATCTGATTCTGACCGGTATTATGATAACGCATCCGAAACTACAGAACGGGTGTGTTCTTTCAGTTGGGTATGAGTTTGCGCTACACAGCCTCAATGGCATCGGCATTGTTAGTTTACGGGGCACTCGCTGCGGTTCTGGCAGTCAAATTCAAGAATCCAGTACTGTGGGGGCTGATATTTGTGATGGGGTGGGAAAATATTGCCGCAAGTCCTGTGATGGCAACGGGAATCAAGAGGTTATCTATATCACACTATCTTTTCACGCTATTTCCAGATTATAAACTGCCGCGTAGTGATCTCAGTGGATTCTTAGGGACATCGCCACCACCAGCATGGGTAGCACTCCTCGTAATCTTCATATTGACGGCAGTATTGCTCTGGCTCGCCATCCGAATTTTCCGGGGACGAGAATATTTGATGTAAGCCATCCGCAACCGCGCGCCTTGATAACCTGTTTTCAACCCACACAATGGTAGGTGCGGTTTTCAACCGCACTCCTTGAGAACCCGCGCAGTCTCACGTGAGACGATCAACTCCTCATTCGTAGCAACAACCAGAATTTTGGCACGGCTATCATCCGCCGAGAGGTCTACTTCGCCAGTGAGTTGCGCATTCTTCACAGCATTTAAATGAATACCACACCATTCAAGCCCCTCACAGATCTTCGCTCGCGTTATTGGGCTTTTCTCGCCGATACCACCAGCAAAAGCGATAACATCCACTCCCCCAAGCGCAGCGATATACGCACCAATATACTTTTTCACACCGTAAACGTAAGTATCCAGTGCCAACCGGGCATCATCGTTGCCTGCTTCAATCGCCGCCTCTACATCACGCATATCACCACTCGTGCCAGAGATCCCTTTTAACCCTGAGTCCTCAATCAACTGACGGCGAATTTCATCGGTAGAGAACCCCTCTGTGTCGATCATATACAGCACTGCAAAAGCATCTAACTCGCCACAACGGGTAGACTGAATCATCCCGTATTGCGTAGACGTTCCCATCGATGTATCAATCGATTCTCCGTCTTTGATGGCACAGAGAGATGAACTGCCACCGAGATGGCAAGAGATAATACGTAACCCTTCCGCTGTCTCCTGTCCGAGCAACTGCGGCACGCGTTCAGAGATGTATCGGTGCGAAGCCCCGTGGTAGCCGTAACGACGGATATCGTGCTTTTCTACCCAGAAGCGAGGCACACCGAATTCGGCGGCGTAATCCGGGATTGTCTGATGGAACCACGTCTCAAAAACAGCGACGAGCGGGGTTGTCGGAAGCAGTTCCTGGAAGGCACGGATAGAGGCGATATATGCGGGGTTATGCATCGGCGCGAGCGGCGTAGATGTCTCCAGTGCATCTATCACGTCTTCGGTGATTCGTGCTGAACGCCAGTAACCTCTGGCAAGAATGGTCTTGAATCCGACACCGTCTAATTGCGACAAGTCTTCAAAGCATCCGACTTCAGTATCGGTGATCAGATCCATCGCGTGGGCAATAGCCGCAGTATGTGTCGGTGCATCGATTTCGCCCTCGCGTGACGGTTTACCCGGCACCGCATGTGTGAAGGCAGATGGTGAATTACCAATACGTTCCACCCCTCCCTTGACGAGAGAGGTTGTGGTCTCCATATCAATAATTTGGTATTTGAACGAGGTGCTCCCTACGTTCGCACAGAGTATACGCATGTGTTTTTTGTCTCTTTGCTGATTCGTGTTTTTATTATTCGCCTGCTCTCTCGATTACTTGATAATAGAGGTCTTTGCTGATTCGTGTTCCGTGAGCACGAAGATTATTAAGTATCGGTCTGACAACTGGGATTATACGTTGGGTTTTGGCAATAAGCAGAACGCCGACTGTACCTATAACAGGCAGTCCCCGTGCTATTGCCTCCCTCCGTGCAGCAATGTCATCAAGAATCACTTGTCCGGCATTAATTTCTTCAGCGAGGGCAATAGTGGCACATTCGCCTAAATCAAGTGAATGTTGATTTTGAAGGGTCCTGATCTGATTCTTATCTGTCACTGATTGACGGGAGGTCCACTCCGCCGCTTTTACTTCAGCAGCACCCGGTTTCCCTGTTCCATCAACGACTACTTCAATGTAAACTTCATCTGGAATGAGAATTGCCCCGTACACCTCTCATAGAAGGTTCAATTGCTTAATTTTTGAGAGTTCAATTAACGGTGTACTATTTGTGACAATCTTCATTGTCTTGGTTATTCAAAGCCTTCAAGGCGGTCTCAACTTCAGCAGTTAATTCTTCAGCGGTAACCTCAGCAAAAGGGGAAATTCCAGCCTCAGACATTAAGTCTGAGAGATCCCACCGAGAAATATCAAGGAGTTTTGCAGCTCTGCCAGCACTAATATCTCCGTGCCGAAGAAGTTCAAGCACAAAAGCCTCTTTTGCCTTACGTTCCGCATCGGTTTTGTGTTGCAAAAAACTCTCGTCAATAGGAAACGTGAATGTGAATTGGATCTGAATCTCTGTTTTCGCCATGCAAATTACCTCATTTACATGTAAGAATCACACATCCGACTTCTTTGAAGATTTCTTACGCCCTTTGTGTAAAATCTTGTGATAAAACACCCAAGTATTGTGAAATCCTCTGCGCCTGTTACGGTTTGCCCCCCTGAAAATCACAATATCAATACGAGCATCTTTACAAACCTTACATCGGCATTTCTTCCAAGGTTGTTTCTCTAGCAATTCCTTGTATTTTTCAGAAAAGCGATTATATGTCCCTTTTCGCTGTAGTAGAGTATTATATTCATTAATGCTGTCAAGTACTTCCTGCGCTCCTATTTCTTTGCGATCAAAACGCTCAAAGACTCACAAGACATTTTTTTTCCAATTCTTGCATATATTCATTGGAAATCGTTGCATGAGACTCTGCAGCATCACGCATCCGTTTTGATGTACTGATAGGAACCCGTATGCTACCATACCAACTACCATCTGCAGCAAAATAGTTTTTCGTTGAACTCGTCCAAGCGGTTCTCATGTAAGATGCACTATCAAAACTAGAAATACCAAGAGACTGAAAACTCTCCTGCAGATCCGGACGTAGAATACCGAAAAGGTGAACCCAGATATTCTCATTCCTACCACGCGTGTATTGCTGTAACGCCCCTCGAACAGCTGCAACTATTTCCAAAATCTCCGAATCTTTTCTCCGCACCAACCCACCTAATGCGATATGCTTATATCCCATACCAATGTATTTGTGGGTAAAACGAACATAATCATCCGGAGTGATGCCTTGTATGCTGCCAACCGGCACAAACTGATACTCCTCGTGGGCGCGGTGAATTTCTAAAAACTCTTCAGCGTTTTCGGCCGTCAAATCCATCCTGTCTTTTTTTTCCCTTTCAGATAGCGACGAAATCGGAATATGATCTACGGAGGCACCAAAGTTAAAATCAAATTTGTGATACAAAGAAGCCGCTTCTTCAGAAGATAGAGGTGGCTTCGATTCTGCAATGTATGAAAACGCACCACAATCTCCAAACAGGAGCATTCCCACAGGAACACGCATTTCGTCTCGAAGGTCAAATGATTCTTTTTTGTAAAGGCGGTTAAGAGGTCCCATTTTAGTCCGAAGTTGGGCAAGACTATAGAGTAAACCGTCATAAGGGGTCTCCTTACCGAAGATCTCATGGGCATAGCATTTCTTAACATCCTTAGATTGCCTGTATTCAGGTGTCTCATCAGGATTGAAAGGTTCGTAAATGTAATCGTCCCAATCCGGAAAGAAGTAGAGATAAGGACGCCTCCCTAGTTGCTCCTGAGAATTGACAGAGACAGTGTAATTTGGCAAATCATGAAGCCACTGTTTCATCGCCTGCTGTTTTTTGCCAATCCCACCCTCAGCATAAATGATTTTGTCAGGATTGAATAATGTCGTAATACAGGATATTGCGGGAAGGTAATCTTTGCCCAGATTGATGAAAACGGATTCTGGTAAACCAAGCTTTTTCAGGTTTTTTCTGACTTTTAGGTTCATCTTTTCCGCTTTTTTTTTATCCATACACACATCGTAGGGATCAATAGATGTCATGGCATCAATGATTTCATGCTCAGCGGATATGATTTTTACCATGAGACCCGGAGGCCATCCGTTCTCTCTGAAAAACTTCCGCAGCACTCGGTAGTTGGGCCCGTCGTAGATTTCAAGAGCAGGAGCTCGACCAAGATCCCTGATTTTCCTATCAGAACACCCCAAAATTAGTAAATGCCCGGCCGCGGATTGTTGGAGATTAGATTGCAAACATATTGACATACTTGTTATTCTTGCCTATCACGGTATCTTTCACAGGGTTTTAAATTCACGCATCGTGGAGGTCCGGGGTTCCTTCCAGATGTCCTCTATTAGGTAGTGTTTACATTTTGTGAGTGGTTATTAGTATTGTTGCGAAATAGACGAATCCGAGATACCGAACCCCTAATTTATCGTAGCGCGTCGCGACCCGACGATACTGTTTCAACCACCCAAAGAAACGCTCTATCAAGTTCCGGCGTTTATACAACTCTTTATCATACTCACGGGGAAACCCCGTCCGCCCTTTGCGAGGCGGGATCACCGCAATCGCATCCTGGGAGGCGATCTCCGCTATAAACGCATCCGAGTCGTAAGCTTTATCGCCTATGACATACTCATAAGAATAACCTTCAATCAGCGCAGGAGCTTGTGTAATATCATTGCGGTGTCCCGCTATCAAAATAAAACGCAACGGGATACAGGCATCGCTGAGAGAAAGATTCAGTTTCGTCGTAAATCCGCCTCGAGTTCGTCCGAGTGCTTGTGCCTCTTGTCCTCCTTTTTTTTGGGGGCCCCCGCTGCCGAGGCATGTGCCCGCATGATCGTGGAATCAATGAGGATACCTGAGATGGCGCCCGCATCATGAAAATGTTCATGGAGGGCTTGAAAAACACCCGCATCGCACCATCTACTGAATCGACGGTAGATCGCATTCCAATTGCCATAGACTTTCGGTAAAGCCCGCCACGTCGCGCCTTCTTTAGCGATCCAAAGCACAGCAGAGAGAAAGTGCCTGCACGTTTCTGGGTTTCCAACATAGACGTTTCGGCAGTCTCTGAGGAACGGTAAGATGCTATTCCAGGCGGCATCACTTAGTTGCTTTGGCAGGTCTTGAGAGTCAAGAGTATTTTGAGTTTCCATAAAGAGAGGATACCAAAATCTCTATGAAATTGCAACACTTTTCAAATGTAAACACTACCTAGTGAGGTAAGTGTCCAACTCTACTTCGCACAAATATTAAATTTCGTTTTATGGATATCGCATTGGATAGTCGTCCCGCTTCGTAGGACAATCCCAACGAATATCACAAATGTCACAGGTATTCTTATCCGGTCCGTGTCGAGGTGCTGGCCACTCATCTCTTAGTCGGCATCTTTCAATATCTGATACAGTACTTTTGAAAATATACAAAGCTACCTCAATACGCTTTGGGTCTAGAGGCACCTCAAGAAGAGCTTCTGGCGGACGAATGTGGGACTCTTCTGCAGTGTCTAATTCATTTAAAAAATAAAGAATTGCCCTCTCAGGGTAATAACCATTACGTTCACGATAAAGTTCAGCATAAACGAGCATCTGAAATTCATATTGATGAAAAGTTCTCAGTATTTGGTTCAGGTCTATTTGATCCCTTATAATCCCATATTTCCCCTTTCATTCCTGGCAACCATCCGGGAGAATCTGCCAAAACATCTACTGTACCGTAAAGTAAATAATCACCTTGATTTGACTGCAAACGATACTCTGTATCTCTAACTCTAGGGTAGAGTTCCGGACCTTCGATTTGGTTGAAAAGTTTTAACCGCCTTAGAGCTGCCTTCCGTTCTGCTGCCTGTGTAGATGAGCGAACAGATTGAACACCCCGTACCCGCAAAGCCTGATCCACCTCATTAAAATAGTTTTCTATATCCTGATCTGTTGGAAACTGACCTTCTGTTTCTGGATCTCTTAAGCCAGCGTAATGGGCATGAGCGCGATCTAGAACCTGATGAATAAGTGTTCCGTAGTAAATTTGAACAGAATGAGCAGGCGCATAGCCTCTCACTGCAAAATGTCCGTATTGCCGACTACAGCGTTGAAAAGATCGAATATCTGTGGTTACACTATAGCGACGCTTAAGAGATGTGGACTGAGAGGTTGGAACTTTAAGTCCAAGAAATTTCTGCCAAGCCATCTATTTTTCTCCGTTAAGTTAACTGTTGTACTTCGTCCGTGAACCACCTACGCACATAACCTCCAAAACCAATCCCTTGCTTCTCAAATTCATCAACTGTAGTCAACAAAACTAATGAATATATAGCCCGAGAATACGCCACATAGAAGAAACGTATCCAGTCTTGGTCTGCGCGATCTCGATTTGTGAGTCCTGATAATGAAGGATTAGTCTGAAACTGACGCATAGTATCCTCAAGTTGAAGTTCCGCTCCAACTCGTTTATCTGGAACTAAATTTGACACAAAAACAAAAGGAAACTCAAGACCTTTAGCTTGATGAACTGTCATGATTGGAAATTGCCCTGGCGGACAGATAATTTCTTCATCCTCTGGATCATTAAGTCCCTCTGAGACGAGTAATCCAACAAGAGAATAATACAGGTGATTCAATTGCCCTGAATTAATCCTACCTCTTCCAGTCCGTTCTGTTCGTAAGTCTCCCCGGCTTGACCCCTCATTCCCGGAAAATGGAAGTAAACAGTAAGACTCAAGGACCTGTGATAATTTACCTAAACGAACTGTCCGTTCAGCATCCTGTTGCCAAGTTGTAAAAGGTTCTAAGCTGATCATGTGATAAAAGATTTCTTGAATTGTAGCAGGAATCTTTGTAACACCTTGCTTCGCTAACTGCGTCACTGTTGTATTAGCAGGTATTTGCTCAATTCTATTAATTGCCCGATTGACATAATTTAAAAGGTCGTGATTCTGATCTGCCAGTTTGGTATAAGTTTGAATCCAATCCTCAATCGTGCGCCTCACGTTCGGTGTCCTTACTCTAGAAAGTACCGTTTGATCTGGATCTAGTATTCTAACTAATGCGCCGAGTGCCGTTTGAATTTCAGTCTCTTGCAAGAATGTTCGGGACCTTGGGTTGTAAACTGGAATTTCCTGTTGCTCTAATGCTGTTTGATACGGACCCGCAAAATTATCAGTAGATCGCGTACTTTTTAGTAAAAGCACACATTGACTTGGATCCTTTACAATCCCATTTTCCAACAAGCCTTTTACCATTTCCGCAAAACGATTTGCCACCTCTTCTGGACTTTGATCTACCAAATATGAGACAACTGGGTAATTATCAAGTTGTGCTCCTTGTGATCTCCGTCTCGTATTCCAATATTGATCAGATGATAAACTGGGTTTGTTAGGAACTCGAGATCCCGGATTGCTCATAACGGAAAAGGACCTGATATATTTATCACACCAGTTGACAATTTTTGGATGAGAACGATAGTTAATGGATAAAGGTCGTTGAGTCACCTTCACTTGATCCCCCCATGCAGATTGGCAGGCACTATCAAAATTAACCATGCAGTCCACCGTCCCTCCACGAAAACGATATAGGGCTTGATCATCATCCCCTACAACGCATAAATTATGTGGTAGGTGTTTTGCTAGTTGTAGGTAAATTTCTTCCTGAATTGGATTAGTGTCTTGGTACTCATCTACAAGTACATGATGTATACCAGGCTGATACAACGAACTGTCTCCTTTAAGAAAAAGACTACCACTTGGCGAATTAAGAAAGTAAAGAAATTTCAATTGTAAATGAGCAAAGTCACAAGACCTATTTACCTCCAAACTATTCTGGTATGCTTCATACGCACTAGCCAAAGTTCCCCAAATACCTCCTTCCGCTTTCATTTGAGAAACGTCAATTTGGTCTTGAACAATTCTATTGAACAGAGAAACCGTGGCGTTGACGCGGATCCACCTATTAGGCAGATAATTTTGAGATCTTCCCCAACGATATCCTGTTAACTGACTATATTTCCCCACTAACATATGAAAATGCCTCCAGAAAGGGAGGTACAAGTGTCTCAATGGTTGGCTTGATGCCAAATCTGAATGCTCATAAATAAAGAGCGATTGGTCTATATCATCAAGGAGACGATAATTCTGATAATCAACGTAACGATATTCTTGCATTATGTCATTGCATAAACTATGCAGTGTCCCAACTCTCACTTGAAACAAATCCACATCTCGTAAATTCTTATCAACTTGATCAAGATAGCTTTTATAAATCGCCAAACGATCTTGTATGTTTTTAGCTGCTTTCTTAGTAAACGTAGTGAGAATAATTGACTTTGGTGTCACGTTGTCAATACAAACCAATTTCAAACATCTCAAAACCAATACTTCCGATTTTCCTGAACCGGGACCAGCAATAACCCAGAGCGGTCCGGTACCATGGGTGATTACCGCTTTTTGTTCTTCGTTGAGTTCTCGCCCTGATTTTCGCTCAATGACATCTAGCATTTCTTGAAGATTCATACATATACGCCTGTTTTGTTTGGATTAATACATTTGAATTATTCTGCAACGAAGCATAGGTATAATAGCACATTTATTGATCAATATCAAATGATTTGTAGCATTTTGGAGGAAAGAAATACCATAAAATGCACTAAATCAACACGAAATGTGTCAACAAACACATTTCGTGTTGATTTGGTCTACGACTCTCAGTGTTTCAAAATATCATATCACATCTTCGGCAGCGTGGGCAATGTCAAACGTGGACGCTCACCGAAATCAGGGACTTCGGGCGGATTCTCCTCCATCTGCCGGAGGAGTTCTTCAATTGCGCGGTCAAGCTGCGGATCGCCTTCTGTGGCATAGTCTTGCGGACGATAATCCACCTCAATATCCGGATCTGTTCCGTAGTTTTCAACACTCCATCCAACATCAACGAACCAGAACGAGTACTCCGGTTGCGTTGTGCCGCCTCTATCCACGAACGCCTGATGCGGTGAGATACCGATAACACCACCCCACGTCCGCTTCCCGATGAGCAAACCCAACTCCATCAACTTGAAACAGTGCGAGAAAATATCGCCATCGGAACCCGCATTCTCGTTAGTGACAGCCACCATCGGACCCAAGACGGAAGCATCTGGATACGGATGTGGCGTGCCCCAACGCGGAACGTCATACCCAATGCGCCGGCGAGACAATTTCTCCAAAAGCAGTTGCGAAACATGCCCACCGCCATTGTAGCGGACATCGATCAACAGACCGGGATAACTCACCTCTGCGAGAAAACCGCGGTGAAACTCTGCATACCCGCGCCGCCCCATGTCAGGAATATGCACATACCCGACTTTACCATCCGTCTTTTCATGGACGTACCGCCGATTTTTGGACACCCATTCGCGATACCGAAGCTCGCTTTCGCTTCCCAGCACCTTGAGTGTGACGACGCGTTCCTCACCATCGTCTGCACTTTGGAACGTCGCTTGAACCTCCTGATTTGCGAGACTCACGAGCAGTTCACCCGGCGAAACGGTTTCGCTGACACGCTGTCCAGCGATAGCGCGTAAAACATCGCCTTCACGGATATTAATCCCCGGTGCATTGAGCGGCGAATCCTTCGTTGCCTCCCAGCCATCGCCGCGCGGGATGTGCGTGATGTGATAACCATTACTCTCCGCATCGTAAGCAAAATCCGCACCGAGAAACCCTTGCGCGTAATTCGGCGAACTCCGATAATCCCCACCCATTTCATACGCATGCGAGGTGCCGAGTTCTCCCTGCATCTCCCACATCAAGTCCGAAAATTCACCGCGCGTCGCAATTCGTTCAAGGAGCGGCAGATAGCGTTGGTAGACATGCTCCCAATCCACACCAGACATATCCTCTGTCCAGAAGTATTCCCGCTGAAGCCGCCACGCCTCGCGATACATCTGCCGCCACTCAGCTGTCGGGACAACAGATGCTTTGATACGATTAAGGTCGATCCAACCGGTCTGTCGGCTCGGACCCCCTCTACTCCCGGACTTGGAGTCCGCCTCAGCCTTTTTGCCCGCCTTGATAACGCGCAATCGATTTCCAGTGGAATAGACAAACGTTTTCGCATCACGCGACAGTTGAAAGTCATTAATGCCGGAGACAAGCGTCTCCTTTTTCTGCTCTTTGAAGTCGTAGGCGTGAAGTACGCCTCTCGGTCTGTCATCATCGTCCGGTGGTGTATCTTGCACCGGAAACGACGTAAAAATCGCTTTGCCTTCAATACCAGCGATCTGTCCATAACGCCCGTGCGGATACGGGAACGCGACGACGCGCTGCGTAATGCCTTCCAGATCTATCGTGATTAGTTTCTCTGTCTTCTGCTCAGATTTCTCGTCAGATGCCTTATCCTCGTCATCCTGTTCCTTCTCGTCCTCATCCTTGTCTTCCTTTTCCTCCTCAAGCGGACGGGGTTCCGGCAGGAACGGATTGCCCAACGTCTTTTGCAAGGTCACCAGCAAAGGACGCATCGCCGTAGGAAACCCAAGATCAAAGTGGAGCGCATCGTAGACCGGATTGAACTCGCGATAAGAGAGAAAATAGAGATATTTCCCTTCCGGATCCCACGCAGGGCCGAAATCGTTGAATTCTGGATCCGTGACGAACCACGTCTCACCGGTCTCAATCTCGCAGAGTTTGATTGAACGTGTGGTTTCCATAGATGCAAAACTATAGGCACACCATTTACCATCAGGCGACCACGCTACATCTCGGATATTCTGATAATGCCCCTTGTCAAGCACCCGCATCTCTTGTGTCTCTAAATCGATGTGCAAAAGTTCAAGACGATTATTGATAAGAAGCAACTGATCTTTCTGATCGTCTCCAGTTTGGGGAGCAACCGAAAGTTGCCGAACATGCCCGATGTCCGCAAAGCGTTTGTCAAGGCGAACAACGTCAGCACTCCCGTCGCGAGTGTGGATTTCAAGTGCTTCTTCACCCTCAGCATCGGAGAGCGTAACAAGACGTTTACCGTCGTTGAGCCATTCGGTAAAGCGGTAACGCGTCCCACTGCGTTCACCGTGCTGGAGAACCGCTCCTTCCCAATTCGCCATTGTAAAGGGTTTCCCTCGGACCGTCACCGCCAATGCGTGACCGTCTGGCGTCGGAGCATAATCCTGTAGGTAACGCGATGAACTGACGAACTTCCGTTGCCGCTGGACACGCGGGCTGTGAAATTCGACATCAACGCGGGTTTCAGTGTCGCTCTCAATTTTATAAACAAACAGGTCAGCCCCCGCGTGGTAGACGATATGTGTGCCATCCGTCTGAGCGGAACGACAGTAATAGGTATCCTGATGCGTGTGGCGTTGAATGTCTTCACCCGTAGGGAGGCAGGAATAGATATTGCCAACACCCTCATGGTCAGAAATAAAATAGATACGTTCACCGATCCACATCGGGGTCGTGAAATTGCTATCCACGGGTGCGAAAGGCTGAAATTGCCCATCCCCTTCCGGGTCCACCCAGATTTGTCCTGCTGTACCGCCGCGATAGCGTTTCCAGCGTGCGGGTTCTCGCGTCAATCTGCCGAGGACAACGCCGCCAGCACCGCTGAAATCAATATGGTTCGCGGGACCGTACGATAGTCGTTGCGGTTCGCCTCCGTCTGAGCAGATTTTCCATATCCACGGATCAAATGCCAAACCAGCATTACTCGAATAGAGAATCGTCTTGCCAGCAGCATCCCAGCTGACGACAGCAGCATTGCTTCCTTGATAGGTGAGACGCTTCGCCTCGCCGCCGAGTGCAGGCATAACATAAACCTCTGATGGTCCCTCTTCACGCCCCGTGAACGCAAGCAATTCACCATCCGGCGACAAGCGCGGAGAACTCGCTGCGCCGAGATTCGACGTGAGTCGCCTTGCAACTCCACCTTCGACTGGAACCGTCCACAAATCATCTTCACACACAAAAACAGTGGTATCCTGACAAATTGTCGGAAATCTATAATATCCTGACATCAACTCCTCCGCTGATAGTAATACCATTTCTAAAAGTTTATATTGCATTAACCGCACCTGAGCTCACAGACTCACAGTCTATGCTACAAGGAGGCACAAACTAAAAGTTTATGCTACAATTTCAATCAGAAATGGTATAAGATGGAATACAAACACAAATAAACGTAGATTGCGTTGAACCGCAAGTGAAACCCAATTCAGTTACCCGCTTCTTTTAAGCCTACCGACGCGTTTGGCGTATTTTTCACCCAAATGGAAAACCCAAAATCCAAGTGGAATGAGTAGGACGCCAATAATGAGCAGTAAAGACAGATTGCCCACTTGGCTCTCAACGGGTGCGTTCTCAAGCATCGCCGCGCGAATCGACCTGAGTGTATACGTGGCAGGCGAAATTTTGGAAATCGGCTGAAGCCATACCGGTAATACCTCAATTTCATAATAGACACCGGAGACTAAGAGTAGCATTGATTGAATGATACCCGTTGCGGCTTGTCCTTTTTCTGGCGAGAGCAACGGAAAGATCGCCGCCATCAGACCGATCCCGATGAAAGAGAGACTGGAGATAAGAACAGTGACCACCAGCGTTAGCCAATTCGCGTTGCTTAAATCAATGTGTTCCCCGAAAAAGAGCGGCATTATCGCCAAAACTAAAGCGGTACGCAGCAACCCGTACAGAATCGCAAATAGACACGAACCAACAAGGTGTGTGATGCGGTAAATCGGTGCCATAAAGGTATATTCAATCGTCCCCTCCCATCTCTCCCATGTAATCGCATCGCTCACCTCGCGCATCATAATCGAGAGAAAACCCCAGATTAATGCGCCAATGACGAGGTAAAGTCACATCTTCGCTGCTACCACGTCCTACCATAATCAAGCCAATCGTTAGCGCATTGACGATGGAATAACTGAAAAAGAGGATTTCCCAACTCAGATACCGCTTCAGCAGATTGAAGTTCCGTTCAATGAACGCGTAAGAGACAATCATCTCCCGGACCAGATTCAGCATGGCTTTACTCTTCCTCCTCAATCCCTTTACCCGTTAGCGCAATAAACACGTCTTCCAAAGTCGCGGGTGCGCCATTCTGTAGTGAGGTCTTGGCGATGAGTTCCTCTACCGTTCCTTCTGCGATAAAACGTCCTTTATCGATAATTGCGATCTTGTCGCACAACCTCTCTGCCTCCACCATATCGTGCGTCGTTAGGACAATGACAGCATTCCGTTCTCGACGAATCTCCTCAATAAACGTTTGCACATCTCGCTTGGATTTCGGATCAAGTCCCGTTGTTGGTTCATCAAGCAGAAGGAGCATAGGGGTGGTGAGTAGGGCGCGCGCAATAGCGACTTTCTGTTGCATCCCGCGCGATAAATGCTCCATCTCTTCGTTCATCCGATCTGTATCAAAACCGAGCCTTTCTAAAATCTGCTTCGATTTCCGTTCGGCTTCGGGAGCCGAGATCCCGTAGAGGCGGGCGGCGTAAATCAGGTTCTCTTCCGAAGAGAGTCGTTTAAAGAAGGACGCCTCAACAGAGACGCGGTTCATCACCTGTCGGACCTTCAGACTATTTGTCACTACGTCGTCCCCGAAGACGTGAATACTCCCAGCATCAGGGCAATAGCAGCGTCGAAATAAGACGAATTAGCGTCGATTTTCCCGAACCATTCGCACCGAGAATACCGTAGATTTCTCCGATGTTTACCTCTAAGGAGATGTCGTCAACTGCGCGGATGACTTCCTTTCTCGCGCTTGAATATATGCTGAATCTTCTGATGAAAACGTAGTTTATCGTTTGTCCGCTTGGTCCGATTGAAATGTTTCGTTACCCCGCGAACAGTCAATCCATAGATAGGTTGTTCCACCTTTTTCCTTTCACGAAACTGAACTGCCTCCAAAACCGTTGACATTGCACACGGACTTTTATATATTATACCTAAAGTTAGTGATGATTTGGTAATTATTTTTCACTGATTTGAAACTGAGTGGCGTGCCTAACAACGACACCCACGCCTCTTACATTGTTACGGTTTATACTACACATACAGGAGCATAGGAATAATGCCGAAAATTAAAGGTCCAGCTATCTTCCTCGCCCAATTCATGCGGGACGAGGCACCATACGATACGATGGAAAATATCGGGAAATGGGTTGCGGGTTTGGGGTACAAAGGTGTCCAAATCCCCGGTTGGGACGACCGCGTCATTGACCTCGGAAAAGCTGCCGAGTCCAAAACCTATTGCGATGAATTTAAAGGGACGCTTAACGAGATGGGGCTTGAAGCAACGGAGGTCGCCGGCTACCTCGCTGGGCAGGTACTGGCTGTACATCCGGCGTATGAAGTCATGTTTGAGGCGTTCCATCCTCCCGGCTTGCGAGGCACCGAAAGAACAGCGTGGGCAACAGGTGAATTGACGAAATGTATCCTCGCTTCGGTAAACATGGGATTGGACGTGATTCCTGTGCTTTCAGGCGGTTTCGCGTGGCATACCGTCTACCCATGGCCCCAACGTCCCGACGGAATTATTGAAGAAGCGTTCAAAGAACTCGCCGCACGGTGGCTGCCACTTTTGGATCTGGCACACGATAACGGTCAGGTCTTCGCCTACGAACTCCACCCGGGTTCGGACATCTACGACGGTGCGACCTACGAGATGTTCTTAGATTACACGGACGACCACCCCGCCGCCTGCCTCAATTACGATCCAAGCCATTTTCTCCTTCAACAACTCGACTATATCGATTTTATCAGACTTTACAGCGAACGCATCAAGGGATTTCATGTTAAAGATGCCGAATTCCGTCCGACAGGTCGAGGTCGGGGTTTACGGTGGTTACCAGTCATGGGCTGGACGTGCCGGGAGATTCCGTTCACTCGGCGATGGGCAAGTGGATTTCACACAGGTGTTCACACTCCTCACCGAAGCAGGTTACGACAGTTGGGCAGTACTGGAATGGGAATGCTGTGTCAAAAGTCCAGAGCAAGGTGCAGCAGAGGGCGCGCCGTTTATCGCCAAACACATCATCGAAACGACCGATGTCGCCTTTGATGACTTTGCTGGAGGCGAGACCGACACGGCGCGGAATCGGGACATTCTCGGCTTGAATTCTTGATATCGTCAACTGTAACAACCAAATTGGAGTGAGGCATCATGGAATCTTGGAATCGGAAATTACGAATGGGTATGGTAGGTGGCGGGCAGGGCGCGTTTATTGGCGGCGTTCATCGCATCGCTGCCACGCTCGACCAGCAAATCGAAGTCGTCGCTGGATGTTTCTCACGCGACCCAGAAAATACACGAACCACCGGTGCAGAGTTGTATCTCGATCCAAATCGCTGCTACAACAGTTACGCAGAAATGGCGGCAGCCGAAGCCGCGCTCCCCGAAAATGAGCGTATCGACTTTGTAAGCATCGTCACACCAAACATCTCCCACTTTGAAATCGCGAAGACTTTTCTGGACGCGGGCTTCCACGTTGTTTGCGATAAACCGATGACTTACAGTCTCGATGAAGCCGAGGCACTTGTAAAACTCGTAGAAGATTCGGGTCTTGTCTTTGCATTGACACACAATTATACGGGGCATCCGCTCGTGCGGCATGCACGCGCGCTGTTCGCCGAAGGTTCAATGGGACAAATTCGTAAGGTCATCGTCGAATACCTTCAAGAGTTCCTGATGGTCCCACACGAAAAGCTCGGTCAGAAGCAAGCCGCGTGGCGCGTTGATCCAACGCAGTCAGGCATCGGCGGCACGATGGGTGATGTCGGCACACACTGCGTGAACCTACTTGAATACGTCACTGGCGACCCGATCATTGAACTTTGTGCTGACAAGAGTACTTTCCTTCCTGACAGAGTACTGGATGAGGATGTCAACGCCTTGCTCCGTTTCAAAGGTGGCGGTAAAGGCGTTTTAAGCATAAGTCAGGTCGCCACCGGGGAAGAAAATGGACTGACACTCCGCGTTTACGCCGAACAGGGCGCGGTGAAATGGACGCAAGAGAATCCAAACTACCTTGAACTCTATCGCTACGGTGAACCGAGACAGACGCTTACCCGCGGGCAGGGCTACCTTTCCGATGCAGCTGCGGCAGGGGCACGTATCCCGACCGGGCATCCCGAAGGGTATTTGGAGGCGTTTGCAACGATTTACGTCGGCGTTGTTGAAGCCATCCGGCGACACGTTGACGGCGATCCCATGGAGACAGAGGCGTACGATTTTCCGACAGTCCATGACGGGTTGCGAGGCATGCAGTTCATCTACAAAGCAGTTGAGTCTTGTGAAAATGGCTCGACGTGGGTTTCAATGTGATAAAAGTTATCAGTTGTCAGCGTAAATAGCCATCAGCGATCAGCAGTCAGCACTCAGAAAGAGGGCTATGACTGCACCAAACACCTCTTACTGAAAGCCGTTAGTTCTCACTGCGAAGCATACTGACGGCTATTCAAAAAGGAGATAGTTATGCAAGCACCTAACTCTGAACCTTTCCGCGTCGGATTTCTGAACGTAGACTCATATTCACACATGCCGTTGTGGGCACCGCACATCAATCCGCGTCCTGGTGAGAAAGACACCCCATTCACTGGGATGCGGATCACCCACTGTTGGGATATTGAATACGAAAAGGCAAAAGCGGTTGCTGAGCCTTACGGTTGCGAAGTCGTCAAGAATTTTGACGATATGTTGGGGAAGGTAGACGGCGTGATCTCTGGTGGTTACTATAATCACCCATGGAATCACATTCTCCATGAACCGTATCTCGAAGCGGGTTTGCCGAACCTAATCAACCGTCCGTTTGCAAACTCCCTCGCTAAAGCACGGCAAATGATTGAACTTGCGCAAAAGAACGGCGCGACCCATCCTTGCGCCATCGAGTCATGAGCACAACGATGCCATCTCACGCGCCAAGGCATGGGCAAGCGATAAACAAATCGTCTGCTACACGGCGACGAATTCGTTTGACGACTATCCCACACATGGGATCCACGGTCTCTATATGGTCTGTAGAGCAGTTGCAGAGGCGGGAAATCCGGTTGTGTCCGTCGCATATCAAGCGGATAGTTGGCACAGTCCGCCCGGTGTTCTTACTTTCGAACATGTTGACAGCGACGGTCGTCAATTCTACGGGACGCTCCATCAAGTGAGCGGTTCGTGGGGAACAGTGCAGATTCACACACAGGAAGCCTACGGTGGCGAGAATTTCAGAATCTACACCGGCACCGGTTATCCGTTCGACAAGACGGAGATCTGGTTGCCGGCGATTTGGGCGTTCCAGAACATGGCACTCCACAACGAGATGCCACAGACCTTTGATCAGATTTTGCAGAAGACGAACGTCTTCCTCGCAGGCTGGAAATCGGTCTTGGAAAACGATGGCAAACCCGTGAAATTAACGGATGTTGCCGAAGAATGGGAAGCCCCGTCTGAGCTACCGAATCATCCCGAACACGATACGGTCTCTCTATTCCAGAAAAAGTTCGGGGATGCTTCAGTATAGAACATAGGGTGAAGTGGTACAATTGCTGCACCACTTCACTTTAATACCACACGACAGATGCGTTGGTGAAAACCGTGATTTGAACTAAGAGCGAAATCTAATGCCATGCCTTGACACTTGCCCACGTGGTAGCAAGTTTATCGGCGGGATCTACAGCGAAAGCATTTAGGTCTTCCATGCTCTGTTTAATATCGTCTTCCGACAAAGCCCGATCCCAGACCGTAACCTCATCAATAACCCCATTGAACTTTTGACCTGTTGCACCCCATGAGCCGATCATCGTATCTCCTGCCGTCCCAAGGTACTCAATCCCAGCCTTGCCTGCGTCTTCAACTGTGTCCTTGCCATCAATGTAGATCTTTCGGGACTTGCCTTTTACATCCAACCAGAAAGTGATATGTGCCCACTCGTCAGCATCAACTGCAGCGGGAGCATCAAGATCATTGCCATAAAACCCCATACGGACAGTACCATTGTTGTAGATACGGTAGTGAAGACTCGTATTTACGGCATTAACCTGTGTCTGTGTGAAAACACACTGTTGGTCTCCTCCGCTCAACGCTGGTTTGACCCACATCGTTACCGTAAAACTCTTTTCGTTCAGTTCAATATAAGGAGCCTTGACCTCACCGGCTTGAGCGAACTCCAAGGCTTTTTCAAATTTACCATCAACCCAATCAGCATCTCCGACGAGTTCTGCGTCGTTCCCTTGTGGGGAAAGATCTTCTATCTTATCTCCCTTGCCTTCATTGAGTGACAAATACAGCAGCAGCTCCTTATCCTTTGGGATCTAACGCGGTAGCACTGAAGGGCATCAGTACCAATCCAGCGAGGATCAGAAAGGATAGTAATATCCGATATATCATGATAAACTACCTCCTTTAAGGTAGATGTAAGTGATGTTCCTTTAACTAATTTCATACCTACTTAGTTTAACACAAAAATTCGAGGATGTCAAGATTCTTGATTGACTGTGCAAAGTGTTCCGCTCAAAACTTCGTGGATAACACATTAGCGTATCATCATCAGTCCGACGTGAATTGCCGATTCCACTCGTGATGGGACTTGGCAATACCCTCAGGATTTACCCGACTCCGAGCAACAAACCCAGGAACATTCTCTCGACCCGTTGGCAAACCAATTTGACTGTAGCGCGTATCAACACTCCAACGCACTATGTCAGCGCGGTTCGGAAGCCCACGGTGAACGACACGCTCACTCGTGAGTAATACGTCCCCGACATCCAGTTCAGCAGTAACGATATCGCCGGGCGGCAATTCCTGATCGCTGATGCCTTTACCACCCGTATGCCCAGGGGTCTGGTCCTGGTAGTTGTGTCGCAATCAGATTATAGCGGTGTGAACCTCGAATGACTTGCATGCACCCATTCTCTTCAGTTGCCCGAACGAGCGGCAGCCAGACATTCACAACCAACGTATCACCTGCCTCTTCTGGTACGAGATACGCCAAATCTTGATGCCACGGGATAACAGTAATTGCTTGATCCGGCAACTTGGCACGGAAATTAAACTGCGGATGTGCAAAGACCTCCTCGCCAATGAGGGATGCAACGACATCGAGTAGCGCGGGTGCCGTTCTGAGCGTGAACATCCCAGCGGTTCGGATTTTCTGGTCTCGGAAATAGTTACTCCAAATCCAGTTGGGGTCGGAGCAGGCATTCGAGACGCGTGCCAACCGTGTTTCAAAAGGCTCATCATCATAAGTATTTCGACGCGTCAAGGATTCCATGTTCGACCGCCGCCTGAGTGCCTTCATCAACCAATTGTGATAACTCATCAATCAACGGCTGAAGAGCCTGGTTCGATAACACGTTTCGGACGAACAAAAAGCCGTCCTCGTGAAATTGCTGCTTCTGCTGCGGTGTGAGTTCGTCCTGTTGAGGTGCTTTCCGAATTGCGTTGTGTAGACATTTTTTTAATTATGTACTCCTGGGTTGCTGCGTCCGTTTGCTTCGCATTGAGAATGCAGGTTCTCGGTCACGTCGCAACTGGGTTTGTGCATTTTGACCTTTCTTTTCCCTTCAAAACATGAAACCAAAACCTTAGTCTGCAACAACGGCGCAGGCGGCTTTGAGAAACACACTACAAAGATAAAACGACAGTCGTTTAACTGCCAGGAAAATTAGAAAGACTGAATCGCAACAGCACTGCCGATTTCACTGGATTTCATCGCTCCATCGAGCATTTGCATTAGCATCACTGCCTGCGAACCGGAATTAAGGGGTTCATCCCCGTCTCGAATTGCACGAATGAATTCTCGTGCCTGAAGCGTTATATCATTCGCTTTTTGTGCCGGTGCTTTTATGGGTTTGACCTTAACGCCGTCCGGTGTCCCAACGAGTAGCTTCCCGCTTTCGAGTCCTGCCTTTGTGCCATAAAGTTGAAACTCCTGAATCTCGCTTTTGACCAGATCGCTTCCGGCTGCTGGTGCTTGTCGGTTTGTGGTATTCAGCGAAAACGCGACAGCAAAGTGTAGCGTGCATCCGTTCTCAAATCGCACAAACCCGCAGGCGGCATCGTCTGCGGTGTAGATTTGTTCAGGAGGGGCAAGATCAGAAAATGTACAGTAGAGTCCAGCCATTACCTCTGTAGGACGCGGATTCCCCATCATAAACCAGACGTTATCAATCGCGTGAATACCGAGATCGAGAAGAACTCCGCCACCCTTCGCTTTATCGTGCCGCCATCCCCGTGCAGAACACCACCGTGTGCGTATCCACCGAGTCTCAGCGTAATATACGTCACCGAGTTCTCCAGCCTGCACAAGCCTACGTCCTTCCATCAACTGGGGCGTAAACCGCGATTGGCGGACAAACATATAGGCAAGCCCTTTGGTTGCAGCAAGTTGTGTGACCGGTATTAACTCGGCGGCATCATTTGAGGGTGGTTTTTCGCAAGAGCACATGCAGTCCAAGCTCCACTGCTTCTTGCGAGACGGGGGCGTGCATCCACGTCGGAAGTCCAATACAGACTGCGTCTAAATCGCATGCGTCGAACATCTGACGATAATCATCGAAAACGCGGACACCTTTAATCCCATCCAAGACCCTTTTCCTACGGTTGGGATCCGGATCTGCCAAAGCGACGAGTTCTACATTTGGCTCGGCGGCGAGAACAGCGGTTGTACTGCCGATCGTTCCACCAACACCAATGATCCCTACTCTGATTGCATCTTTCATTTTTTAATTATTCCTTGCGGTTAAAGGACATGGGTTTGGACTTTTACATGCCTTTCTCAAATCCGCCCTCCACTACGTTACGGGCTATGTGCTTTGAACTTTGGATTTTAATTATTCCTTGCGGTCTTTTTAACTTTCCTTGCGGTTAAAGGACATGGGTTTGGACTTTTACATGCCTTTCTCAAATCTGAAGAAACCCGCAGAAATACCCAAGCAAAAACCCTGCGCCGTTGTTGCAGGCTTGGATTTTGGTATCATGATGTAATTGGACATTTAATTCTCAAACCCACGCTACAATAAAGATGCCGACCCTGCGTCCAGAAATACCGCACAATCCGGGTGCGTCTGTAAAATCGAAGCAGGATGCATTGGCGTTATCTCGCCGTGCAAGCAATTCCGCACTGCCTCCGCTTTTCGTTCATCTGGCACAGTGCAAACGATTGCTTTCGCCTTCACGATTTGGCAAATGGACATTGAAATCGCTTGGGTCGGCACGTCATCTATTCCAGTGAACCAACCCTCACCGACCTGCTGGAGGCGGCATGCCTCATCCAATTCGACCAAAATATACGGATCCTCTGTCTCAAAATCCGCCGGTGGATCGTTGAAGGCGAGATGTCCATTCTCACCGATACCGACGAACGCCACGTCAATCTGATGTTGTGAGATAATCCGATTCAACCGATCACACTCGGCTTGCGGGTCATTCGCTTCACCGTTCAGAAATGTACCGTTCCGGGGTGAACAATGTCCACGAGACGTTCTCGCAGATACTTGCGAAAACTGGCGGGATGCGTCTCAGGAATGCCGATGTACTCGTCGAGATGGAACATCGTCGTGTTGTCCCAATCAATCGTTTTATCAGCAGTGAGTGCGGCAAGGAAGTCAAATTGAGACGCGCCTGTCGCAACGATGAAACTGGCACGTCCATTTGCATCCAATGCCTCGCGAAGCTTTCTACTTGCGAGATGCGCGGCTGCCTCGCTCATTTCACGTTTGGTTGTTGCTTTAAATATATTCATTTTGTTAAAATCTTCGTGCTTTTTTACAGCAAGTTTTTGGCTTGCAAGCTACGCCAAAAATCCCTTTTCCAACTCGGCGAGAGAGCAGGTAGTTTTCTGGCTCGTGCAATCTTCTCGTGGTTATCCCTATCAAAATAGCGGAGGTTGAGTATTTCTGTAATACTCATCGGTTCCGATGCAACTTCAATGCGCGCAATCGCATCGCCAGGAGTTATTTCGCCTGCTTCAAGCACTCGGAAATAGAAACCGACGCGCCGGCTCTCTAAAAACTGTTTGGGAAATTCCGGCAGTCCCATCTTGTATGCAAGCTTAAAACACGGCACGCGCGGCTGCGTAATCTGCAATTTTACCGTTGAACCTATCTGAAAGATGTCACCAATATGAACCACCTCTTCCAGCAAACCCTCAACGGTGAGATTTTCCCCGAACTGTCCATAGGTAAAATCGTCTCTTCGCAATTCCTGCCGCCAGTGGGCGTAATGCTCAAACGGATAGCCGTAGATGGCTTTATAAGTGCCGCCGTGTACCCGAAGATCACCTTGCCCATCACCGTCAATGTTCTTCTCTCTGAGCATGACGGTGCCTGACACCGGTTCTTTGAAAATCCCTGTCTGGATAGTCTTACCGCCGTATTGAATAGGCTTTGGTTTTGAAACGTTTATAGATAAGAGTTTCATATACGCTTTAATATAATGGTTTTTCTCAGTTTATGTCAAGTGAAACATTTCAGCACTGTCGTGATCTATTTTTCACATTTTTTCTGCTATGCAACCTTTTGCCCTTTAAATCGCGTCCTTAATAGTAACAGCAGTACGATGGTCGCGCATTAAAAATGTGCACTCTTAAGCACTGTAGGAGAGATTTAATGAAAAACGAAGATGCACAACTGGTTAACCGTTTCTTAGCAGGCGATGAAGGTGCCTTCACCACACTGGTAAAAAAATACCAGAAGAGCGTCCACGCGCTCGTGTGGCGGAAGGTCGGTGATTTCCATATTGCCGAAGAAATCACACAAGACACCTTTCTCAAGGCATACCAGAAACTCGCGACGTTGAAGAATCCAAAGCAGTTCGCTGGATGGCTCTATGTGATTGCCGATCGCCTCTGTATCGCTTGGCACCGAAAGCAGAAACCACCCATGGAATCCTTGGAAACCACAAGTGGAGAGGAGATAGAGGAATCCTCTTATCGCCATTACGAAGGCGAACAGCGTGAGGATGCCTCTATCGAACACCGTCAAGGACGCGTCAGAAGCCTCTTAGAAAAACTACCGGAGAGCGAACGCACAGTCGTGACACTCCACTATCTCGGGGAAATGACGTGTCAAGCGATTAGCGAATTCTTAGGTGTCTCTCCGAACACAGTTAAGAGCCGTCTCCAGCGTGCACGGAACCGTTTAAAGGAGCAAGAAACCATGATTCAAGAAACTCTTGGCAGCGTACATTTACCTACGACTTTCACCGAGAACATTATGAAGCAAGTGGCTAACATAAAACCGGCACCTCCTACGCACAGCAAACCGTTAATCCCAGTGGCAATCTCTGCCGCAGCAGCCATCTTTATCTTTCTAATAATGGGTGTAGGATCTCAACACCTCGCCCGTTTTCAGAAGCCATATAGCCTGAATTCACAAATCGGAGATCACCGTTGAAATCATTGATGCGCCTTATGTCCTTGATACACAAGCAAAACCGGATTTACGGAACCAAGCCGGACGTTTTAATACCACCGGTAAGAGCAGCGGTGCCGGTCCGCAAGTCTCGGAACCTGTTATGCTTGCCGCTGCGCAAATAGAGAAAGAGGCGCGTCCATCAACAAAACAGCAGTGGATACAGGCAAGTGGTCCAAAAGAAGGGAGCTCAGCATCAGGCTTATTGGTAAGTTCGTCGGGGGATGTCTATGCGGCTTCGCGAATCGGTATCTACAGATTAGCACCTGATGCCCCTGCCTGGACGCTCGTTAGTCCACTTCCTTCAGAGGCTTCTATAGACAACCACGGAATACGGATGGCAGAACGAGACGACACGCTTTATCTTGTCTTTCCTGATGGCGTGTTTGCTTCAAAAGATAGAGGCAAGACCTGGGTAAAACTTGGTGCGCGTCCAGAGGGACGCGCGATTGGGTTGGTGATCACGGATGATGCATTGTACCTTGCGCTTCGAGACGATGAAGGTATTTTCCGATCTACAGATGCAGGTAAGCAGTGGACCCCACTCAACAGTGAAATAGCAGAGAGCGGTGTTAATGCGGTAGCTACTATTGAAAACACAGTGTTTGTCGGCACAAAACGGTTTATGGTGTTGCCGATGATGGGGTTTATCGACTGAACAATAGCGACGAATGGGAACAGATCTCGCCAGAAGTGCCGGATAGCGTCATCTCTTTGGTTATCAATAACGATCGACTCTATATCGTGACTGAACATAGGGGGATGTTCCACGTTTCTCTCGAATAAGAGTGGTAGGGGTTCTTCGTTCAACGCTGGCTGTTGCTCAACGACGATCCCGCCTCCCTTGAAAAGGGAAAAAGAGCGATTGCGAAAATCCAAAAGCAAAGAAAAGCCATTGAGAAGAAACGTAACCGATTCCTGTGGTGGTATTACCCCACTATAATTGTGATCGGAACAGGTATCGGGATGCTAACCCACTGGCTCCAAAAAGATTGATTCTGTTTGAAAACGGAAATGAACTAACAAGGAAAAAATAAATTTCCGTTTCATAATTACAGCCGAGCCATTGTGTGGATCGAAGGTCCCCATAGGTTTGGCTGTTTTGCGTTCTGTTGACAAACTTGATCTCTGTGTCAACTGGAGCATCTACTTTAACGTTAAAGCCTACAATTCAGGTTCCAAGTGGAGGTCCAAACCCATTCATGAAATTTTGCTTATACCCAGTTCTGTTTGTTGTACTCATGATGCCGTTCTCTGTTTTCGCGGAAACGGACAATGCTAAAGAAGATGAGACCCCAAAAATTAAAAGAAGCATCTGGCAGCGAATCTTTCCGCGCACAGGTGATATGGAAGGCACCGTCTACCAGCACGACACCGACACACCGTTAGTTGAAGCAGAGGTGCATCTCGTTGAAACCGACCAATATCAAAAAACAGGTAAAGACGGAACATTTCGCTTTACCGAAATCCCTACTGGGGCATATACACTTTCCATCTCCCACTCTATTTACAGTACACCCTTAGAAATTCCGATTGAGATTCGCGCCGGTGAGACACTCCGCGGAAGATTTTACGCTGGTGCACAAATCCCGTTTGTCAACACTACCGATAGCGGTGATATTAACGGGCACATCTATAGCCAAACAACAGGAAAACCTCTCAGCGGTGCAGAGGTGCGCTTTCTCGAAATCGACGTGTTAGAGAGAACGGATGCATTTGGAAACTTTCAGTTTATAGGTATCGCGCCCGGCACCTATACGCTGTTAATTACGCATACAACATACAAAACACCGACGGCTACAAAAATAGAGGTAACAGCAGGCGATACCACGCGGGTGAAAATCTATCTCGGCACAGCGGTCCAACTCGAAACAGTTGTTGTGGAAGGGCAACGTCTACCGCCTACGATTAGCCGTAAGGAAATTCGAGGCAGCGAGTTGATCCGGATCCCCGGTACTGGACGCGACGCGCTCAAAGGGACTCACGACGTTGCCGAGCATCGGTATCCCCAACGATTTCTTCGGTATCCTCTATATTCGTGGGAGTGCACCGGGGGAGACACTTCTTTACCTCGACAGAACGCCACTCGGTTACCCGTTCCACTTCGGTGGACTCTTCTCAACGATTAATTCACATAGTATTGAGGATATCCAGATTTATGCTGGTGGGTATGGTGCCGAATTTGGCTTAGATTCACAATCGGTTATTGATATCCGCTCGCGTGAACGCTTGAAAAAGCAGTGGGCGGGCGTGCTTGACCTGAACATTCTATCGCCCTCTGGTTTCGTTGAAGCCAAAATTGGGGACAAGGGTTACGCGTCCCTTGCCGGGCGATTCAACACCCTTAATCTCGTATTAGGACCTTTCTTTGATTGGAGCTTTCCGACCTGGTCGGACTATCAACTCAAATTTGCATATCAACTTACGCCAAAGCACCACCTGACAGTCAATGGCTTAGGCGCGACAGACCATTTCGATTTCTCCAATTTTAGGTCGGAAGAGATCGAAGAAGTAGGTGACTTCTCCGCCTATTTCAAAAACGGATTTGAATCGGAAGGCATTCACCTCCGTTCTGATTTCACTGATAAACTTACATCCCACTTATCCGTTACGCGTTCCCACAATTTTCTCAATATCAATCTCGGTGGCGGCTCAAGCCAAGATGATAGACTTGCTGGTGAAAAATTTATCTACAATGTCCAAGTTAACGCCCCAATGTACACCCTTCGCGAAGACGTGTCTTACAAATTAACACGGACGTTTCAACTTGAACCGGGATTCCTTCTCGCCATCAGCCCGACCAAAAGCCACACACATACCTCTTCTCCAGAAAACATAGATTTTGCTGATGACGAGGAACCGTCATGGATGCAGAAACTTGACGAATTTAATTGGACGTTTCGGCGTACTGAGGGGTACCTACAGGCGCGTTATGATCCGCTATCGTTTCTGTCAGTCGCACTCGGTGTGCGGTTTGATTATCTCAATTTGACAGAAGAATTCTCAATTCAGCCGCGCGGGAGTCTCAGTCTCACACTGCCAACGACTTCCACTCTCCGATTCGCCTACGGCAGATATGAACAGAGTCCATTAGCGTATCAGGTGCTAAAGGCGGATGGAAACCGAAACCTAAAACCGAGTCTAACCGAGCATTATGTCATGGAATTAGAACACGAGTTATCACCACAAACGGAACTTAAATTCGCTGTTTATTACAAAGACGTGCAAAGATTAGTCACAAGATCCGTCAATCTTGACGCATTTTTTGATGACTCGGACGCGGTGGTTACAACTGAATATCTCAATCAAGGAAGTGGGTTTGTGAATGGAGCAGAAGCGTTCCTACGGCACCGCATTAGCGAAAAGTTTTTCGGATGGGTATCATACGCCTATACCCACGCCGAACGGCGTGAGACACCCGACGATGTCTACCAACCATTCCTCTTCGATAACACACACATTGTTAGCATTGTTGCCAACTATAGCCCAACAACAAAAACTGAGATCGGCGCGAAATGGCAATATGCAAGCGGCACTTCCGCGGTCCCCCTAAGCACACTTCTAATGATTCAAGACCCTGTGACCCTTGGCATGCACCCACTTCTCTCTGATGTTGCAGGTGCGATTGTCCCAACGGAACTTCAGGCGTATCACCGCTTGGACTTCCGTTTTACGCGCAAAAGAAAGTGGTGGGGTCTCCCCGTGACGATGTTTACCGAAATCTGGAATGTCTACAACAGCAAAAACAAGATAAGGTTCAATTTCGCCGACAAACTCGTGAAGGAAATCAACGCAGCAACGGTTGAGAATGCAGAAGAATTCCCGTTGAAGTTGGAATCACCCACCGAATATACGAGTCTTGTGCGCTTCCCTTTTAGTATCAATGTCGGAATCATATATGAATTTTAACGCAGGCGCGCCGCTTACTTAAGAGTTGCAATCCACCTCAAAAGATGCTATGATGCGGTTATAATATTCAAGAAAAAAGGAGAGAGCAGATGAAAAAAC